TACAGCATTCCAGGTATATGCGGCAAAGAATACATTGGAGAGACGTGACGAAAAATATCAACTAGGCTCAAAGAACACGAAAGAGCCTTAAGGCTAAGACAAATAAACTCATCAGCAGTTGTCGAACACAATCACGGACATAAAAATTCTTGCAAATAATCAATTCTTCTACCTACGAAAAATCCGAGAGTCTATAGAAATCGATAAGCAACCTAACAATCTTAACCGCGACTCAGGTCCTTACTTATCCGAGACGGTGTTTATGGTTATGTTTTATGTTTAGCTCCGCCCCCCTGAATCAATATATAAGCAGGTACAAAGTAAAATACGAGCCAGTTTCAGTCAAGCTCTGAAGAAGCCAACGGGATGATTGGCGAAACGTTAGTTCGACTCTGCAGAAACCAACGCAAGAGGAATCCAGAAGTTTTATAAAAAGTATTACAGTAACCTGTGGAACTTTCGTTGAAAGCTCTGAAGAAACCAATAGAAGTTTTCTAAATAGTATCTTTGAGGTTATTCCAAAAACGTGACCTATCAAAATGTAACAAATTAAACTTTTCCGCCTGAAACGGCCCCCAACACCCTGTATATGTATCGCTCGGAAGCATTGTTCCCGATCGTAAATAAGTCTCTTCAGTCGATGGAAACATTTGCGAGTTCGCTCGACTGCCTTTTGTTTCCACGGCTCACTTGGGCCGTGTTTGGCGGCAACTCGGCTGGAAAGCGACAAGGGAATCCTTTCCGCAGTCCCACCGAAACTGTTATTCGCCGCCCCCCGGCGGCGGTGGCGGCGGCGATGCCTGCTTATTTTAACACGCCCCGTACTGAGAACACAAATGCCGGTCGACACTTGAACGCTAAATGCCTTTCGCTGTCGAGATTTCCATTGTGTCAATGTGCCGATCTTCGGCGTCGGCATAAGGAGGGGGGGGGGGGGGGGGGTGGATATTTCTCCGGGAAATATAAATTTTGAGCCCTCAACTCCGGCCCTGACCTCAACTAGATTTGGAAATTCTAAGCTAGGGTTTGATGAAAAGAAGCACGTCTACCCCCTGTTAACTCAGGTAAAAATAAAATCAAAATCCATATTTTTTAAAATTTATTAGAAAAAAAGAAACTTATCTTTTCAACAAAAACTATGTTGTTTCTATGGAATTACGATTTGTACTTTCTGTAGTATGTTTTTTAAAATGAGAGTAATGAAGAACGCCTCTTTTGTAGCTTTTATTTTGCACTTGAGACATTCTACTGCTAATATCTCCTTACCTTTTATAAGTAAAGGTGCAGCAGCATTATGCATCACAAAGGTGTCCTATAAAATACGAGGGTGGGATGAAAAGTTTCCGACCGGGCTAAGAGCGGTTTGCTACAGAAGAATATACCTCGAAATACATAGGTTGGCATAAAAATAAATTAAGTGCATTTTCATATGGTTTGATTGGCTATATGAGTCCTATCTTGACAGGCAGTAATTCCTGGGAATCCACATTTTTCCATAAAAGCTCTTTTAATTTGAGCATTTCCTTGTTCATATTGGAGAAAACCGATCCAATGATTTGACAGTTGTTGTTTGCTTTGGAATTCTTATATTCCTATTACTATTTTAAATTGAGAAATAGCTCCTTATTTAGCTGAAACAATTCAATGAATCTATTCTCTCTTGCAGATTAAATGGATCACTCTATCTCTCATTACTTTTTTGGAAGTTTGAGATTTGAGATCCGTCGTCGATTCTCCTCCTTATGCAGTAAATGTCTCAAAACAGGGTACATTTGTAATTGAAGTATTGGATTATGAACACAAATTTTTAAAATTTTTATGTCCTAAGAGGTTTCAGGATAGAATACGAACATAACAATCTTGCGTCGCCTGTATTATAGACGAAACCTCAAACTTTCTCTCATGTATGTCAATAATTCACCCACAAAAGCGGAAATTATAATTCCAACAATGTTCGAAATGGTTTAGTTTCCTGGTATCCGAATTTTTCCAATGGAGTAGATGGTTTTCAAAAAACTAGATTCGAAATTATTGCCAATTTTCAATAATAGGGGGATCGATTTTTCAGTTTTTTTGAATTTGCGGCGCACCCTGTATATTTTTGAAAAATTGTCAAGAATAAAAGTTTATGGAGTCGTTTCCTCTGCGTCTTCTGGTTCAAAAATTTTTTCGGTCTTTGAAAAAATGGTCTTTTTTTTTAAATACTTCCCCAACCCGCAGCCCCCCCATTTGCAATAGGTTCCGACACTGGGCAAAGCATATATGTGCCAAACATGAAGTCGATCGCTTCAAATTTCGGACACTTATCGTATTTCATAGCGAGGTCCAAAAAACAGTCGAAAATCGCGAAAAAAAGATGGATACCGGTGTCGGATCAGTGCCATTTCTTACAAGCTTATGTATCTCATGGAGGGTTAAAAAGGTTCGAAAGTTATTCGGGAAAATCCAAAAGACGAGAACGGACAGACAAAAAAAAATTTTTTTCGACGGTGATCGTTTCTGTACCAACGACGATCCCATAGAGAGATATAAAATTTTTATACGAGCGCAGATACTTTCGAAAAAATCGATTTCATCGATTTTCGAAAGTAACAAATTCCCACCTGTAATGCGGTACTTCTATTCTACATTTTATGCTAATTTTAATTAAATTAAATTAAATGTGCAAAAACGAAGTAACAAATATCAGTTAACCGAAATAAAAAACGATTTTTGGTTAGGTTGGGATTTTCTTCATCATTTTTTTGTGCCCGTCCGACGAAACAAATCTTGGCGAATGATAGCCGAGAAGTCTAGAGAAACGCTTAGGGAATAACCTTGGTATATAACGACGGTTTCCCTTCGCATATATGATACAGAGTCTCAGTCCACCGTTTTTTTTTCGGTCTGCCACTGATACCGTCGCCAGCGCGCACCCGAACAATAACATCCAAATCCTCCCCCTCCCTTAATAAACACGACGAGATAACATGCACACACACACACGGCCGCGCGCTTTTCAACGCCGGCGTTTATAATAACCGAACTGTCATACGCAATATTGCGAGAGATAGCGTCGAGAAGCCCCGGGCGTTTGGTTTACAACGCAAACTTAATAATGGCAGTCAAAGCGCCGGTTGGAAATGTCATCTGGTGACCGCGACGGGGTTGAGGGGGGAGGCCTTCCGGTGGGCCTGGGGCCACTTTTCGCGCCGCCGCCCCCTCTAAATTGGCAGCGACCGCCGCCCGACCGGAGCGCCGCGACGCACCGATGTCAGTTTTTACAATCTGGCGCGCGATAATTATTTTTTCTGCTTCCGTGTGTAATACCTAATTACGCACCGATCTAGCGTGCGGGAAGCGTCACTTTACCGCGTCAGTTTCGTTTCCCACGGATCCGAGCCACTTCGGACATTTCCGCGATTTTACCGCACGGGTTTGGGAGCAATCGGATGTTTTACCGCACGGTTTGAATTTTGACGTTTGTCAATTCTGACGGTCATGTCAGTTAATATATTCGTCTTGTTTTGTAAAAAAGTACGCAAAAACTAATACACAGAAAAATGTTATGCAATATATCAGACAATTTAAATACTGCGAACTGCGAGCTACAATTAAATTCTAATGGACTAGTCGGTTAGTAAACGGACATTAACAATTTAAGTTTCCCACAGAAATTTTACATATGGTTCGCATGAACTTTAGTTTTTTTTTGCAGTTTTTATATTAATATCTTGCCAAGACCGATTGTACCATTTTCAAATATCATCAGTACAAACAAAATAAAATTGATTGTTGGGACCTGCTTTTTCTTGCTTACACCAGCTTAAAAATGTAATCCTCTTAAAATCTCTATCCTTGGATGGTTGTTCTTCCAATTACACAGTGAACCCTGATTTTTCATTGATATGAATATCTAAGAATGGGAGGTTATTCAATGGTAAAACGTATGTATGGAGTTTAAATGTCTAAGAAAATCTACTAGGGTTTCTTGACCATGAGGCCAAATAACAAAAGTATCATCGACGTTTTCATTATTTTGGTTTTAGATGAAAGGTTTCCATAAATATATTCGCGGTGACTGGTGATAGTGGAGAACCCATAGCTTGTTTGTTCAAAAATTTGATCGTTATATGAGAAATATGTCCCAGACAAGCTTTTTTTAATTACGGTGAAAATGTTTGCTTTCAGATTCTCGGATTTTAATATATTCGAAATGATGTTGAGAGTTTCAGGAATAGGGACTTTAGTAAAGAGAGATTCTACGTCGAAACTAACCAGCATGTCTCGTGTATCTAATGTAATGCTTTTTAATTGTTCGATTAAGTGAAAGGAATTACTTATGAAACTATCAGTTTTTCCTGTAAAGGGTTTTAATAAGTAATAATAAGAGTCCATAGAGACGAGGGATTTTAGAGTCATGAGGGTGACAGACTTTTCGGAGTCTGATAGAGCAGAAGCCTTAATAATAGATCTTTTTACAGTTGATTGTAAAGGTATCTTGAATCATTTTCTTGCCAACAGGATGATTGCCGAAACGTCAGCAAGTCCTACTCAGCAAAAAGCGAGAAGTTTTTGTAAAAACTGGAGAATAAGATACCAGAAGTGGTAAAATAACTAAATATAAAACTGCAGTTGGTAGACAATACGTTTTAATGTTACTATTACGTATTCATCAAAATAGAAATTGTTAACAATTTCTTTTTATAATAACAATAATTTTCCAACATAAATTCCTTTAGAGTGATTTTTAATATTACATACACCGGGTCTTTCAAATTCGATTCTCACCATTAGGATCTCTGCAACGGTAAGAGATACAGGGTAACGTGAATTAGGGGAACGTTAAAGTTTACCACACTGTATCTCAAAAGTTAAGACGTTTAGGACATGCGTTAATATATAGTGTTCTTTTTAAAATTGAGCCAAAAATAACCCAATCAATTATCAACATTTAACAAGACTCTCTAAAAAGTACTGGACTTTTATTTTTGGAATGTTACAAAAATGTCATTTTGCAGGTTACAGTGCCAACACGCTTTCAAGTATGACGAAGGCTTCGCTCGATCCCCACAGCCATCTTCGACAACCGGGTAAGAAACGATACTATTTAAACCAAAATCACCAAAAAAAACGAAAAATTACGGGATCTTTTGATATTTTTACAAAAAAACGACACACTCTCTATATTTCTCTATACTCCTGGTATATCAATTTTTACAATGTCAATGGCCTACCAGAAAATATTTTTTTGGAACCCAAAATGACCCAAAAAAAATCAACAATGTACAATATGGGAAAATCTTATATAGAAAAGTTTTTGCCGTTCATACGGGCTATATGTCCATATAAAATAAACTGAAACACTTATTATGTTTCACAGCGATGGTGAAAAAACACTCGAAAATCGCTAAAAAAATATGGATGCCGACATCGGATCGGGGCCCGTAGCTCGAACCGTTCAAAAATTATTTCGCCAAAACCATTGCTCTGTGGTCCGTTGAGACCTAAACGCGATGAAGATCCCGGGTGATAGGTAAAGAGGTTCTTGGCCACCTTAACAAGGACAGCGAGCTACTCAACATTTTAAAGAAGAAGAATATTTAAAATATCAGTCGCTTCGTGCGAGGTCAGAAGTGCCCTCTCCTGGAACTAATCATAATCAATCAATCGATCAATGAACTTGTTTAACGATGATGATGATGATGATGATGCTTTATTGATCCATATAAATGACAAACACATGCGTTGGGCAAATCAAGAAGCAAAGAAAAAAATAAATTGAACTGATCAAATAAATAAGAACTAAAAGTTCAGATTTTCACGAAATTATATATTTGGACATGACAATTGTTTCGACAACACCGTGTCTTTGTCAAATGTGATTTTTGATAAAGACACGGTGTTGTCGAAACAATTGTCATGTCCAAATATATAATTTCGTGAAGATCTGAACTTTTAGTTCTTATTTATTTTGAAAAAAATAAATATAAAAAATTCTAAATTAAAGCACAAGTTTACAAAAATTTTAACGATTTAAAACGATCCGGAAACCCGGGCATCCGAAAAAAAGTTCCGTACAAAAGTTTCTTGGACTCTCGTGAAGACTTGAAATACTATAATTTTGTTGATACAGGGTGTCCCAAAAGTGTCCCTTCTACATCAACTTTGTTATTTTAAATACACCACCCTATATAATTCAAAATTTTGGGAATTCCTGGTTAAAATAAATGTCACTTTCTTAAGAAATTTAAAATTTGCATAGTTGTGGCCTCACCTTATACAGGGTGTCCCAAATAGGTGGTGCCGTTTTGGCGAATGTAATTAACAAAATATCAAGATTTTCTATATTTTTATTCAGATATCAATTCAAGAATAAAAAACAACTTTTAAATATATTCGAAGTTTAACACCCGTATAAATTTAAAGCTGGCCACACTTGTTGACAACATTAGGTATTTTTTAAACAGCAAAGACATGCTCCTACTTCTTTTAAAGTATAACACTCCAGATATACGAATAAAATCTATTGCTAATAATACAGGGCGTTCAATAATAGGTGGAAGTTTTAAAAAAAATCGACACACTTTAACAGATTTAATAAAACTTCAGAATTAATTATTTAACTGGATTGAAAATACCTAATAACAAAAATAAATAATTAAAATATATAGGGAAACTAAACAAGGTAGAAAATTTCAATAAATAAATCTATAAAACAAAAAGTTAACTAAAAAGAGTTCGTTAATTTTTTCAATAACGTTGAGCATCAAAGTTTGACATCAACACGCGTTAGGGTATAAACAAACTTTGACATTTCTGTTTGTTTTTGTTGTTTTTCGTATTTCCATTTAAAAAGTTAATAATTGTCAAGTTCTTTGTTTATAAATTTATAAATTATACATTTTTTTATATATAATTTTGCCTGTAGTACAACAACCGGAGAGATCTTCATCAAAATGTTTATTCAACCGACTGACAACAATCGAGATATCAAAAGTCTCAGCCATTTCACTGTCATCTTTGACGACTGAACCACTGTCTCTGAGCTCAATGGCGTCTTTTGCAATGACGTTTCTATGTAACGTCTCTTTTTACATTTTTTTTTACTCTCTCACATTGAGAAAGAAGTTATTGCAAAATTTTAAGGTTAATAAACGTTTTCGGTAGCGGAAATTCGGACCCGTTTGGAGGCACGATAGAGCTACGCGTGTAACAATGTATATAAGGTTGCATGTATATAAATGAGAAAATTAACTTTCCCAGAAATAGAAAAGCGGCCGTAATGATTTTGGCCGGGGGGGTGGGGGAGAATTCGTGTTTACCCGGACGCGGGAATGTAGTTTCTTTATTTTTTGTTCCCGTCATTATCATATACCCGCGATAACCATCACTCGCAAACGCGAAAATAATGCTAGCGGCCATTTAACGAATAAATCCGACTTCCCCCCGCTAAAATTTGAATATTTTGCCGGCACTGTTTGAAGCGCCCTGTATGTTTTCTATACGATAACTTATGAACAAGTGAGTAACTATTCTTTATAGGACTTTTTTTCGACCTATTGCCAGCACGAACATATTCTAACCAAACATCTAGCTTCCTTTTTAAAACCCTTTAGAGGGAAAACTGACAGCTTCGTACTTAATTCTTATCATTTCATTGAACAATTAAAAAGCATTACATTAAATACACAAGGTATTCTAGTTAGCTTCGACGTAGAATCCCTCCTTACCAAAGTTCCAATTCCTGAAACCCTCAACATCATTTAAGTTATATTAAAATCCGAGAATCTGGAACCAAACCATCTCACCTTAACTGAAAAATGCTTGTCAGGAACATATTTTTCATATAACGGTCAAATTTTTGAACAAAAAATCTATGGGCTCTCCACTATCACCAGTCATAGTGAATAAGTTTATGGAAGCCTTTGAGAAGAAAGCTCTCGACACCTTTCATCTAAAACCAAAATTAAGGAAACGCTACGTCAATGATACTTTTGTTATTTGGCCCCATGGTCAAGAATCCTTAGTAGACTTTAAACTCTGTAAACCCTAACATATGTTTGTGAGCTCCGCCCCCTCAAACCATATATAAGTACAGAGTAAAATGCGAGCCAGTTTCAGTCAAGCTCTGAAGAGGCCAACAGGATGATTGGCGAAACGTCAGCAAGTTCGACTCAGCAAAAACCGACGCAGGAGGAATCCCCAAGTTTTGTAAAAATAAAGTGACCTTTATTTTAACCAAGGATTCAAAAAATGCCGGTGTTCGATTGAAAATAACAAAGCTGATGTCGGGGAGGACAATTTTGGGACACCCTGTATCACTAAAATTAAATGTTGGTCCGCGGCGTAACGACATGGAGTCGATATGATTTTGGAACTCAAATTTATTTTACACTCAGTGCCATTTCGGGCTTTTATTTTTACAGTATTATAGATGAATAATATTAAAAAAAAAAGATAAATAAGAAGCCTAGGATTGCAATCTTCGAAATTTTATTCAAAAAAGTATTGGAAATTTAAAAACGAAGAATAAATTTTGAGGTACAAGCCTTTTGGTTCTAAGCTCCGACAACCGTACAAATGAAATCGTCATCTCCCCCGCGCCGCACCTGCCGTCACGGGTGAGGGGGCCGGATTTGACTTTTTAATAGTGCCGGTGAATCACGGCAAACGTTCCGACCGTCCACGTCAGATCTTTAGGTCGGATAAGGGCTCGTGAATTACCACCGGCCAGACAATCATCGAGGGCCCCCGTATACGAAAGAGTGGCGTGCAACGCTTGACCCCGATATAACTCACCTTTATCGTGACGGCATACGCACGGGGCAAGAGGTTTATTTTTCGCCCTTAATTGTTATTTTAGACCCCAGCCTGTCTCTCTTTCCTACTCGCACTTGCTAGGCGGCTATTTTTAATACCCCTTTGTGGCGATTTAAACGTCGCGTAGAACTATACTTCTTGGTTGTACAGTCACTTCACGTATAATAATAACAATAAGAATAATTATAATAACAATAATGATAACAATTATATTAATAATAACAATAACGGCTCTCCACGATGTAGTAAAATACATCGAAGGAGCCTTCCACGGCAAAAGTGCGGTTTTGGGTGTATTCATCGATATCGAAGGGGCCTTTCACCATACTCCTTTTGACTCTATTTGCGAATCAGCGATAAGCTTTGGTATAGAAAGCTCTATAACAAAGTATATCCAATTCATGATAAGCAATAGAACGGTGACTACAGAGCTTAACGGAAACGTGAGGAAAGGCTGTCCACAAAGCGGCGTATCTTCTTCATTCACGTGGATGAACTTTTGGTGGAGTTGGAAGGGTTAGGAGTGTTCGTCGACGATGTAGCCCTACTAATCAAAGGCAACAACTCAAAAAAATGAGAAGGAAGATGCAACATGCTCTGGATCTTATTGAGGAATGGTGCATATCCAGATCCTTGAAGGTTAACCACAATAAGACTGCTGACTGAGACGTGCTCTTCACAAAGATGAGAAAATTCACGTTTGTACACTTCTTGTATTTTTAAAACAGTATTAAGTTTCTCCAGAGAGGTGCAAACCAACATCAAAGCATTAAACACAGTCTATAGACGTGCGATGCTGGGTATAACAGGGGCTATGAAAACTACGCCCACCCTGGCCATGGGAGCTATACTAAATGTTAAGGCCCCATCTCTAAATGCTAAAGCGTCGGCTGAAAAAACTGCCACGAGACTGCACTTCAATGGATTTTGAAGGAACGCGGTTTATGGACATGCAGACATACTTAGGGACAAGAATCTGGAGAAGTTCTGACTCTAGGTAGTGATCGCAGCTCCAAGAGCTACCACTTTAAAACCAACTTTAGAGTAATCTTCCTAAATAGGCAGGATTGGGCAGATAATTCCCCAAGCCTCCTGAAACCGAAGGGGCTCATCACACAGACGGGTCCAAGACACAGAAAGGAACAGGAGCAGCATACTGGTGGGATGGACCAAAAACAGAAAAAACTCTAAAACTGGGACACATGACCACCATCTTCCAAGCAGAAATTTATGCGACTTGGGACTGTGCCCGACATATTGTCGGCCTAAATTGCAGGAACAAATAAATATCTGCGACAGCCGTGCAGCCCTCAAGTAGCTCATGTCAGTCGAAATCACCTCAACGATGATCCGAGATTGCATTGAGATGCTTGACAGGCTTGCTAAGGCAAATCACGTCCCACTCGTCTGGGTCGCAGAACACTGTGGAATCCCAGGGATCGGGAGGACAGATAGGCTAGCAAAAAGTGGAGCTTGTCACACAAGTACACTACCTATCTGTCCTAAACCTAGCAATAGATTTCTCGATATGTGGATTGAGGCTGAAGAGACACACTAAAGCCCTCTTTCAGGGGCCGTCCAGGACTCTTGCTTCCAGCCTTATCGGGTTCGACAGGAATCAGCTGAGACTGACTAACTGGACACTGGTCAATAAGAAAGCATCTTAGGAACATTGACATCTCACAAGATATATTATGTCCAATGTGCAACGCAGCTGATGAAGACTCCTCTGCATGTACTTGTCGACTGTGAACCACTCAGCGAACTCCGAAAGGAAATTCTGGGAGTGGACACAGGAAATAGTATCAATATTGAACTGAGGTGGCTTTTACTTGATGAAAATCCATTTATCAAAATAAATAAGAACTAAAAGTTCAGATTTTCACGAAATTATAGATTTTGACATAACAATTGTTTCGCCAACACCGTGTCTTTATCAAATGTATACATACATACAGTTGACATTTGATAAAGACACGGTGTTCTCGAAACAATTGTCATGTCAGAATATATAATTTCGTGAAAATCTGAGCTTTTAGTTCTTATTTATTCTTTTCTTTAGTATCAACATTCTGGAAGTGGGTGTTGGAAGGCTGATTCGTTATGTCCCGGCAGTCCGTCTCCTCTACACTCCCTCCTAACTCACGAACTGTCCTTCACAGGGCCTCGGCACAATTCAATAATAATAAAAGTAGTAATAATATTAATAATTCAAATAGACAAACCAAAAAGATACATACAGTACCTATAAAATGGAACACTAGAAGACGTTTCCGAAAACGAATCAGAGTCACCCCCAGCGCTATAATTCTTTTGTATTTTTTTTATTCCCGTCATCTTTCGACGTAGCCGACACCTTGGGGGTGAGGGGGAGGAATTCCTCCCTAAAACAATGCACTCCCCCGACCAAAGACAATCGGACGCAATCGGACGATCAACGGGGGGTCAAAAAAGAACAAACACAATAAAAATTGATTGTTCGGGATCGAGAGGGGGACCTCGAACGTTCATAATCAGGTAATTATCAGAAAAGGGCTTTTGTCGTCAGCTTATTAGGCGCCATAAGGGAGTCGGGGGATGCGATGTAATACAATAATGGAGGGTGGAAAAAGCCCGTTGTAGTATTTGTTTCAAATTTCGGAAGCAGTTATAAATAGTTAAATAAAAAGCCCACTAGCATACTTTTATTGACCAATAATAACAATAAAACATTAACATATAAAAACTACTGTGTCATTTTTTACATTCAAAACATTACTGCCCACATATCGAATTTTTTTAAGAAATACGCCGTCAAAAATCCAATGAAAACTTTTGGAATGTGCCTTACTGAAAGAGTGCGGATTGTGCGCGTCCAGAGCTTCCAATCCACCGAAATTAAAGTGCCCTCTGGTGTTCCGCAGGGATCACACCTGGGACCCCTACTCTTCAATGTCTGTGTGAATGATATTGTCATCATACTAACTAACCAAAAAGCTGACGACTGGATAAAACTCCAATCCGATTTAGATCACTTATCGCTATGGTGCAATCAGGAGCAGAAACCCCATATACCCCATTATACGTGTAACATAAAAGGGTCATCGGTTATTGCAGGCCTCTGTAATTAGGGATCTTGATATTAAATTGACTTACACACACCTTGTTGTAGCGATGTAGCGATTACTTGGAATTGGAAATCTCTCTCCAACTTACTGTACTCTGGGAGCAGTCAAGTTGGTCCGAAAAGCGATTTGCTAGTGTGACTGACCCAGTAAGAAAAGAACTCTGCCCATAGATAGTACGATGGAACTCTACCTGGAAGAAGTGGTTTACTTTGGTCTGGCGGGGGGTGGAGGGGGAACGCGAAGCCCAATCTTATATAACAGGTCAGGTCCATGAGAATTTGATTGCAGTACAATATAAAAAATGGTGAGATCCCTATGCATGCGACGAATCTGGATAGATTTTCAATTCCGAGTAATCGACGTCCTGAAGTCCTTGGTACTCCTTAAATACCGCAGCAACCTATGCCGTACTCTTTCTATGGCCTACATGTGGACGTTATACGAAGGTGACCACACACAGGAACAATAATCCACGTGTGAACGCACGAGGAAGCAAAACAGTAATCTGAGAAAGGGAATACTCTAGAAGTTCACTGTACAACGCTAAATAACACTCCAAGATCCCTTATTACGCCTGCAACAACGGTGACTCTATTATGTTATAAGTATAACATAAAAGCATAAATGGCATTTATTAATATTTAGTTCTATTCCATTAAAATCGCACCATAGCGATAGGTGATGTAAATCGGATTGTAGTTTTATAGTCATATAGGATTTTAGGTCGTAAGCTAATAATAATGAAAATATGAGGCAATATCATTCACATAGACATCGAAGAGTAGGGGTGCCGGGAACGATCCTTGTGGAACACCAGAAGGCACTTTAATTTCGGTGGATCGGAATCCCTGGACGCGCACAATCTACACTCTTTTAGTAAGGTACCATGTTAACCATTCCATAAGTTTTGGAAGCTTGGATTCCAATGTTTCGGGAGGATAAAGCAACCTTTCAGGCCAGCAGATAAATAGCCGCAGACTAAACTTTAGAACACTTTAGAACACTTGCGAGTTATCGCCGGATTTTAGGATAAGGGTAATGAAGCTTGATTTCCAGTAAGTTGGAAAAGTTCCCGTTTTTAAAAAGTGGTTAAAGATAATATAAAGTGATCTAGAAAGTATGAACCGGGTCCTTTTTATCTAGAGTCAACAGTTTCTCGTAAATATATGATATCGACTTGTTCAAGTGTGAAACGCTGACGGTTCCTGTCACTATACATGGTCTAAAAATAGTCGGCAAATAAATCTTAGGTCTGAAATCTTATGATAGTCTGCATATATCTCGGTTCCAAGATATCATTTATGTTTATTATTATCATTATGCAGCGTCCAAAGAGTTAAAAATTGCACAGACTAGAAAACTCTCGACGTTGCCGTTTTGCGCTTTTTTTCCCGATGCTCGCGACAAATACGACGACGTGGCAACGCCGGGAAGCTTCCCGACGGTGGAAACTTAATTTCGTCTTGCACCTAATGACACGACGAGGGTCTTTTCTTAATAAATGGACACACACACACACACATACGGAGACGCGTAGAAACGACGGGGATAGGGTCACGGCGGTGTTCACGTATATGACTAAATTGCTTCTTTATTTGAACACGGACGCGCGTCGCCCCCCCCTTGTTTGCCCAGAGCCTACTTGGCGTAATGCACGGTTTTGTTTGGCAAACATCGTCTTGGATTTAACATTGATTCGGTAAAAGCCCACGGATGACCGTCAGTCGCGCCTCCCGTTCGATATTTGAACAAAAAATAACGTCGTCGTCACCCCCCGGGGTTGGGGGGGGGGGGGGTGCGTTTCTAGAAAACGCGAATCATCGATTTGGTGTAATTTCGCCGTTTTTCTTTTTCCAGATCCTTATCAAATGTTCGGACCGACCAGCAGCCGTTTAGCGAGTTCAGGTAAGACCAAACCACGCACGCCGACCCTTAATTCGAATAAAATTGCGTATTTTAACGGCCTAATTACGGATAATAGCGGCGGATTGAGCGATTCGCGCGACCTCGAAACCTCCAGGTTCCAAATAAATGGAGAAAAAAAATTCCCTGTCGGTATGGAATGATTTACCGAATTGGGGCGGTTCCCGTGACCTCGCCCTACGCCACTGTACCGGAACACCACATTTTGACATGAACCTTTTCCCATTTGAAATACCTTCCACTTTTAGTGCGTATTTTTTTTAGCTTTGCCGCTATTTTAGAATCCGAGATTTGTATCATCAAACCTTTTATTTGGGGCTTCTGCAGCGCAAAACCGTGTAAACGCAGAGCTTTGAATGAAATAACTGATATGCCGAGACGGAAAACGACACCGTAAAAGGCGTAAATCAATGTCTATTGGATTCAATAAAATAACATGTCGAGTTGCCTAAGTCGCAGAATATATATTTCGTCAAACATATACAAGGTCACAGACCAGTGACAAGGACCACCCTTGATAAATATTTCATAGAATGCAAATTACAGGATTGATTTCGAAAAATCGTGGCTGTGCGAATCGTCTGCACCGTACTGTGCTGGTACGCAGCATACAAAGTCTCCACGAAGCTCTTTATTTTAAATGCCCTTTGCCCTAGAACAACGCATTGTTTTTCTATCGTGCGCCTGCGGACCACTATGGAACTTTCGCAAAATCGATGTAATTTCATTTTGCATACACCCTGTATAAAGTGTATTTCAAGTCTCGCCGAACTTCAAATGGCAAAGTTTGGTAAAGATTAAAATTTTTAAAATTAATAGCAATTTCCAATGATATTTTTTAAAATATTTCGCGAACCCTGTATGAAACTCTCCCTCGACGCAGTTTACGATACTGTTCAAATGAAATTATCCCATCTTTATCGGTTTTGTATTTATCGCCAATAATTTACTCACAAAAACGGAAATTTTTAGCATTATTTAGATTTTTTGCCCATAAACGACACACCCTCAAACAATGTTCGAAATAGGGGTAATAGCCCTGGATCTCCCATTTCTCCTGCTATATGAATTTTTCCAATTTTTCCAAAATGCTTGTTTTCTGAAACCATGCAGTACGTCGTAACAGCAAATGACGTCATTGGAATTGGAATTTTGGAATTCAATTGGAATTTTTCAAATATCTCGAACAATGTATGTGATAGACGAAAACCGTAAAGAGAAAAAATATAACACTGTATAAACCAATTGGATCTACTTTTCACGAATTTTGAGGCTACTAATTTAATAGCAAAATGAACGAACGTAAAATAATTCTGACGATCAAGTTAATAGTTTTCAAGAAATTTTGTTTTTTCTGGAAGAGAAAATAACAAAAAAATACTAGGCAGGTCTTGATTGCTCTCGGTTTCTGCGGTTTAGATGTGGGTGTGGACTTCTACTTCTCTGCTAAATTTGAAGTCGATAGCTACACATTTAAGACATCTATTACATTTTTGAATGTGGTACAGAATATGCCGAACATCCTGTACAATATGTGAAAACCCAAAATATAAAAATTTTAGCAGTACATACGGACTGGTCGCGTGAAAGAAAATGGCAACTGAAACAGAGCCTTCTAGTTATGATCGATTATCCAACAAATCTGGTTACATGAAATTGTTGTTTAGTCTTCCATAATCATTAGATTAGTTAATAATATTCACCTACTTCTTGTTATATGTCATACTTGCGGTATGTTAAATTTACATTAGGGTTGTCCAGTTTTTTTTGTGGTGTATTACACAGGGTGTTTTCTAATTGAATCTCAGAAGGGGTGATTCTTGGGTCCGTTTGAAAATGAAAACCTCATATGAACATACGTCCGTCCCAAACGTCTTAACTTTTGAGATACAATGTGATAATATTTTCAAAAATAAAATGTTTTTTTTTTAAATAATTTTTGATATTTTAATGAAATTTGGCACACACCACCGGGTACCATCTTTTTTTAATACACGAGTGGCGTACCGAATTTCCTGTGTCTGTTTTGTTAGTTCAGTTAGGTGCTTCTACATTTTGATTATTTACAAAACTTCTAGATTCCCGCTGATATTTCGCCAATCATCCTGTTGGCTTCTTCAGAGGTTAACCGAAACCAGAAGTTTTGTAAATAACATTACTGTAACCTGTCAAGATTTTGTTTCCATGTATCAATAAAATAAACGTTTTTGTCCGTTCTCGCCTTTTAAACATTTCGTTAATATATTCGTAAAAATATATTGCGAAATGAGTGGAGATGGTAGGAATAATTTTTATTTTAAGAGAAATCAGTGGCGCACCATCAATTGTGGTACACTAAAGAATGCCTCATTAAAATATCTTAATTAAAAAAAAAGTTTATTTTTGAAAACCCCAACACCCTGTATCTCAAAAGTGAAAGCTTAGGACATATGAAGTTTTCTTTTTAAAATGGAGCCCCCTTAATTATTGACATTCGATTAGAAACCACCCTGTATATCTGTGAACGTTGAATTGATTAACGCACCCCCTTAATGACGAACAAAGGCAGGTGCCAGATTTACGCGATTTAAAAAGAGCAAAAAAGCTGGTTTTAACGCGGGCATTTTGGCCTTTTGTTCCACGGCCTACACCCTCAGACCGCCCCCTTGCTCCCCTCCATGCCCGCCGCCTTCTCACAAATAACGGCCTCCGAGGTTTACACGTGCTCCAACCTAATGATAATTGACTTACGGCAGTTTTATGGCCTTGTGCGTGTTCGACACGGGATTGAAAATAACACCGTGTGAACACGCGAAATGTGTAACAATATTCGTAGATTAGTTTTCACCCGGAGGTCCCCCCAACCTTCCCAAAGCGGCAAAAATTAAAATTTTATAAGTTTCATAAGAAACCATCTTTTGTCTCATATAACCTTAAACTAGCAATTATGAAGTAACAATTTAACAAAAAAATATTTAATGGAGAATAAAACTAAATATTGCTATGTTTGTTTGCTTAAAATAAACGAAATGAAACAACAACAGGGTTTTTATACATCTAAAGTATCATTCAGTTAAGTACTTTACTCTGTTTTTATTACAATTTTTGCATCAATCGTAACTCTAAAAAAATTAAACCATTGCTTTGCAATAAGAGCGTTCGTATAAGGTTTTGATTTATAGTTAATAGTCTTAATGTCAAAAGAGCATGACAACCAATAGTAAATAAAAGTTATGACAATCCCTTTCATATAATAACAATGTCTTACATGGATCAAATTTAAGTTACACTATCGCTCTATAAAACAAAACTTATAACTTATAACGAAAAACATTTTTTTCCGTTTTTTTGCCCACCCGGCAAGTTCTCGAAAAATTATTTTTTTAAATGGGACAGGTGGGAGCAAGATTGTGTCTTACAAGTAATACCACAACATGTTACTTTAGTGCATAGTATCAACAGCATGCCTAAATTATGCTAAAATTGTAACATATTGCTCAATAAATTACAGACATAATTTTTGGGTTATTTTTTTATTATGACTCACAACAATGTACAGTTACCTTTTAGAGTAATTTACTTAGCATAAAATTAGTTTTAAAATTTTCCTTCACGGGCTTCTTGCATTTTGAATTTTGTCAAAAGCTAATTTGTTTCAAAAAATCCCCTCTACTTTTCACACGGAAAATTGTATAAATAAAACTTTCTCAAAATGACACTAACAACAAACGTTACAAACGTTACAGACGACATAACTCGCTTGTTGTGTGAAGGTGTGAATTAGTCTGTGATAAGGAAAACCTTCATTCAAACGAGCAGGTTACGTTACGAGGTTCAGTTAGGGTCTGTTCATGGATAAAGGAAAGTGACCAATTGCTTTTGAATGGGTGGTCATTAACATACAATCCAACAAGGTTATTACCTAAAATTTCGGAATTAAATTCAGGTAAAATTGTGGTCCATAATAGAAAACTACCTTATGGTAGTGTATTCAACACATGGGTTTTAGATTTAAAAAAATTGACAAAAGGCAAGTTTTCATGGAATCTTTTAGAATTCGGAAATGGCTAGTGGAATATCTAGAAAAAATTAGGATTTACAGAGAACAACAAAGGCCAATTATATTGGACGAAACCTGGTTCGACACTTATGATACCCCGGAAAAGGGTTGGGTTGACTCAATTGATAAGTGTTAAACAAACGCGCCATCAAAAAGAGGTAAAACAATAACTATTATGCATGCTGGCTCTAAAGATGGTTGGATTCCAAATGGACTTTCTCTGTCTGCAAAAAATATTAAAGATTCTTCTCTGGATTACCATGAAGACACCACCGCTGATTTATTTGAAAGTTGGTTTAAAAACAAACTAGTTCCAAACATTCCTCGTACAGCGTAATTGTAATGAACAATGCAAGTTATCACAGTAGACAGTTGACTAAAACCCCATCCTCATGTGACACAAAACCAACAATCCAAAACTACATGTATAATAACGACATTTATTTTTACGAGGATTATACCAAAAAGCAATTAATTGAGGTTCTACAAAGCTGGAATCCACAAAAGGAATACGTCTGTAATAATTATGCAAAAAATCTAGGGCATACAGTTTTAAGGCTTCCACCTTACCACTGTATATTTAATCCCATTGAACATGTTTGGCACCAACTGAAATCTGCCATTCGTCGTAACAATGTTTTTCCCCGTGTGGACTCCAATGTCCTCAAACATATAGAAACCGAAGTTTTTAACATCCCTCCACAAAGTTGGGCAAATTCTGTTAAACATATAGAAAAAGCAGAACAATCGTATATCCATACTGCAAATAATATAGAACAAATAATAATTAGAATAGGCGATGATAACGATAGTGATACTGATATATTATGTGAATAAAAATAATTTCTAATTTTATTTTAGATTTAAACATAAATACATAAATAAATAAATAAATATTGTTTAGTATCTTTCCTAACAAAACCCCAAATAATTAAATTCTAAGCAAAGTACGGCCCTGTTCGGCCATATTTCATTCTTAGAGCTTGTCCGGGTCTTTCCTTAATTCGTATAAGGTAGCCACTTTCTTATATCTATGAACAGACTTTACCCGTGTGGACCCGGCTTTAGACGTCCGTCGCGTAGGCTCGAAGAACGTACGTCGCGCGACGTCGACGTACGTCGCGATATGCAAAACGGACGTGTCTAAATCACCGGCTCCGGAACGTAACATGCGTCTGTTTCCTTCCTCTGTCGGCGCATTTACAAGCGAAACGACACAAAATTTGAATTTCTAATCGCCGAACCCCGTCCCCCGACCCCTTGCCGCCGCCGTCGCCGCCCGCAAATTATTCCAACGGTATCGTTCGGAAAAATCGCCGCCGGGACCGGCATTTTGTTTTGTAACCCTAATTAGCAAAAATCGACGGGGCATTATTCAAAAACGAGGTGTCCCCGGTAAACGCCGGGCGACATTAGCGACACGATCGTTATTGTGACGTGGTGACGGATGGCGGCGGCGCACGGCACTAACACGAATTGTATTTTTGTCCCGCCGTTCAAATTACTAAAGTTGCGTGCGATGAAATCGGCCCGTTGTGATATTTCGACTACATTGCTTATAAAGAAATAAGGAACGTTGTTACAAGTGTAAAGAAAAATCTGCATATTAGTCTTACAATTTCGATTCTAGGAATTCTAAACACTAAACACGTTAATTCTGTTTTTAGCGATATTAACAATTGCCCCGAAACCACTTCTTTCTATAAAAATCGCAAGTTCAGCTCGAATATATCATTTGCATTTAAACTCGCAACTAATGGGTCAATTAAAATTTTAAGTCAAATTCTACGGGTGTTGATTGTGTACCTGTTACAATGCATCAGACGACCCTCCATATTACCGCGCCACAAGTTATACATATTATTAATTGCTGTTTGGAATTAAGCTATTTTCCTAGCATTTGGAAGTTTGCTTTCATCACACCATTGGAAAAAAATAACTATCCCAGCCAGACCTTCGTCCAATCAGTATTCTTCCAACCTTATCAAAAGTTTTGGAGGAAATCATAAATGTACAATTTATGATTATGTTATTTCTTATCATATATATCATATCATATTCTTTAGATAAGGGTCTTGAGACTGCACTTATTTCTTTAGATTACTCCAAAGCCTTTGATCGGCCTGACCATAAACTTGAGTTACTAATGGTTCGATGATGTTTCGGCTTGATTTTTTGAAAACTACTTAACTAACAGATACCACAGAGTTGCCCTTGACAATATAAGTTCTGAATTTCTCCCTGATTCATCAGGTGTACCGCAAGGTTCCGTCCTTGGACCTATATTATTCTTAATTCATATTTCTGATATTTATACATCTATGGAATATTTCAATTTGCATTCATTTGCTGATGCCACGCTGCTATTTTTGCTCCTTTGATCCTAATTTATTCGATATTGCTTCAATTTATATCAATTTGGATTTGCATAACTTATTTCTATATTCTTCTAGGCATAATCTTCAACTTAATGCTAAAAAAGGCAGTGTGATGTTCTTTTCGCTCAAACCTAACATTAATGTATTTATAATTTAACGGTAAACTTTTGAAAATTGTAAATTGTAATAAAAACTTTGGTGTTATATTTGATTTCCCACAAAATCGAGGAACTTAACCGGCTAAAAATTGACAGCACTTTTAAGTACTTTTTGGCGCCTATGGTTTTCCAAGTTATTAGCACATCCAATCCGCCCTACTTACGAGCTAAATTACACTTTCCTAATGTTCAATCAATTTTTTGGCACAATTTTAAGGCACCCCTACAGCCTCTCATTGCCACGATATCGTTTATCTTTGTTCCGCAGATCATTTTCTTATAACGCTGTTGTAATTTTTAATAGTATACCCGATTCAGTAAAATCACATTCAATTAAATTGTTGAAAAAATATTTCAATTTGAAACTGCTAACTTATAATAATAATTTGATTTCCAATGTTATTGTTTTTATTTTTACTTTTAATAACAATATAACAATATACAACAATAAAAGCAATTTATAAATCCAACATATATATATATATATATATATATATATATATATATATATATATATATATATATATATATATATATATATATATATATATATATATATATATATATATATATATATATATATATATATATATAATATATATAAATTACTCGTTTCTCGTGGAATGTTCAGCCACTTAGCCGTTGGGGCACGAAGTCTAGCTCCACTTTAGCCACCCCATAACGCGAAAACCGACTTCTGTAGTGTAATCTTGAACGATCCATAAAAATGAACTCTTCTCCAATGTAGTCGACATGTGGTATATCCTCGCTGTACCTGCCACCCCCACGGATGAAAACAGGGTCGGTTCTTCAGTCCATCGAAATTGCACTCCATATCGTGCAGGAACCTCCCCATAAGGGCTCCGATCTTCATTGCAGCTTTCCTAGTCGTCAATACACAGCCAAAAAGGCATATTCTGATCTTATCTGGGATCAGAACAGATACCCATTAGTCCAATGTCCTGGATTAAGTTTTGGACCAACTGCAGTTGCTTTTGGGGTCAGGTTATTTCCCTTCAGTCTTTTTCTCACTGTCCACTGACTAATAGCCTAACTTAGGTTAAGCTAACAGCTCCCTGGCGAAGTCCACTTTCGATTAAAGTAGCATGCAATTAAACCCTATGCAAATGGTTAAAAACGAATTACGTGAAAATTCCTATTGAAAAGGCGATAATTGAAGTCTATAATAACAAAAATTCTTGGGTCATGTCGCTATCAAAGTTGCTTTCAAAATATATTTATAGATATAATAGCATTCTTCTGTTAAAATGTGTTTAACAGTTTTTTTAAATTCCAAATTCCAACGGGGAACAGATGTTCCTGAAAGCTGCCGGTATTTTGTCTTACAGTTTAATACCACACGTGACGTGGAAGTCGGAATTCTTTACTTTTGCACTGATAAATGAAAACTGAAGGAAGGATGAGTATTTTCTTTTTTTTTAAATAGTGGCTTCCGGTGATTCTTACTTTGTGCACAACACAAAGTTCGAACAATCTTTGTTTCTTGAATTTTAAACATTATATCTGGCTCTGAAGAGAAGTTAATGAAGTTACTAAAGTAAAACGTTAAAGCTGTCTCAAAAGTTGTAAGTTGAATTACCAAGGTCTATTGCTCCAAATAAATTAAACAAATAAAAAAGTGTATGTAATGTACTCGAAACCTAGGGGGGTTACAAAAAAAAAATAAAATACAAAAGTTGTTTCAATTTAAATGACCTGATTTCTTTTATTTTCCTCATCGTCACTTTTTTCTACAGATGGTCAATAATCCTTTCAAAGATAAATTCAAGGATATATATGAGTATGGGTCTGTGGCGCGCCGTTTCAACTTATTAGCGATCATCTTCAGAATACCAATCGTCATTGTTGGGTTGCTTATTAACTATTTAAACTTTTTTTCGTCTATTATATTTGGAACACCCTGAATAGATAAACAAAGTGGGTTCTGCAACAACATAACCTCAAAAACTTGCAATCGCCCCCCTCGCCGCCCCGCAGGGGGCCCGATCCTTCTAGCGGGTGCACCGCCCCTGATGCTTGCGTGCTTTGCCCCGAATACCCCCGAATACCCATCTATCGAAAAAAAAACGTGTTTGGAAGTTGGTTAATTTTGAAGGATTCTCGGTGCACAGGTTCCGGGCAGATCCAGCTGTGGCAGTTCCTGCTCGAGCTGCTTAGCGACTCATCCAACGCCGCCTGCATCACGTGGGAGGGTACCAACGGCGAGTTCAAGCTGACCGACCCCGACGAAGTGGCCAGGAGGTGGGGCGAGCGCAAATCCAAACCCAACATGAACTACGACAAGCTGTCCAGGGCGCTGAGGTAAGGTCGGGATCCGGCTCGCAGGATCATTTAAACGTTAAACATATAACTTTGTTAAAAAGCAATCTGCGGGCCAATCGTAAAAATAATTTTCTATTATCGGAACAATCACGTTCCAGAAACAAGGCAAAAAATAGGCACCGGGTAACTGCGTTACCAAATTGGACGGTCGACGGCGCAGTGCCGGACTCATTCCATATTTAACCTCCCGCTATATAAATTAAAACTCTGTGCGTCAACAAACAGTTTTAATTAAAATCTGAGCAATTTTTAGCGATATATTTAACACACTCAAAGAGTTTGCACCTTTTGTGGAAGTGTTAATCTTCTTAAGTTTTTAGCTAGTCTTTAATTTAGTATTTTTTGTATGTATGTTTGTTCGTGTTCTTTTAAGCACTCCCTTTTAGTGAAAGTGATTTTGCATTATTTTCTTTTTTTGATTCAAATTGTAAATTTTTTATTTTTTTAATTTGTGTTTGTTTTAATATTTTTTTAATTTTTTTTAAATATTTTTTGAATGTATTTTTGTTCCTCTTATTTTACGCATTTCCTTTTAGTCAAAGTGATTTTGTATTTTTTTTTATTTTTTTTTTCGGTTATACGTTAATTTCACTTCAACTTTAATTTAATCGACTTTCTTATTGATTACTTTTTTTTGTATTGCACCGCTTATACTTGCCGACACCGTATATTTAAAAAAAATATATTGCTGCATACAGTAAATTTGAGGTTAATGAATATATTGTCTAATACCAACGAACCAACGAAAAGTGACATGACGTCTAAAAATCAAAGCCATCTGATGGCTGGGAAGAACGTTCGTTAGCCTTGCCTATTACTTTATTCTCGATATAGACCTGGAAGGACAATCTAAAAAATCGAATCCAATCGTGCCGATGGGTAGGGCGGTGGGGACAGGGGGGGATCGGGTCGCCACATGACAAACTGCATCGAGTCGAGAATATGCCGACTGGGGTCAACAATCAAAGATCGCAGTAAATCTAACCCCAATAGAAATATGGCATTTCGAAGGGGGACGATTTTTTCTCTCGTAGACACATCGCGTAGACCTTACATTCTAATCATTTAATCCCACCTTTTACCCCGATTCTTATTCAGTTTCTTAATGGTAATAATAATAATAGTCTTTATTGAGATATTTTAAATTATTGCATAATATTAAGACAATATTACTTAATACCAATACAAACCAATATAGTTACACATCTGAAACTGCGAAATCTACAACATTAACCTGATAATACAATAATAATAATTATTATTATTATTACCATTATTAACATATTAATATCGTTACTGAATGTTTTCACGGTAGCAATGAGACTCTTGGGTTAAGGGTAATTATTATTATTAATATTATTATTATCTTTATTATTAATATTATTAATATTATTGACTACTTTACACAGAAATCATGCGAATTTGTTTTTAAGGTATTAAAACATTTCGACAATCAACAAAATTACAGACCACAGAAAACTATACAATCACACGTTAAAAAATTACGTTATACTTACTATACATATTGCTTTTAAAGTGGTGTCGCAAAATATTCAATTATAGGGTAAACGCAATAACCAAACTAAAGGATACTAAACAGAAACACTGATTTTTATTTTAAAGACAAGGGGAACTCTGTCTTAAAAATCGCCATTAACAGATTTCACTTGACTTGTTTTTATTAAATAGTAATAAATACATTAAACAAAAACAAAAAACTAAAGCTTGTTTCCTCAAATTTGCAAGCTGGAGTTTTCATTATTATTTTCTACTCGCGATTCATACTAGCGGTAGTTAAAATAACCCGAACAAAAATAGCAATTCAAGGGGATATACGAGGTGTGTTCAAAAAGTAAAATGCTTTTTAAGTTTTATCAAAAAGTTTTTACTTGTTTATCAAAATTTATGTTGCTCCTTTCAAAGTAATCCCCCTCCCAGATGTAATACGTTTTTTCCAATCTTCCTGGTAAGCACTTTCTAGTAAAGTGAGTATGGTGGCTGAGGCATGAATGTGATTTTGTTTCTGGCCAAAAAGTTACGATGAGCGAGCAGGCGCATTATAATTACAATCAAAGAAAACACTAAGCAATTAATTTAATCGAATTTGACGCGCTTTTTTGGCTCTTGGCGATTCTGCGTTCTTCCATTGGGCCATAATCAGTTAAGAGCGTTTTGAGCATATCAGGATCATCATTGACGGCGATGTTATTTCAACCTTTCTTGCGTTCAAAATTAAGCAATGTGCACGTTTCTCTGGGTCTTCCTCTTTTACGTTTTCCTTGCATTTTTCTCTGCCAAACTCTTTTAACCGGTACGGTGCTGCCTAATCTCTGTAAATGGCCCACCAGCCAAGTTGTTTCTTTTCTATGACTTCTTCTATGGATTCCACCTTTAATTCTTCTCTTATATTTCTAAATTTGTGGTTCCGGTTATTCCTTTCACTCTCCTCAAATATCTCATCTCTGCTGCTCCAATGTTGCTCTTGCCACTATATCCATGTGTAAGGATTGGCCTGTCAATTGTTTTGTAAACTTTCATTTTAGTTTATTTGCCTTTACTATTCTAATATTTAATTCTGCGTCCTGTCCTCTGGTTTCTTCGAACATAATTCGCAAGTACTGAAACCTACTAACTTGTTCTATTAGTATTCTCACCTCTAATTTCTCTTTTTCATTTGCCATAATATTGGTTTTATTTATGTTTACCGATAAAATCATTGTACGTCAGCTGGTGAACATTACATGCGCTTGAAATTTTATTTTTTCCTCTCTTCGATCGTGCCACTGTCATGATTGTTTTCCAGTCATTTAAGCAAAAGATTGGGATATACCTTTTGGCTCGTTTTATTGCACTATGCATCGAAGCTGCTTCCATGTGTGAATTTCCTTTTTCTAAAAAGTTATGTGATATAATTCCTATACGTAGAACTATAAATTAAAAAAATATATAAAACAAGAATGTATTTACTGTTATAAATTAAATTCTAGAAAATTTGGACTTGGCCACTTTGTTTACTGAAAATCAAGAACGAATAGTCAAACGACGAAAAAAATTACAACATTATATTCATCGTTTTTAGACATAAAAATAATAAAACTTAATTATTACATACAATAAGCTATATTAAAGTTTTATGGTAAACACTATTTAGTTTTACAATCAGATCTATTATTATTATTGTACCAACTGACAATACCGTTGCATCTAATGATAAAATTTTTGAAATTTTAAGTAACTTTTGAAACCCTTCATTTTTTCTTGTTACACTATTAAATTTATCAAGAATAATTTTCCCAATTCTGCTTGGAACTTTTTTCAACAAATGTTCGCACTCTTCTGCTATTGAAACTGACTCTTAACAATGACATTTGTTCGGTCTCTATTTTTTTAATAAACGTGCTTTAACAAATATGCTTTGGTCATATACGCTGACTAAGGGAAGTAGTATATCTGAAGCCAAAAAGCAGTTAAGCTTTCATTTACGAATCGTACAATCTCTATACTGTTAGTTTTTTTTTCAAACTGTTTTGTACTGATTAAAAAAGGTTTTGGTGAAACATTTTCATCCAAAACACCAACAAATAAATTCGCAACCTAACGACCACAAGCATCTGTTGTCTCCTCTACAACAAGATGCTGATTTTAATATAATTTCTTATGTCTTGAATTACATGTTTGTAAATGGAACTTTCTTAATGTACTTTCACAAGGACATTTTTGTTGCAAAATGTTTCTAAAAACTGTTTAAATTTAGTGTTCTGTGCCTTATTAAGGGGAATGTTTGCACTTAACAGCGCTTCCACTGTATATTTAATCCCATTGAACATATTTGGCACCAACTAACCGAAGTTTTTAACAAAGTTGGGCAAATTTTGTTAAACATATAGAAAAAGCAGAACAATCGTATATTCATATTGCAAATAATATAGAACAAATAATAATAATAATAATGATAGGGATAGTGATACTGATATAATATATGAATAATTTTATGTAAGTAATAAAAATACATACAGAAATAAATAAATATTGTTTAATATCTTTCCTAACAAAACCCCAAATAATTAAATTCTAAGCATTCTTACAGCTTACCCGAGTCTTTCCTTGATTCGTATTATTTAGTCACTTTCTTATATCTATGAACAGACTTTACATTTCATTTTTAATCTTATCCGTTGGGAAAATCCCAGTAATAAACTAATGAATGTGTCGAAAATATGCGATTTTATGTTCGGAAAATAGACAAAATGCAAAATACAACAACTAAAAATATTTACTAAAGCGAAATATGTATTTTCTTATATCGTTAATCTAAATGTTTCATTCTAAAACGGGTATATCCAAAATATTGGGTTGATATTCCTGAAAATAAAAGTTTGCTGAGGTAACTTAAATTGAAATAGAAATTGAATTGTTTTCCTTCATCGGCAGGTATTACTACGACAAAAACATCATGACCAAAGTCCACGGGAAACGGTACGCCTACAAATTCGACTTCCAGGGGTTGGCGGCGGCCACGCAGCCCGCCTCCAGCGACCCCAGCAGCTACAAATATCAAAGCGACTTCTTCATGAGCTCGTATCACCACAGCGCGAAACTCGGGAGTTTCATGGGTCCGCACGCGACCATCCCCAGTTCCGCAGGTACGTTTTGTCTTGGAGAATTGAATTCGCCACCCTACTATACTGAAAATTTTGAATGTTTAGGAACCCAGTATAAACACTGAACTATGAGTAGTTGCAGGTTCTTTTCTTTTGGAAGACGAACGAGTGCAAACGTCAAATAAGATGAAAATTGACCTAAAATATAGGGTAAATCGAGAAGACGCGGAAAACGCTTTTGAAAAACTTTTTTATTTATTCGATTTAGGGATAGGACTATATATATATATATATATATATATATATATATATATATATATATATATATATATATATATATATATATATATATATATGATGACACTATATTCCGGGATATCATCCGTTCGCTCGTTGAACTCCGACTGGAATCCTGCATCCGACTGGAATCCTGCAAATCTTGCATCCGACTGGAATCCTGCAGACGTTTCGCCAAAATCTCACTTGGCATCTTCAATGCTCGCGCTCCGAAAACACTTCGAACACTCAACGAGCGAACGGATGATATCCCGGAATATAGTTTCATCATATATATATATATATATATATATATATATATATATATATATATATATATATATATATATATATATATATATATATATATATATATATATATATATATATATATATATATATATATATATATATATATATATATATATATATATATATATATATATATATATATATATATATATATTTATAACTGTGTTTAGATAAAGAGTGTTTCCTGCATCACATTTTAACAATATGTCTCAAAGTACACTGAAAATATAATTAAATACGCATTTTTCAAAAGTTAACTAACTAAATTTTAAAATATGCATTTTTATAAAGTTAACTAACCAAAATCTGTGTTTACATAAAATTGTCATCTGCACCAAATTTTAAAATATATGTCAAAATACACTGAAGAGATTAATGAAAATGCAACTAACTGTGTTTAGTACCAAATTTTTAAAATGAGTCTCTAAGTTCGCTGAGTATATAAATAATTTAGCATTTTTAAAAACTTAACTACCAAAATCTGCGTTCTTAGCGTCATGTGCACCAAATTTTCAAAATGTACTGCGGAGTACACTGAAGATATAAATAAATACGCATTTTAAAATCGAAAGAGAGTCCTGCCGTCTTTGTTGATCCAGTAATCTCTAGTCGAAGGTCGTCGAGCTTCTACCACACGTTTTACCTCTCGATAATACTAATGTTCTCCTAATAACGATTATTACTTAATACTGGGGGTATTAAACCGTAACCCATGCCAATAAATAACCCCATTAGTCGGGCAGATAAATAAGTCGTGCGGCACAATAGATTCGCGAGTAATTCGAATCAGGGGGCAATAAAAACTCCCGCGGGATGGAAATCTGGACGTCCGAATGTCCATTAGTGTTCGCGACGCAGGGGTAGTTTGTAACAATATCCTTATTTGGGAGGGGCCCCCGGTTAAATGACGGGTAATGATCGGGCCGCCACGGCCCTCGGGGGCGGCCGAAACAATGAGCAATCAGCGCGTTACGTCATTAATGGGACGTGTTAACCGAAGAGGCCCCCGAGATCCGTCATGCCGCCGCCAAGAATGTCATAATTATTTTTTAATGTCGAGTGTCTATTGTGGGGAGAGAGCACCGTGGCCGATATGTAGGGGCTCATTGTTTCTGATCGGGAGCGTATATGGGGGACGATCTCGGTTAGAACTCGTCGACGACGTCTGGAGCTATAAAGCAGTAATCAACTTAATATTAAATTAATAACACTAAATTATTCAGGTTAATATTAAGATTAAATATAACATAATTAATTTCTGGCTTTCTAATTGCAAGATATATAAATTTTCCTTTGCCGAAACTAAGAAGGGAAAAACAAAGCCATATTCATATAGATTCTTCAAAAACTTCTTAGTGAGAGAAATAAAATGCTCATCATTAACTGTTGCTTGGAGTTCCGGCTATTTTCCAAATGGAAAACCACTTCCGAAAAATTCAAAGCCCCCTTCGAGTTATTTTAATACCGGTTTTATCTCAAATATTTGAAATATTTTTTCAAAAATCTGCTGCCCTTGATCAGAGGCTTATAGTAGATGCATAAAGGGAGTTCAGGCGAACTTCCTTTGTTTAGATTATGTTCATCTGAACTCTTTTTATGCATCTACTCAAAAAACACAACTTGAAACTAAATCCTGAGACAATTCAGTTTATGACTTCTTGCGGAGCAAGAATAATGTCTACCGGCGATACTAAAAATTACATTCCGAAGAACGTTGAATTGAAACTGTCATTTTTCCAATTAGGGTTAGTTAGGATAAAAATTTTGAGAAATTATGTAGATAAAAACTTATTAGAAGCTATTTCTAAAAAGTTCAAAATGTAGTAATTTTTAAATGGCTGTAATTAATCTTCTTTTAATGATAATCATACTTTGTTATACTGTTTTGGAAAGCTTAAAAACTCAAATTTAACTTTATAATGTTTTCTTTGTAAAAAATCGCAAACATTATACGTAAATTTAGTTTTAGTGAAAAAAGAATTTTTTCCATTTTAATTAAATTGGAAACTACAATAAAAATAGTTGCCCCTTAGAGTTGAGCTACAGGGCTCATCTTTGGTGAGGATGTTTTTTATATCAAAAAGAAACATTTGAGAGAGTATGAGCTAAGAAAAAAAATTTTTTTTGAAGCACCCTAGTATACATACATATATCATTGACAATTGATAACTACAAGTCAATATGATTTTCAAAAGGTTTTTGGAAAATCTGCTGCCCTTGATCAGAAGCTTGCAGTAGATGCATAAAGGGAGTTCAGACGAACTTCCTTTGTTTAGTTTATGTTCATCTGAACTCTCTTTATGCATCTACTTTTGCTTTTCACGAGCAGATGAATTCGACACAATAAATCAGTGCCTCCAAACAATAAATTTGTGTTTCGGTGAGTTGCAAATCCATAAAATTGTCCAGAAAATAACACTTTCAATAAATTAATTGTGTTTCCGGTATAATAATGGAATGACTTTTTTAGAATTTTTAAGCGGTCCAAGGGCTAAAAATGTACAAAATAACCAGAATTTATAATTATAACAACGAAAGAAAAATGTTTTTGATAATTTTTGAGGCGGGCCTCCTTGTTTTAGGGGGCGCCTTGCCCCCAATCTTCCCTAAAATAGAATAGCAAGAAAGTGACGCAAAAAAGTTCACAGCTTTCGATCCCCCGGATACGGCCTCAGCGATATTATGACACATAGCCGATTTATGGCCACGTCTAATGCCGTCGAGTTCGTCGCGGAAAGACGATTTGGGCGTTATTTATGGGGTGTTCCATTTAATGCACCGTTACGTACTGTCGAATGGCGAGATAACTAATCACGGCAACTTTTTAACCCTCCGCGAAGCGTTTTTTTTTGCCCGAGAGAGAGTTTTAGCGAAGCAATCGTAATAAAAACAACAAATATAAGAAAGATTTTATTTAATTCGCATTCGCAACCGGTTGTAGTGTTGAAGATAAATCGCCCAAACCGGCAACGTTGCATGCAACCGACACCGCAGTATCACAGCTAAGCATTAACTGTCTAACTTTTACGTTTTATGATGTATTCAAAGTCTGTGTTCAACCCGGGTTCGTGCTAGGCTTGCCAACTTTTTTTACATGAGTAAAGTAAATAGTGTTTTCTTTTTTTTATTTTGAACTCTTTTTTCGGACATTTTCGCACATTTTAACAATTTACGGTTATTTAAAATCTTTATAAGCTTCTGCACACCACAAATCAAAATTAAAGCGAAAGCTGTATCAAACTTTAACCGAATTAAAATATTAACAGTTGCCGCACTGTCTGTCGGGCCTTTGAAGCGTCTTCGATGTGTTGAGATTACGAGGGATCTCCAATTGTATGTTTGTTCCGCGTGCAGCAAGACTTAATGTGATCATGCTCTTTAAAACAAAAGCTATCAAGCCGAACGAAAAATTTAATCATTAAATAAGAACAAGGCTTGAAGGGTTTGACAATAAAACAATGCTATCCTTATCAGTAAATTCCACAGAGTGGATACGCACTTCATTAAATTCATATTTTTTTCCAAGTTTAGTATAGGAACACTATTGATTAAAGGACCCTCTGGAATTTAATGTTAAGGATAGAACATTTCTATTGCAACCTTGCAAGCCATGTTCTGTTTTAATGGTTTAATTTTCCGTTCCGCTTAAAAGCTTCTGAATCAAAGGAGTTATTTATTTATTTGTAGTACACACTTTTGGTACGATAATTAGATTAAATAGTAGGAATACAAAGGAAAAAATTAAAATTTTGTTTTCCTTATTTATTTTGTTATAATATTTATGTTTATAAAAAATTCAAGCGTTGCCTAAGTCCGGGTTTTCTACGGAACGTCACCATACCAACAACCTTTTACTATATTTTGTCACTCTTTTAGAGATTAGAACAATAATTTTTGATCCTCCGTTAACAAATATTTATTTGGCTGAACTGTCGAAACAACTCTCGCATTTAAAGAATATTGGTTGGGATTTCTTTACAATTTTCGGCTAAAATTGGCCCCCTCCTCTTATAAATAAGCCAAAGAATAAAATCGAGTGGTTAGTCAACACTTTGACTGTCACTTCCAGAGGTCACTCGCTAATGCAAATATTTGCTTTAAGGGGTGTGAGGTGGGTTGCCGGACTGATATACGGTGTGTTAAAAAAACATATCCGCTACGAAAAACACTCAGATTCACGTTTTTAACAATGTATTAAAACTAATTCGTCATATAAATGCTGTCTAACTGTGTACTTTTTATATATTTTTTAAATAAATGCTTAAAAGATGAAGAGATACCGGTGATAATAAAAACATTTAACAATAGCAGTTTTGGCAACAGCAGTTTAATTTTTTTAATATTTTATTTAATATTTTTGATGTCTAGAATTTTCATTTTTTATAAATTACATTACATGTTTCGATACTCCTAAAAAAATTGCATAAATAAATCGAAACCCATATTTTGTATTTGGTTCCTGCGTAATTGTGCTTCAAAATGAGCATAAATACAAACCGCAACCGATTTGGTATTTTTTGATAAGGACAAAACGCCCGAACCGGCAACGTTGCATATAGCCCCAACCGCAGCATCACAGCTAAGAATGAACTGTCTAATTTTCACGTTTTGTGATGTGTTGTGCTAGAAACTGAGTACTTCAAACTCGGTGAAATAAAACCATTTATTTTAAATAAGGAACCGGTATTTTTTTTTTCAACTTTTAATAACATATGGTTTGGAGTTTTTCGCACAATGTCACAGTTTATGATTATTTTGAAAATGTTCATAAGCTTTTCCACTAAAACAAACACAAAATATGAGACCATTTTACAAATATTTTTAAAAACTTTTGAACGACATTAACTCCGAACATAAATGGGCTCTCAATATTTTTTTCAAAACGATCAGAAGAAAACTAGTTTAGTACATCACTCGCTTCCAATGTTTTAAATGTTTCGATTAATAACTTCTCTATCTACTTCTAATAAACTCGAATAATCTTTGGGCAGTCAATTTCCAAACTAACAAAGTAATCACAATTAGGTCTCCGGTGAAGCAAAATTGCATCTATTACTGTTAGGAGAGATAACCGACGGCTTCCTATGTGTATTGGTATCATGAAACTATCCTGCAGCTCTTGTTCTCTGCAGGCCGAAAGAGAAAAAATTTTCAAAATTACTTTGAGGATCACACGTTAACCTTGGTTAATTTGGAAAACAAAGTGTATACTATTAAATATCTTAATTCTGTAAACCTTGAGGAAACAAAATCAAAAACAAACAAAAATGACCAAAGCAAATGACTCGAAAAGGTTATGTCCACTTCACGTCAGACGTTCACGTTATATTCCGTCATCCTGTCGCGTCGCTTCTTCTTCTCTTTTTCGAGAGATTCGGCTATAATATAATAATAATATAATGTCGGCAAGTTCATAAAATATTCAACTTTTTGTATTTCGTATCCTGTTTTTTTAAAGGAACAGTAAAGCGTATTAAAAAGCAAAGTATAATTCTGTTTTTAACAGTTTGGTTGGTATCCCTAGTCTGTGCCTATATTTGGTCGATAATAAGCTCTCATGTGTTGACGGCAGAGTTTTGTTTATAGATATAGATTCTTCATCTGGATGGGGTGCAGAATCATAAATTCTATTAAATTAGATAGTACCTATACGGCATATTTTTCGTTTCAGCGTCGATCTTCCCGTCGCCGGGATCGTACTGGAACAGTCCGGGGGCGAACCTGTACAGCAACATTGCGGCAACAACGCACTCGATCGGGCACCACGCCGCCCCCCACTTGGGGGCGCCACCGCTCGGCTCGTATCCCCACTACGCATGACCGGCATCGAACGCCTCGACCACCGACTGGAGCAGAAAACTATCCATGTGACTTTTCACGTAATCAAGCGGTGTGATCGGGGCGTCCTCCAAACATTCTAGTCATCACCAAAGACTCATTTAATACTTGTGTATAGTTAGAGACGAGTGTGCAATGGGGTTTCCGAATGTACATACATACAGAGGGAGGGAAATGTATAAAACACACACCCCGCCACGCGGGGACTCTGTGATAAACGTTTTAGGTATTTTTCCGACGTGAGTCGCGTGCTGGGCACGACAGATGGCATCCCGACCAGCGGGAACGCTGATCTGTGGTGCGACCGGCCTGCTGCAACGCGTTCCTTTCGATATTAAGAGGTGTTAACGGAACAACATGGCACGGCGAGCAGCACGTAAGAATTCCATGGCGGCCACAGAGAAAACTAATTAAAAAGAGAGCCGAGGCAATCGGGATCGCCGGGGATAACCTCACTCGCGCAGAATACTTCGTCTTTTACGATTCACGCCAAGTTGGGCCATATTACCTGGATCATTCGCCCACTCGCGGAGAACAGACGATCAAAACCAGCATTCAATCAGAGAATACGGAAAATATTTCGAACTACGGTACAAAATAATTGCCTGCCCAACTAACAAAACTGGATTCGTGTATTGGCATTTTAATATACATTTTAATTACATGTTGCAGTACTTAGATTCTAATTTAATATAACAATATAATATATACTCAACACACAAAATAAAGCTAAAGGGCGATACGATTCGAATGATGGGAAATGAAATCTCGAATGAATAAAGGATGACAGACTTTGGTAACTTGGGAAGCCGCACACACGGCGCAACGTCGCTTTTTCTTAGCCGAATTTTTGTTTCCCTTGGCTTTTTAAATTCATTTTTTCAAATGCCGTTACGCTTCCGTACGATGTTGTTCCGCCATTTTAATGACTTGTAAATAGCGACTGTAAAATATAGATGGCAGTATTCGTCGTGAGATTAGCAACCTAGACAGTGTCGTTCCGTGTTCGGTAAAGGTACCGCAAGTCGTAGCTAGATCTAGTCCACACAGCTATACTATAAAAAAAGCGCGACATATACCTAGATCCGCGTACGCGGCCAGAAAACGACCGCGTATTTTTAAGATATACATAAAAATATATATAAATGTTGGTATTTATTATACAAAATATAGCCCGAAAGTGAAATTAGGACCGTTTTTGTCATACCCCCCACACCAAATACCAACCAAACCGATGAGACAATGCACAGTGGTCCCGTCTTATAGGACATGCGGTCATGAAATTTTCGCGCTAATGGGATATTTTGAAAATGGGATTTTTGTGGATATTTCAACTTTTCCAAGACAAATACATATTTTTAAACTTTAATATAAATAAAAAACTATTTACTTTCAAAAAGTAAAATTTTATTAACAGCAGGAAAAAAATCATATTATTTTAATAAAACACGATTGTTGGCCACAAATTTTTAATTTTGTCTTCAAAATACGCAAAGAAGGTTCATTAATTTCCTTGGCCAACTGAAATCGCACAATTCTGCAAAATGGAGTGGTGGGGGGGAGCGGATTCTTCCACACAATGCCATTATCCGAAGTTGCTTATTGACAAAGTAGTTGGAGAGGAACATAGGATGTCACAAATAGGTTTCCATCAGAAAACTTCTGCTTGTATTCACTATACCCTAAACTACCATCAAACCCCCATTTTCCTATTAACATTAAGTCTCGTTCGAGTGCATGAGTTGACAAAACGTCTTTTTGTGATTCAAGAATCCGGTTAGCCGTGTGAGCCAGAAGTGACTGCAGTTCAACTTCTTCGGATGTGTCCGACACTTTTTCATCCGAAGGATAGCACGCTTCTTTGCCTCCAGAACTTTGTGATGGGAAGGAAAAACATTTGGGGCCATTTTTGAATTAACAAAATCTTTAATTAATGTATAGTGATGTCTGGTCAACTTAACTTCAACATAAAGCGAAAGTATTTCGACTGCATTGATCTGCGAACTGGTGGTTTTGGACTGATCTTTTAAATGTTTAATTGCAGAACTATCTAATTTAGATAATACCGTCAATCTCGGCCGTTTAGATCCTGCACTACATTCTTCAAACTGTTTCAAAAATATTTTTGGCTTGCTTGTTGACGGCTCTTGATCGTCGGAGACCTGCTGGATTTCTGCCACTTCATCCAGCAGAATAGGTTGGGCAAGCTGAAGTTCACAAATTTCTGTCACGTTCCTGGTGCTTAGCTACTAGTTTTGATATAGAACTAGAAGTTTGCCTCCAATACTCATTGAACTCTATTGGGCAAAGTCAAATCGGCTAAGATTTCACCGGTTTTTTCCGAATTTTTGTCTGCATTCTTGGCTAACCAAGTATTAAAAAGGTACACCCTCGTGAAGGTGCATTTGACTATTTGATCTACAACAAAAGAAAAAAAATAATCCTTCGTTTTTTTTGTGTACATTCTCTGCTATGTATTTTTTTATTGTAAAATTGATAAAAAGAAAAGATTGGTAAAGAACTTTAATAAATCGGGGCCCAAAAATGCAAAAAACAGCATATCTACCAGGTGACTAAAGTTTGTTTTGTCTCTCGGTGAATTATAGCCCGAGCGTAGGGATACACTGTGAGATTGTAGTCCGTAGATATATAATGCACTATAACAAAAACAATGATATAAATAATTTTTTTAACAAAACGTTACGTTGATATTGCTATTGGAAAATACGTGCATTTAAAGCTAACCATAAAGGGATAAGAATATAACTTTTTTTGACACATCCGGCGACATTTGGCGACATCGCATCTTACTAGGTTTTAAAGTAGAGGTTCCCAGCATTTTATCAAGCTACATAACTTGCGAGAGGTAAAGCATTTGAAAGTTACGTTGACGTTTTTAAAAAAACTAAAAAAGTGGCAATGATGGGCCAATAAAAAAAAATAAATATATATTGATTACATTAATAAGTCTAAATATTAAAAATATATACCTTAAACAGCAATGTCCATTACGGCACCACTTGTTTTCACAGTTTTTAGTGCGAAACTATATAAATCCAGGTAGAAACAAACACGAAAAAGTTCACTGACCTCCGTAATACGAAGGGTGCGTTTGACGAAGTTCTCACTTTGGCGAACGAAATCTTAGTGAGGGGCTAGTTAATACCGGATTTTCTTTTATAATAATCATAAATGAAATTTTGACCTTTTTGGATATATGAATGCAGGCAGACCACAGTGCAATAGTGTAAATTCACGATCTCGTTGCGAAGACGACCGATAGATGGGGCTGCCTCGTCGCCCGTAACTAATAGCCCTTAATAGTGACAACGAGTTGGGTTGGGGGGCATGAATAATGGACGACGGGGCGTGAAGGGCGCTTTAAATTCCATTTCGCGTCATTAACCACTCTTTTTTTTTTCGCTTCAATCCGGTTTCAAACGGCTAACGTTTTCGTTCGTTCGTTTCGGGGCGACTAACCTGTTTTAAAGTTACGAAATTATTAAAAATATGTTTTTTTTATCTTTGTTCTGTGTAGTTCAGCGTGAACTTATCTACGTGAAACTGCGGCACGTGATCTCCGCAAGCTGTTTCGAACTAAAAACACCCCGAATAAAAAAACTGGCGATGCCTCTTTGTTAAATCCTATAAAAGTCGAATTTACAGGCTAAAATAAGTGTTTCAATTGTTAATTTGTGTTTTACGTCAAACCCCACGGTCAAAAAGAAGAAGAAAAGGGCGCATTAAAAAGCGAAGCTCGTGACTCGTTTCGCAGTCGGCTGTGAAATCGTGCGTGAAACATATGCCTGTCAAGCGGCACGCGCCACATAATGACGTAATAATGTATTGATACATGGAACGCCACCCTAAAATGTTACGAATTTTCGTCGGTCGAGATTGCGGAGGGGGACTCCGATATCGTATTCATTTTGTTCCGTCCGAGGAAACCCACCCCGATAAATCTCCGAGCAAACCGAGCGAGCAGTCCGATCACGTAGTCGTTAATTTCGGAAGCTTCCCGCGAACTAAATTTCTATTGCGACGCCGGCTCGGTCGAAAACGGGAGCGGCGTTATTGGAAAATTATTTAATTGGGACTTTCGCCGAAAAAAAAAAGTCGACCCTGCCAGGATTCGAACCTGGAATCTTCTGATCCGTAGTCAGACGCGTTATCCGTTGCGCCACAGGGCCCGTTGAGTTGAAATTGTTCAACCTGTATACAGTGGGCCAAAAAAGTCTCTGTACACAGCGTTTTTTTAGTTTTCTTTTAGTTTCTTCTTTCGCTTACATTTAATGAGAAATAGATTTCAAGTAAATATCAGCAATCATTTAAGGCACTTTATTTGAACGACAAAAGATAAGGTAGTTTTAGAAAATGAGTTATACTTGTTTACTTTTGACGCCACTTTTAAATCATTGATTTTGAAGTAAAAGCAAAATCCGCGTTAAAAATTGCGAAATTCCAATTGCGCTTCGAAAAATCATAGTAGAAAAAATCCTTAGAGATATTGGTAAAATAATTAAAAAATCACATTCAACTGCACAGTTTGTTTTTTTTTCCTTACGCTTAATTGGACTCATCTCAAATTCGGATATGCACCCATTTTCCGGCATCCGCCAAGGAATATTAACCGATAACAATTTTTCAGGCACACAACACCCAGGGCTCCCGGTGGGAATCGAACCCACAACACAGTATGTAATAAATCAATACAAATCCACCTGATCTTATAAAAAGTACGGCCACGCTCTTGTCCCAGGAAGTTAACTGCACGAGAAGACGCGAAAAAAACGTTTGGAATTTGCCAGCGAACACATTAACAAAACCAGGGAGTTTTGAGAAAACGTTACCCTTAGGGACGAAACAAAAATTAATCTTTTTTAATCTGGGTCACATGGTCGGGATAAAGTTTGAAGGGAAAAAATAAAGCTCTGAAATACAAAATATTAGATTTTAAGAAACTTTTCAATTTATGATAAAAAATAATAGGATCATTGGAGGTGAAATAAATTATTATACATACTGCAGCCAAGTTCAAGACTGTGCCGATAATTTCAATTTAAAAGGTTGGTAGCAAGTTAACAAAAGAGGTTATTGTGTTCCCTTTAGACTGAATTACGAACATTTAATAAGGACATGTTGGTTGAAAAACAGACGATCGGCGTTAAAATTTTGCTGGGTAACAATGAACAATGAATAAAAACATAAATTCTAACCGACGCAGGTTAAATCGCCTTTTAAAGCATTCCCTATAAAGAAGAATAAATTGAAATGGCGGCGCCATCTGTTGCGCGGGGATCGCAACACCGCGGTCGGGTTCGCTCGACGTCGGGTAGACGGCGCGCGTGCGCGACCGAAATGGAAGGAGCGAAATGGAGCGCTTCGCGACACGACCGTCGCAATCAGCTGTGCCAGTGTCCATCGACTCGGTGCCGAAATTCAAACTGGGAAAAAATCAATAGGCCGCCGGATCGATAAATTTGACAACGGTAACGCGATTTAGAGTCGTCTTCTCATAAGACACGAAAATGAACGGTCCTCATTTGAGCAGGGGTAAGTGGTTTGAAATGAAGAGGTGCGCGACACCCACTACCTGCGGTTTGTTTATTTACTTGTTAGTGCAAAACGGTAGTCTAAAAATAGACCGAATGCAATGCATAAAATGACATCATCGCACGTATACGCGTATTAACAATTTCTTTACGCAAGTCGATAAAAAAAATGCTCTTCGAATTGAAAAAAGTCGTTTTCGTTGTTTCGCTGTAAAGAAAGCCAAGCTTCGACGACGTCGCGTAGAATCCGGTCAAGGAGCCTGTCTAACATTAAACTCTTCCTCTTTATCACGCTTATTTTCGTCCGATTACCTCATTGCGAGTGTTGAAATTTATTTTAATATTATGCGGACGTCGCTGACCTTAATTCAAAATGAATAGAAAATGTTCGCGTCATTTCGAACGGTTTAATTTTTACAAACCCGTGTGTTGGCAGGCTCGAAACAACCCTCTCCACCGCCGAAAGGCAAACTGCGCCTGTACAGCAACAGATTTTGTCCCTATTCGCAAAGGGTGATCCTGGTGCTGGATGCGAAAAAAATAGCGTACGTATAACCAAAGAGTATAAGATAGAAGGGAAGGCTCCGATTAGTGGCAATGTTAGAAAGGGTACACGAGTTTCAGCGCCCTCTAGTGATTGTATCCAGTCATGAAAACGGAAAATGCGCGGGACGTACGGTTCAATTCAATTTAAATTTTGAAAGGTAAAATGTGAAAACAAAAATTTTGTCGAAATGGTTGAAAATGATTGAAATTTATTAAATTAATAAACGTCCGAAAACACAATAATAAAAAATGGTTAGTGATAATCTTAAAATAATAAAACTATTATTATAACAATAATTATATTGTAAAAAACAGCTAAAATCACGCTTTTTTTTAATAAATCATTTGATATACGACAAAATTTATTCTGTTTAAAAACATAAGATAAAACTTGGTGTAAATAAAGTTCTCTGATAATAATAAAAGTTTTCTTAAAAGAAACCTATTAGTTATAATAGTAAAATATAGTATATATATGCTTTTTTGTGATTAGTAGAAAAAGTGGTGACAGAAAAAAATTAAACGAAATAGGATAGGAATTGATTTTACAATCAAATAATTTTAATTGTAAATTTTACACTGGTATTGATGCGTATGAAGCTAGAATAAATTGCCATCATTGAATACTATTCACTGTTAATATGGTAAATTTGGAATATTTATCATAACGTTTCCGGGGATCGGTTGCAATGGAATTCGAACAATGTTAGGTTATTTACAATTTTCCAATAATTTCAAGTATGTGTGTAAATTTTAAGAAGCTATTTTAACAAAAATTCTAACAAATAATATTTACAATTCGAATTCAGACGTTGTTGAAACTGTAGTAACAAAAATTCTGATCAATAATATTTACAATTCGAATTTCAACATTATTAAAACAATAGTCACTATATTTATCAATTATTTACAATTATTAATAACGGAATATTTTTGTTATAAATCTCACATTTTCTTTGGTATTGATATAATAAAAAAAGGCTGCTTATTGCAATAGTCATAATTTTCAAATAACTATCTCTTAGTTGAATATCACTGAATTTCTTTATGTATTTTTCTTGAAGTATATCTTCCGCGTTTTATCTTCTTTTACTCGACACAAACGCAAAAGATTATGAATTTGAATATTAAATACAATTAACTGATTTTCTTTGCCTGCATTGAAGACATAGTTTCTAATGCGAGCAGAAGCACTTCTTACCTCTTATTGTAATTTTTACAAAGCTATATGTTTCTATATTAATTAAATCTGGTTCATTATCAGTCGCCTTGCGTACTTCTAAAGTAATGCCTTTGTCAATATGTGAGTATTCATCTGTAATAACAATAACGTTATGGATATTAGCAATACTTTTCTACTTTACTACTACAGAAATTATCTAAATTTTTCTTTGAATTATTTTTAAAGCAATACCTTGCAAAGCCAATGAATTTTTCGCAGTTGCACTTGTCAACGGAGATTTTGACATATTCTTGGGCATCTTCAAAATATTATCACGCGGAAGTAAAGTGGGAACAACATTTAATACTAATACTCGATTGGGTGGTGTATTTATATAACGTCTTTCCAGTGTTGGCGTCTAAACTATTAAATTTATAAATCAATTGAAAACACTAATTTTATTAAACACAATTTTTAACATTATATCATCAAGTTTAATTAAAAAACATTTAACACAACCAAATTTACAAGATATAAATATGCGTATATTACTTACATTTGTTCTTCTTTGGCCCTAAAAAAAGAATGGTCTTTATCTTTTTCTGGTCTTCTTAGACATCCTTTAAAAAAAAAATTATTAAAATATAAATAAAGTGGTATTATCCGTTACAAGCTGCTCTACTATTTTCAGCGTGACGACTTTGAATCGCCATGACAGTACTTTAGTACTCCGACACAAATAATAGATGGCATTCGTAACAGTATACCCGACCTTCCCCTCTATCTTATACCCGTTGCGTATAACGTCGTAATCTTGGCGTAATATTAAACCGCGAATCTCCACGCAGGTACGACGTCGTAAACATTAATTTATACAGCAAACCGGACTGGTATTACGACAAAAGTCCATACGGCAAGGTCCCGGCGTTGGAAGTCGAAAACGGCGACGTCATCTACGAAAGTCTCATAATCGCCGACTACTTGGACGACAGATACCACGCTCATCAACTTCACAACAAAGATCCCTTGCAAAAAGCCAAGGACAGACTGCTGATAGAGCAGTTTAACAGGGTATAGCGACGACACGTTATACGTCGACGTAACGCGCAAGACGTTAATCGTGTGTAGGTGGTGAACACGATGTACAGGGTGTTGACAAACGTCGGCAGGATCGGTTTGGACGACGACGAGGCTATCGCGAACGGACTGTCCACGTTCGAACGCGAATTGGCTAACAGGGGTAGCCAGTTCTTCGGCGGCAATAAACCGGGTATGCTCGACCTTATGATCTGGCCGTGGTGCGAACGTGCGGACATCTTAAAAATATTCGGCAACCAGAATCTACTTAAGAAGGAGAAATACGCGAAATTGGTTAGTTGTTTCGTTTTTGTTTGAACAAAAATCACCCGTTCGGTTGTAGATGGATTGGAGTCAAAGGATGTCCGAGGAGTCGGTGGTGCGCAGGAGCATGATGGACTCGATCACGCACGTCAGATATTTGCAGTCGTACAGGGCCGGCATGCCTGACTACGACATGATTTTGAACGCGTCAGACTAACCTGCGCATTTTTTATTAACTTTCTAACCGCCTACCAAATGTACTTACGTTGCGCATTGAAACTTTTCCGTTGGCACGGTGAGAATGTGTTTTGTTACTATGTATATCACGAGATAATAAATACTATTCTACGTTTCTTAACTTCCTTTGCCATAATAAAAAGAAGACGAAAATTACCTCGGTCGCGGAAAATAAAAGAAGAAGCGGGACTTCCGTAATTGCGAAGATCTGCAGTCGGCGCTTATGCCAGTCCAGTTTCTTAAAGCCTGCTTTATCAATCTCTATCTGCTACTAGCTAACCATTTGTCATTTATCTATTCTATTCCCCCCCCCCCACCCAAAATTCAGAATTTCTGGAGTCAACATTTACCGTGACGACTGGCCGAATGATCCCGGTAGTTTGGGCCACATAAATAAAGAAAAGATGAAGAATCCAGTCTGTTCCATGCCTGGGCGAATGATCATAACAGTCTTGCCAACTCTATTAGTGTTACGATTTATTAAATTGAACTGTTCCATGTCTCGCTGTCATATCCTGGTGTCCACTTTTTTTGTTAAGTTAATTAATTGGTAAGAACTAAAAATTTAAATTATCACGAAATTATATATATTTAATTTAATTGTCTGTCCGTTCCAACAACGCAAGCAAAGACATCATCCACGTATCTATGCCACCATAGAAAAAATTTACTTAAAAGATGTCCTTGTATGACATTTTCCAAATTCTCCATAAAAATTTCGGTTAACAAGGGACTAAGTGGGTTCCCATAATCAAACCTTCCTTAGAGATGTAAATCTGTCCATTAAATTCAAAATAATTTTGGTCTAAAGATCAAAGCAATCTAAGCTTTATTTATTCACCAATGGGTTAACCCAGGGGTTCCCAAAGTGTGCGCCGCGGCGCCCTGGTGCGCCGTAGAATGTAAAGAGGGGCGCCGTAAGTCCATCATCATTCATTATCCGAAACATGTCCGAAACAAATATACGCGGGTACCTTATTTGAGCCCTCGCATCTATAAAAACATAGTTACCTACTAACCATCGCGTCGCGGCGTTTCTCACTCGCCAAAAAACCTACGCCCGCGCCGCCCTGATACCCTACCCCCCCTCCTAAGTCTTTAGTAGCATCGGGCGAGCTGCGACGGACGGACGTGTCATAGTGTTTTCTTTCGCTTTGTTTTTCGTCAAATATCTCACGCAAAATGGACAGATTTTTATTAAATAAACAAGTTGGCAGTCCAAATGACAGTGATAATGCATCAACTAGTAATGGCAAGGAAGCAAAGAAGCGGAAATATCGTAAATACGATGATAGCTATTTGGACTTTGGTTTTACTTCAATAGAAGTTAATAATGAAGAAAGACCGCAGTGTGTGCTTTGTTTAAAAATATTGTCATCCGAAAGTATGCTTCCAAGTAAGTTAAAGCGACATCTTGAGACAATTCATCCAACTATGGTTGAAAAATCGCGTGATTTTTTTCACCGAAAATTACAAAATTTAAATAAAACAAAAAACGTATTCACTCAGCAAGCCTCAGTACCTAACAACGCACTGTTAGCATCATTCAAGGTAGCATACAGGGTGGCAAAATGCAAAAAACCTCATACTATTGCAGAAGAGCTTATTCTACCGGCTGCTCTCGACATGGTAAACATTATGGTTGGAGAATCGGCAGGAAAATTAATTTCCAAGGTACCCTTATCTAACAACACGATCGGTCGAAGAATCCATGACATAGCTGAGGATCTCAATTACCAATTAATAGAAAAAATCAAAAACAATTATTTTGGTTTGCAACTTGATGAGGCTACTGACAGTAATAATGATGCGCATCTTATTTGCTACGTACGCTTTCTGACTGACAATATTATTGTCGAAGATCTGTTATTCTGCAAAACCATTACCGAAAGTGCGAAGGCCCAAGACTTATTTGAAATTATTGACAATTTTTTTGTAGAAAATGGTTTGAATTGGGAAAAGTGTATTGGTATTTGTACTGATGGCGCTCGATCCATGTCTGGCAGGTATGGAGGAGTACAAGCGCTTATTCGTAAAAAAGCACCGAATGCTTTGTGGACCCATTGCATCATCCATAGAGAAGCTCTTGCATCAAAATCTATGAGCTCCGAACTTAACCAAGTACTGGAATCTGTAATTAACGTAGTAAACTACATAAAAACTAGGCCTCTTAAGGCCAGACTTTTTAAAAAACTATGCTTGGATATGGGGGCTGAGCATACGGCCCTGCTGTATTATTGCAATTCACGGTGGCTATCACGTGGAAATGTTTTATTTCGTATGTTCGAATTACACGAAGAAATTCGAACTTTTTTACAGCAAGAACGTCATGAAAGCGCCAAATATTTTACTGAACCAGACTTTTTGTTAAAACTAGCATATTTGTGCGATATATTTGAGAAACTAAATAATTTGAATCTGTCTTTGCAAGGTAATAACACGCACATTCTGAAACTATCGGAGAGAATTGCGGCATTTAAAAAGAAACTACAGTTGTGGATAAATAAAATGAATGAAGGCGGCGGTCAAGATTGCTTCCCGCAGCTGTATAAATATGCGGCATCTAATGAATTGGTTGTCTCACCAGACCTGATTGCCCTCTTCACGGAACACCTATTGAAGCTCAGCGAATGGTTTTCGGCGTACTTTAAAGATGATGATGTTGAAAAATTTGCATGGATCAAAGATCCTTTCCACGCACAAGCTCCACCAGGGTTCACATCACAAGATGAAGAGAGTCTCATTGAGCTCTCTTGCGACAGCAGTCTTAAAACTAGATTCATCACTTCCGACTTGTTGGAGTTTTGGTTATCAATTCAAAATGAATATCCAAATTTAGCTTCAAAAGCTTTAAGAATTTTCATTCCGTTTGCAACGTCATATTTATGCGAGTCTGGTTTTTCAGCTGTAGCTGTAATTAAGAACAAATATCGCTCGAGAATCAATGTGGAGAAAGAAATGAGAGTAGCAGTGTCAAGTCTTATTCCCCGCTTTGAAAAACTGTGTGCATATCACCAAGCTCACCCATCACATTGATTTGACTGACAATCGTACATATTTTATTTTTGTTTTTCATAAGACTTAAGAAATACACAAGTTATTTCCAGTTTTAATTATTTTATAATATTAAAAAGTCTGTTTGATTGTAAGTGTTTTAATTTATAATCCTATCTAACCTAACTACTATCATAAACAATTATTATAGGTGCCTATTTCTTCTTTTTTAAAGAGCAGGGCGCCGTGATAAAGTACTAAATTTGTAACTGCGCCGCGGGATAAAAAAGATTGGGAACCCCTGGGTTAACCTGTTGGTGAGGGTGAAATCTACTAAATCTATCACATCCATAGGTGGAATACTGGGAAATAAGTTTTGTACAACAAAAGACAATAGTGTTGCCTTAGAAGGGATTTTGATATCTTTAATTTTGTTGATTAATTCAAAAGAATTTTTTATTGCAAATTCATATATGTAGTAGCAGGGAGTTTGTAAATATTACATTTCATAAAGACACGGTGTTGTCGAAACAATTGTCATGTGAATATATATAATTTAGTGAAAATCTGAACTTTTAGTTCTTATTTATTTTGTTATAAATTTCATAAACTTGTAGGTTCGATTCCCACCGGGACCCTTGGGTGTTTGTATTCGTTATAAATTTGTTTAAAATTTGTAACTTGGTTGTAAGCTGGCCGATTTGCCTTATGAAGTAGTGGTCAAATAAAGCGTGATTAAAAAAAAAACAAATAGACAAACATTTATTGACGCTTGGAGTACCACGGAACGAAAGCATTTTTTTTAATTCTTAACAAGGCAAAACGTTATCTCTCATTATGGTACAACAAACGAAGGCCAACGGGTCACGTCACTGGCGTTACGCGGAGGAATTCCTAACCCCCCCAGTCTGTGGTAGACATTTCTGTGAATCTTCTTCTGATGTTAGATTTTTTTTTCGTTTTAAATAAAAGTATTTTTTTTTCGGGATTACTTTAACACCTCCATTTTTAAGTTTTTAAGGAAAAAGTACTTTTGAGTAGTGGTAAATTATTTTCCCTTCCATTGTTTTGTTACTGAACAATGAAATGTGAGAAATGCATTATCGTTAATCCAAATGCTGTAAAAATGGTTTGATTTCTGCCCCAGTCGTAACCATGATACATGGTATGCATGTGTAGAGTGCATTTTTGAAAATGATATTCGGCAATGCAAGTGGACACTTGAATTTATTGAAGGGTGGGCAGTTGCATGTAATAGGCGATTTGCCGCAGATAGGGGTACAGAAAATAATGCCAGAGAATACGAAATGGTGGGTCTTAGCTTATAGCCGTTTATCTGCGAAAAGGAACAAATTTGATATAGAATATAGAAAAATAGGGTGATTTCTACTATTATTTTAAAAAACAAATAATCATTTTTTGATATATTTCTGCGTATTCGGTTTCTACAAATATAATAGCAACTTGCTTTTTACTTCAAGCAATTATAATTGACAAACTTTAGCAATTGCACTGCGTGACGCCATGCGCTCGCCGGACGAATTGCAAATGACGATCTGTCATATCTTGGATGTTTGTATTATAGTCTCTCTGAGCGCAAGCTTCAACAATGCCCAATGCCAAAGTCCCTAAACCAGACAAGACGAAACGCAAAAAGTAGATTTGAGTTAATTTCGAGTTTAAAAAAAAGTCACGTAGCATAGTAAAAACTCGCAACTAAAGGTGGCTCTTATTTATTCAATTAATTTGAATACACACACGCAACTTTTACATATCGCAATTTACATATCGATACGGCTTTCGTTGACCCGTGAACTCAGCCATTCGTCGTCTCCTAATAAGCGAACCTTTATTTCGTACGTGTTCCTTCGTCTTCGAAAGGTAATGAACATTTTTTAGTTTAAGTGACGCCATTTTGCGACGCCTGCTTTCGGACAGGGATGGACACGGAAACTGGCGAATTCTTGTGCGAAATGGACCGTGAGACCGGCGAGAACCGATCATGGGGCGCTTACTTAAACACCGAGACCGGCGAAGACGAATGCTCGAAAAAACCGTTCAGGATAAGCGACCGAGCTGGGGGCGCGAGGTTTCGTCTTTCCGCGAAAAAACGAATCGAAAGCAGCGAGACGCTCAGCCAATTCATCAAGGCGGTCGTTTTTCTTGTCCCCACCGCTATCGTGTTCACCCCGCTGCTAGGTTTGTTCGTGCTCACTTCGGCGTGTTTCCTTCACAGATGGAGCCACCGGCAAAACAGGAAGCTCAAAATGATGGGAGACTACTCCATCTACTACCGAAACCCGCTCCACGCGTTGTCGAAGGAATTTTGCCACCTGTGCATGGAAGAAAGCAGGATAATCAAGTTACCCAAAGCCTCTCCCCTCCTAAGCTGAAGTTTTTTTTGTGTCCACTGCGTCAATAAAACGACGACCGTTCAATTTTCTTAGCATTGAAGTTTGATTTGTACGGGATCGACGTTTTGGTTAGTTTAGATAGACTCACGTTAGACTGATAAAACGTTATCTTCAAGTGACTATGAACAAATTTTGAGAAGTTTTATTAGACATGTGCATGATTTTGAAACGTTCAACAATCAACATGGCCATTAACCGTCAATGTCAATGAGTTTGAGTACCATATTTTTACGCATCTTTAGGCAAAAAGTCACAAAGTGCTGGTTTGTGGGTGGGCATTGATCTTTGTTTTTTTTTCATTTGTAAGTTGCAGGACCCCAGGAGCCAGTAAATGAAAAATAAAAAACAAATCGTAACAGAAGATTTATTTGCCTAATACAAGTTTATTCAATGTCATTTATTCTGCCCCACTTGAGACGCGACTTTTTAATTTCTAATTTCAGCCAACTGGGGATGTAACCCTCGAAATACTGAGCGTTGGGATAGGGTAAAGGTGGCGGCGTTTTCTTGAAAGGGTGGACCTTTTCCAGTTTCCTCACTAAAAATTCTTTGTTGATCTGCTTTGGGTCCCTGTACTTGTCCATGTATAAGTTGAACGGTTGCCTCAGCGGGAACCATTCTTGTTTCCTGATGTAGGGAGGTGGAAAATCATACTCATAGATCGGTTCCTTCATGTCTATATTAAAAAAAAAAATGTAGGTTAAATCCCGACGAATCCAGCAATTCCTTACCCAAAACATTGTTAAAAAATTCTTTGAGCGAGGGGCACCAGTCCGCTTGAAAAAATGCCAAAGCGGCAGGCGTCAGGTCGTCCTGCAGGTTGCGGTAAAAGTCGTAGGTAGAAAAAGTCCTTTCCGCCAGTGTCAGACATTTGCCTTGCCTTTGAAACGGCGAAAAATCCAACTTTCTATTCTGTTTGTAAAGCACAAAGATGTGCCTGTGGTAGCCCGTGCCCTTGGGCGGAAAAGGTTGAATGTAATCTACCACTGTCTTGCCTTTTTCTATATTATTACCAGGGATATTCCCGCTATAACACAAACCCAGTTCGATACTGAAGGAGTTTTTTATGACTAACTCACGTACATAAACCAGTGAATGTACTCCTTATTGTTGTCGGTAAAATGCCCATCCGGATTGGTTAAAATTAACGTCCACAAATCGGCGTCGCCAGATTCAAAGCTAACTTTCGGCTTTTCAGCAGCGTCGATGGGCTTCAAGCAATTCCCGTAGTAAACGGGAACGCGTTCGTCGCCCTTACAGTAGGACACATTCAACGGTACTCTGGGATAAAAATACGCGTCCCCAAACAGATCTTGGAAAACACCGAAATGGTCCGCTATTTCCTTGATTTGTTTCGGTCCGCCCGTTTTCAACCATTCCCGATTTACTTCTTCGAGGTCGACGATCACTACGGCAAAAATAAAAGATGCGTATCCGGAAACCCCAGTAACTTACATTTAAGTTCGCGAGATTGCCTGGCCAGATCCGGATCGTGTTTCCGCGACCTTAAAAGCTGCAAACCCGCCTTCAACGAAACGCGGGGAGGCGGCAAGCCTATATCGACGCGGAAGTGTATACTTTCGTCTTTTACTCGGCTTTCTGGAAACCAATTAAGTGTTGGATGTTATCGGCTGGGAACGGCCCGCGGCCCTTACCCTCTAGTTTCTGCTTGAGAGATTTAGCTACGCCCGGCGGTAGACCTCTCATATGATGGCCGCATCGCGAAGGAACAATGAAAAGTAATTTATTTATATTTGAACTAACCACTTTAAAAAATACGTAACCCGATGACATTTCGGTAACCTCAACGTCACAGAACGCCGATCGGTTGGTTACACGCGCGCATCACAGAACATGGCGCACAAAAATGTATTAATCGAATAGTAGGCTAAAGTGACATTTTCAAAATTAAATTTTCATTAAACACGTCAAAAAATTAACAGTCGATGTACGCAACTTTTAATAATGGCGCCGAAAACACGCAGCCAATCGAAACCGAGTAATCAAAACCGGCGCCTGGTTCATTTCAAGAGCGCTACTCACCGCCCCCGCTGCGCTAGGGCAGCCCGCCACCCGAACGGGGTAAGTAACCCCGTCGATTCCGTAAAATCGCCACAGAATTACGAAAATTTACTGTTTTTTTATTTGAACAAGCTTAAGAACCTGTTCTCTTCTGCAAGTCCGGCAAAGAACGAGGCGGCCTCGTACGATCCGCGCAGAATCGCTCAACCTTCGCCTTCGGTTAACGTACCGTCCTACGTCACCAACGTTCCGATTAGTAGGTCTGTAAGCGCGGATGACATCCAGGAAAAAGTGTATAACGTGGTATCCGCGGCCATCGAATACGGATTTGCGAACGACATTCTGGAAAGGAACGGAGATTGGTTCGTTTTCAAAAACAGGGCTCTGTCGAGGGCCGCCTCGAGGCCCCCGACTCCGATACCGCGACCGAGGTACTGCAGTTTGCATCAGGGGACGTTTCACCACCACCGAACGTATGAGCAGCCGAATCACTTGCCCGCGTCGATGGACAGGCTCGTGCAACACGGGAGGGTTAACAAAAATTATGGGCAGAATTGCAATCGATGGAAGCACCCGCCCGGAAACGGACGCCAGCGCCGCGACAATCGGAACGTCGAAAAAAAATTTAAAATCAACTAAATTGACCAATGTTTTGTAAGCGAATATAAGGTTTTGCAATTGCAACTGGTTTTCTTGTGATTGCTTTTCACGATTAGTGATCTGTGCTTGGGACGTTACCTATCGATATACTTGGGGCAATGTCTAGTAATTTTACCGATATTGAAGACATCAGTCGCGGCCTGCTTGCTGTTTGGTCTATTAAGTGGTTGAATGACAATTGCTTTGTTCTACGGATTACGTGATTTAGATCTTTGTAACATAGACCAAATATATATCGGCGGCTCGTACAGCATTTATCATCACAGAGCATGAAATGAAAATTAATATCAACCCAACATTTTTAATATTCATAATAAACAATAATACCCGTTCGTAAACAGACTGATATTTTATTTAATCATCGCATCAAGGTAAGTTGATTCCCGATCCTTATGGATTACAATACTAATCCTTCCCTTGTAAGAACCTAGAAACGAAATTTTTAGGTTTGGGCTCGAACCACTCCTTCATGTGTTGTGCTAGAACTTTCTTCGGAGACCAGTTTTCTATGATTTCTTTTAAATCCATATGGCTCTAAATAAAATACGCGCGTCGAAACCACTAATTCTATAGTTGCGCGTTTTATACCTTGATTACCAACATATCGATTATTCTGATATCGTCAATGCATTTGTGCTTGGTGAATTCCTCTCTCAGTTTCTGTCGGTAGACTTTTTCCATAAACGGGAGATCGTAGTGCTGAACTAAAAATAGCAACGCGTCATGGAAAAGCGAAAACTATGACGTGCAGCACGGCGACGAGAACCTATGTAGGGAATTTGTCTGCTCCATGACTTGTAAAGGCTTATAACGTGTCGTCTAGTCTCCCGACGGTCCAGAGATAATATTGTCTTCGCCTTTTTTAACACCCGCCTCGATGCTTCCGACGTCATTTTATTTTACAGTTGCTGTCCGATTTACAACAATGTTAGCGGCGAATTAGTGTCAAAAATAAACCTTCTGTATGGTAATCTGTGATTCAGTGGTGCCCTGTTTGGTGTCGTATTCTGTGGTTCTTCCTTTTCTTCCTCTTTTTGATCAGCAGGACTTAGAAAAAAACATACATTCAAAAAATTCCCGACGAGATAAAAATAAATTTTTATTGTCCAGTTATGTCAATAAACTTTATCAAGCGAGATTGATTTCGATTATCAATCAAGCAATTTCACACTAGTTAAAGGGGCCAGTAAGCAATAGCAACCGTTGAAAGGTGAAGAGAAATAAACCGCAAAGACGATATACACATGTATGACTCAGTTAAAAATTGAAACCGAATGACAACACTGTTGATCGAGAGTGCAGCAAATGTGTTATCACTAATAGCAAAGCAAACAATAATATAGGGCGTCTGGCGCGTTAGTGGTGGTTTTACCGTTCGGTGTGAAATAATGTTCGCGGCACGCGACGAAATATTATCGGATCGCGTTTTAGACGACAAAATCGCAAAAATGTGCGTTACAGACCATACCACAGATAGTGATAAACAAATAGACTTAACAGATGAGGTAAACACAACACCGCTTACATAAGGTTTATTTGTTAATTACTTTCATGAAAGCAGCTGATATTTCGTGATGCGATTTACTTCTTGGGATGTGACGCTTGGATGCATAATTTCAATGCATCGTTTTTTGAAATAAGACTTAAAGATAGTTTTGTTTTTCGCTTCTACCTAACTTAATTGAATTTGAGACAAACCAGCCACCTGTTAAATATATGGTCTGTGCCTATTGCACGGATCAGGACCGGGTTTAAAAGATTGTTCACTATCACTAGAGGATAATCGCTGATGGATATAAATATAAATTTAACAAAAATAAACAGGTATCGAATTTTTCTCTTCTGTCGGCCCTTTCGAGTCAACCGTTAGTCGGACCGGTCACCATAGAAAACTCAGAAAACGTGCACGTGGGAAACGTAATCTACATAAATAATATTAGGGTGGTAGACAATCCGGGTTGGACTATGGTGTCTAAAGACCGAAAACCTCAATTCCCGTTGATCAGGAGGATCGAGTGGCTGGCACAGCCTAGCGTCAATCCGAAAGAGTATCTAGAAGAGCCCGCGAGATTTGTTATAATAAGTAAGCGTCCGTACGACCTCGCCATGTTTTTATATTCCCAATAAAACGCTCCTAGGTCACACCGCCACCGAGGAAGGTTTCAGCCAAGCGGAAAATGTGCTGTTGGCAAGACTGACCCAAACATTCCACATCGAAAGCAGGGGATGGGACGATATCGCCTACAATTTCATGATCGGTTCGGACGGCAACGTGTACGAGGGTAATTCGGTCGTTACGCTTTATACGCCATTTACTTTACGGTAATTTTTCCATCAGGAAGAGGCTGGAACGTGGTCGGGTCGCATACTCAGGGTTACAACGCGCGTTCCGTTGGGATCGCGTTCATCGGATGCTTCCTGAACAATCTACCCCCGGCAACCTCGTTGCTAAAGTGTAAAAATCTCATAGAGTTTGGCGTTAAAATCGGAGCCATACGCCAGGACTACCAACTGTTGGGTCAGTGCCAGTGTCGGCCGTTTTTAAGTCCCGGGCAGCGACTGTTCGACGAAATCAAAACCTGGGAGAACTGGAACGAGAACGTTACCCCGTCGAATCCCGGCGTTTGAACATTTTCCGCGACAGTGTTTTTCTATGATGTAATTTGTATCAAATAAAAATAAAGGCGGTCCTGTTTACAGACCACAAAAATAATCGCAAATCTGGCGCCCTCACGCGGAACGGCTCGCCACTATCCCGAGCTCTCTTTTATCGGCCGGAACGCAAACTTCAACTGTACTTTGCGCAAAGGTCGTTCTTTGTTTGGTTTGTGGAACTGCAAATTCTCGTTCTCTGTTCAAGTATGGTATCGGGACGTTTACGGTGAAGTTTTGTTGCTCGGTTTCCGTTTGTCCAGTACGGGAATAATGTTTTGGGTTTATTAGTGGTTCGGAAGTTGAAAAAGTTCTTGGCAACCATGACAGCGGCCGCGAACAACATCGAAACGGAATATTTGGAATTGAACTCGAAAGATGACTGGCCGGCATTTTATCAGGTATATGTGGTGACTCTCGCGAGACACTTTCCGTCCCAGCTTCGAACAAAGGGGTAATAATGCGAGATGACTCACGGAAACGCCAGTCATAAAAACTACTGTTTATGTTTTTATCGGCGTTATTTTAAAAATAACTAAACATTTAATGGAACTGAATGTAGTCTCCCTACTGCAACAACGTATTCGTTTTAGAAAATACGAGCCAAAAGCCTTAAACAGGGCGGGACTTGTATGGAAGCGCTGAAACCCCAAAACAAAGTGCTAAATAGATATAGAGACGTGCATCCCTACGATCACAGTAGAATTGTTTTGCAACGCGGTTCGACCGATTATATAAATGCCAACTTATGCAGAGTAGAAAAAGCTAATAGGTGAGTCCTGTGTAGGTTTAATCGGGACGTGGGATTTTATTTTTTAAAACTTAGGAAATACATTTTGACGCAAGGGCCACTGGCCAATACGGTCAGCCACTTTTGGCTGATGATTTGGGAACAAAATAGCAAAGCTGTGTTAATGCTGAACAAATTGATCGAGAAAAAGGCGGAAAAGTGTTACCAGTACTGGCCCGCTAAGGTAGGCGCGACAATGAGCTTTGACGACGTCGGGCTCACCCTCGAGTATCTCGAGCAGCAAGACCACTCCTACTACCTGACCAGAGTGCTGAGGTAAAGTGAATTTTAGGTGCTTCGTTTCATATTGTAGCAAATGTGTTGGTGCCAGGTTGACTGACACGGAGAGCGATAAATCTAGAGATATACTTCAGTTCCATTACATCACCTGGCCCGATTTCGGGGTGCCTTGTTCGCCGACGAAATTCCTCGATTTTTTGAAGAGGGTGAGGACGGCCGGGGTGTTGGAGGAGAACGTGGGGCCAGCCGTGATTCACTGTTCGGCCGGCATCGGCCGCTCTGGGACATTTTGTCTCGTGGATTCTTGCCTTGTTCTTGTATGTGGTAATTTTAATGTTTTGGTAGTGATATTTATTAATCTGTCCCTTGGTTTAAAAAAATACATAAATGAGATCAAAAATAGGGAATAAACTAACACTTTTGCAATAAGAATTCTAACCCTAAATATACAGGTGAAATTAACAATTCATAATATAAATAGTAAATAATTTATACTCAAATGACCTTAAAAAATTACTGACTATTACTGCTGCTACAGCAGGAAGTATTTTCTGAGCATTAACATGAAAAACTATTAGCCAGCAGTCAATTTTATTTATCAATATTATTTGTTTAAACCACCAAACGCAATAATGGTGCGCAGATTGAAAAGTACGGCCTAAACTCGGTGAACGTCGAGGACGTTCTGCTGGAGATGCGGAAATACCGGATAGGGCTGATCCAGACCCACGAGCAGTTGCGGTTCTCTTATCAGGCGATCATCGAAGGGGTGAAGCAGCTGCTCAACCCATCGAATACGGAGGAGGGCACTGAAGTATGTACTTTTTAAGGACCCCGAAAATTGAATAACTTCTGAACAACTTAAGCCAGTGCGCTGGATTTTTCTCCTTTTAAACCACTTACGAGGTACATCACCCTATAAAACATGGCCGCGATCGGACAGTGGCGTCCATCTTTTTTTTTTACGATTTTCCTGGGGGGGTTGGGGGGTCGGGAAGTATTTTTAAAAATTTAAAAAAGTAATTTCTCAAAAACGGTATATGCGATCCACAAAAATCGCTGAACCAGAAGACGCGCGCGATCTGGACTAAAAAACTTTATTCTTGATGATTTTTTACAAATGTACAGGCTGCGTCGGTAATTTTCAATAAACTGAAAATTGGATTCCCCATATGATGATAATTGACCATAACAGTTGTCAGTTTCTTTTATGTGGTCATATAGTTCATATAAACAGTTCCAACTTTCGAATTTATGGTTTTTGCATGGTTTTTAAGATATTAAGTGCTATATTAAGAAATATAACAGGTGATTTAAATCGCGAATATTGTTAAAAGTATATTTTTTTTAATTTTGAATTTTTTTTTGGGTTATTTATTTAATTATTTATTTGGGTAATTATAGAATAAAATATAATGGATACTGAACATTACTCTTTTCCAGATCAAGTCCGTCAAGGTCAGATTGATGTTTAAGACAATCGAATATTGAAAACTTTTGGCAATTTAATTAATTATTAAAAATAATAAGGGACCTAGTACACTGGAGCAGTAAGGAAAATTATAATATATACAGTCTTAGTAAAAATTAGCAGAACGCATAAATATCTTCAAAACTGCCGAAGCTGGAAAGAGGAAATCCAATACAAAGACGAGAGTTAATTGAAACGAATTATAGCAAACTCACCCAATTAATCCAAATTTCATGAACGACCCCGGAGAAAAAAGTCTAGTTAGGTCATATCTGGGGATACGAGTGAATTATACTAGGACCAGAAGTATAGTGCATTTACAACCGATCGCGTAATTAGTTTTGCCTACTGTTTATTACTTCAAAACCGCAGACCCTTATAGAACACAGTAACAATTTATTATGTTCTATTTCCTTACATTCCTCCATAGTTTCATTATTAATATACAAAATATTAAATATAATAATAATAATAAAAAAGTATGGGTTACTTAAAAAATCGTCACTATTGCTTCTTCCACATTTTAAAGTTTTAAAAAACAGAAACCTTCAAACAATGTTTAATTGTAAGATTCTAATAATTATCTGTATTTTTATAACATACACATATACATATACACATATAACACAAAAATACAAGAAGATGAATGTTGTTAATCGACATTTACATTTATGTTTCGAATAAAAATTCAAGTTCCTACAAATATTTGTTACAGTCCATGGGATGGGTTTTACCACGGATCTGTCTGCAGTTAAAGTACTGTAAAATACTTAAAACGTCAAAGTAATAACAGCACTATATTTTTGTTCCTATTATAATTATTAAAATAAGTTACTCCTTAATCGTGTTTAGAAGCTCCAAATATTTTTCTTTTGTAAAGTTACTCAATTTATTTGTAAACTCTTGCGAATTCCACCATCCCCCGAGACTCGAACGAAACGTGGAAAGCGTGACATTAATTCGCGTCCTTTCCCCGTCAGTAGTTCGAATGTCATCCCTTCCCCGGATATCCCCGCCCCCGTCCCGAAGAATGCGTGACACTAGCGCGGTTCACGTCGGCGGTAGTTCAAAAGTCCGTCCACGTCTGCTCGCGAGGTAAGCGCCCGAAGTAGTTCAAATTTTGTCTAAATAGATAGATATTTCTTTTGCACACCCAAACTCAATCGATCTTCCAAATTTAAATAACAATCTGGGTAATTTTGATAAATGATTTAATTTTTCAGACCAATTTAAGAATGCCGAAGTGAAATCAGATTTTTTAAAAATTATAGTGAAGGAGTTGCTGTTAGGCTACTTGCTAAATATTGAACATTGAAAATTGATTGTGTATGACGTATTGGAGATTTTGATATATTAAAAGCTTTCGGCTCTGTCAATCGTATTGCAAAAGTTGAATACTATCGGTTTGAACCGTATTTTACTGTCAAAGATGGTAGTAGCTCTTTTTTTTCGCCGCAGCGTTACGGTGTCCCGCAAAAATTACATAATTCATCGCAATGGCTGAAAAACAACACGCTCAAACTTAATGTAGATAAATAAAAGGGAAGATTCTTAGATGTAGATTTAATAAAAGTCAAGTATTGGGTGGCAGGGCTATAAAAACAGAAAATGGGCTGCATAGTAGATAATTAGATATTTTCTGAAATAATGTTGTCCCCTTCAAAGTAATCCCCTCCCAGTCAAAATTGTTTGTTTTGTAGAGGTTTTAACAATAATGTATAGAATATGTTAAACCAGATTACTCTGTATTATAGACTCAGTTTAGAAATATACCATATGGTTTCTGTGATGGAAAGAACCTAATTTTTCGTATTAACGAATATATTAAATTATTAATACGTAAGTTGCTTTATATATTATAAACAAAAGCTCTCCGAATTCTTATCAGTTTGGACTTTCAAGTACAGGGCTATTCATTATATTTTGACACCCACCTTCCGGGAAAATAAGTGTAAATATAAAAGTTTGAAGATTTTTGCTCTATTATGCAAATAGAAAAAACAAACGACGATCGCCAGCTGTCAAAATGACAGCAACATCATTTTTTAAAAATCGAACCCCCTGTTGTAAAACAATATTAAGTCTTTCTCTTATCACTTGTAAACTTTCAAGCCTGTTATAATAAATTTTATTTTTTAAGTATCCCCACAAAAAAAATGTCCTTAATAAATCAGTTAGAAGTTTTTTAAACCCGAACTTTTACAATAAAGTTCAAATTTTTAGCCTGCATAATCTGTCCACTTTTACAAATCCGTTTCGTGAGCTTAATTAATATTGCGTTATTAACGTTTGTTTTGACTCGCTACACACACCTAAACCTAAACCTGGTCCGAATTTCTCGTTCGTAGTCGAATCACGCCGACGCGTCGTATAAATCTGGCTCGCCAGGTGGCGACATCGTCGAGGAGGCGGTCACTTCCGAGGAGGAGGAGGACGACGAGCCGCCGCCCCTGCCTCCGCCCCGCATAGACAGCCTGTCCTGCCAAAACGGGGTCTCTTCCTCCACCCCCTACGCTAACCGTCCACTGCCCACTATACCGACCAGCGTGTCGGACGACGATTTGACCTACAAAGAAAACGGCGACGAGGTGAGAGATAAAAAAAATATAGTTTATTCTTTGTCGGGAACTATTGAGTTTAGAAAGAAAAGAAGTTTATACAAAAGTTTCATGGTTTAAATTGAATTAATTATTTTTTATATATACAGGGTGTCCGATGAGTGCTGGACCGACGTTGATTTTAATTTTTTAAACGGAAAAAAGTTCCAGAATGTTTCGCAGAATCTAAAAATGTAATATATACAGGGCGTTCCATTTGAAAAACGCAAGTTGATATACATTACTCATTCTCCATCAACTTCTAATCATTTACAGAAACACGTGCCGAGCGGCCCGTTGCCTGTCGTGCCGGCAGATGGCGAAGGCAGCAGCGAGGACGACCTGGAGGAGGAGAGCGACGAAGATGACGACGGCGACGAGGACGCCGATGATGAGGAACGGGTCAAGTCGGACAGTCCTGCTTCAGATCAGTCCGCGAGGTGAGGCCATCGTTCTTTTTGTACCTCTTATTTTGGCATTTTTTCACTTAATGATGGGGTAAAAACACTAAAAGAGGAAGTATTTATAATCCAACAAAAAGCTTTCCCGCTAAGGGAACCCAGTAAGTCGATGTAGGGATTGTTACCTGCGGTGTACCCTAGGGCACCGTACTTGGGCCGCTGTCGTTCTCGCTTTAACGAGTTAATGACGATAAATCCCCGTCATCTCAAATGACAGATACAGAATATTGTTAAATATATCAAATATGTCAAATATATCTTGTCGGATCACGCGTGGGATATACTGCAAGAATTAAAATAATATATAGAAGTAGAAGTCTGGACCCGCATTTAGACTCTTTAAATTGGGAGCAATAAAATAACGCGAAGTATTTTTTTAATTTTTTTTTTGTGGTTATTTTGGCACCCAGAAAAACATCTTTTCCTCCAAAGCTATTCATCATATAACTTTTGTTCCACGTATTTTTTCGATTATATATAACTTTAAGTTATGGACGAAAATCTAAATGGTCCTGAAAATTGTTCTTTTAAAGAGTTACTTATTCACCGTAAATCAAAATTCGTACAAACAATAGCTAATCCGTTCAAACAGTGTTATAGGCCGTACCAAGGGATACAATTTTTTTATTTATGGTTTTTGTCTATCACATACGCTGATCGAGGTATTTGAAAAACTCCAAATGAAAATCACCATTTCTCGCCCTCAATCTAGACGCGATGACGTCTTTTAATATTACCACGTATTGCATGGTTTCAGAAAACAAGTAGTTTTTTGAAAACCATTTACTCCATTGGAAAAATTCGGATACCAGGAAATTAAGGAGATCCAGGGCTATATCCTCTATTTCCAACATTGTTGGAATTATATACAGTGCACGTGGTTTGTGAGCAAAAAATTCTAATAGATCCTAGAAATTTACGCTTTTGTGGGTGAATTATGAAAAACTTTTAAAGATGTGATAATTTGATATTAACAGTATCGTAAACTGTGTCGAGAGAGAGTTTAAGGTTTCGTCTATAATAAAGGGGACGCAAGATATTTAAAAAAATATAATTTTAAATTGCAATTACCAGTACAAATTTTAAAATTTTCCGAAGTGTGCCGTAACTTTGAAGTTCGACGAGATGTGAAGGATAGTTTGTACAGGGTGTATTCACAATCAAATTACATGGATTTTGCGAAAGTTCCTCAGTGATCCCCAGGGAGCACGATAGAAAAACAATGCGTCCCTCTAAGACAAGAATCCTTTTTAAAATAACAAGCTGATTCGCGCTATTTTCGACGAACTTGCCCCGCTCACCGACGATTTTTCGAACGCAATCTTGTTAAATTTGTTTAAGTGCTAAAGTCATATAAGCTCGTGTTTGTAAATATCAAGGTATATGGCGCTCGGGTCGTATAAATTTAAATAAAATAAAGTATCTTTTTTTGTTGTTGTAATTCAACTTGAATTTTAGGTATCAAATGGTGCAGAAGAAGTTTTGATGAGCAAAATGTACAGACGTTTTTATTCCTACGTAAAATACAAATACAGTTTACTTAAAATTTAATAATATGTCGTAATACTATCAATCACATTACAGTGTCATGCTGGCACTTTGGAAGATGGTGAAAATACAAGCGAATATACGAGATGCGTATTGGTACACTAAAAAAATTCGAAAGTAAATGACCGATTATTTGAAACATTAAATGTAGTTCTTTAATGTTTATATAAATTGTTCCTAAGTAGATATTAAAATATGTATATAAATAATTATATATTACAGGACACATATGTGTATTGTTATTTTTCAAGTGTCTATAACTCTGTATAACGGAAACTCTTTATAACGAAAAAAAAGCAGTGCCTTCATGTGGGTGGGGCTAAACCGATGCGTTTGTTTTCAGCGCGGCGGACCTGAGGCACCGGAAACGTGTCGAACGGAAACAGCACATGGAGGCGCAGGTCAGGGACATGAAGCGGCGACAGCAGGCGAACGAGCAATGGACGCAGCTGAAGAGGTCTCTATATTTACCTTTGTTGGCGGTAGGGGGCGTGGCGGTGCTCTCGGGCGGCTGCCTCGCCGCCTACCTGTACTATAAACAATAGACGCCGCGAGGGGGCGGGGCGGATGGCCATAAAAAAGAATTGGAATTCGATTTACGCACATATCAGCGAGCTAGAGGTGGGAGGAGCGAAGAAAATTTTTATTTCGTCGAGTCGTTGGTAGTAGTTCGTAAAGACGGTCGTCGCTAGCCTCACCCCTCTTACCTTAGCCCCACCCCCTCATCCGTCGGTTTTTTCAGAATTTTTACTCGTTATTTTCGGATGTCAGATGTCCAAGTACTATCGGTTTAAGCATTCCTTTGAAAGTGCCTTTTTTTTATACTTAACTGCCGCGACGCACTTTTCATTTGTACCTAGGTATCTGTTTCACCCTGTATAATGTTAGATTGTAAAAAAAAGAATCGATAAATGGTGGAGCCTGAGCTGTGTGGTTTCGGCAATCTAGGGGGAAAGGGATCTCTGTTAGGAAACCTAAAAAATTAACTAAAATCCTAGGAAAATTTTTGTTTAATTCTTGACCATCATAAATACTATTTATCGGGTCACCTGATTATGGGAAAAATTGTAAATAAAACCTTTCTTTACTTGTCTAATGGCAAATAGCATTTAATGTAATGCACTGTTAGTTTTTTAAAGATAACCCAGTTGTTTTTTCAAATAGCACTTTAGTGGGAACAAACACTTTCTAAAACCGCTACTTTTTTTGCAATATTTTGACGCCAAAAGTAATGTTCTGTCTATTATGTTTATCTAACAGCAAATTACAATATCGAAGTGTTATTACAAAGTCGGCTTCATAAAAATGTTGATGAAGATTAGACTTAAAAAAATGATAACCGTGTTTACCTTGAGGTATCCCACAACATCAAATCCCATTTCTTCATTTATAATAAAATTATCATGCCGATTATTTTGTGAATTTCTTATATTCAATTCCAGCATTTTAAAGAAAGTATGCACGGGCCTGTCGAGAGTTTTTTCTGCATTCTCCGTATATCAGAAACATCAACTTTTTCTCAATTTGTAAATTGATTATTGTTTTCCATGATAATCCAAATCGATAACACGACAAAATCGATAATCGGATAAAAATGTACAAACTGTCAGAATGTTCAATCATGCCGACTTGATGAATAGAAGTATATTTTGTTTTTATAAAAATGTATTTACTTTACTGTTTTTTCCTTCCTGTGAGTTTATTTTTTAACGGATTTAGTGTCAAAGTGTTGCAAAAAAAGTACCGCTTTTAAAAAGTTTTTGTTCCCATTAGATTGCTATTTGAAAAAAACTAGGTTATCCTAAAAAAATAATGTTTCATTGCATTAAATGTTATTTGCCATTAGATAAGTAAAGAAAAATTTAGTTTACATTTTTTCCCATTAAGTGACCCAATAAATAGTATGATGGTCGCAGCCTTCTAGACACAATTTTCAAAGTTAAAAAGAAGAAAAGAAGAAGAACCGTTCTATTCTACGTGGAATGATCTCCTGCACGTTGCACCTTCAGACTATATTAATTAACCGTTCCAAATTTCAAATCACTATCTCAAGCCGTTTAAAAGTTCTAAGAGTGTTCCCTCTTTCTTGTGTCACCCGGTATACTCCCGCTAAAAATTCATACTTTTTTTTTCTTCCTGAGTTTCAAGTTTTGTTTTATACATTTCGACATAATTAACGATACCATTTGGTGTTGGGAATTTGTTATTCACAAATTAAATTATTAATTAATTAATACACTTTTAAGAGTCATTTGCTGTAATCTCAAGTATCGTTGCCGAAACTGTCCAGCGTCAGGTTTTTGCATCCCTTAAAATGACAATAGGTCTTGGGTGACGGAGGCGTCATCCAATCGTTTTTTTTTATTAATTTGAATTCATTGTCTACGAATCCCATTGTCGATCTAGTATTATAACGAAAATGTGATTCCATATATAAATATGTATATCGTAAAGAGTGGGGGAACATTTTTTCTTTTCGGAACTATATATACGGACCATCCGGCGAGATAATTAATACACCTAAGTTTCTTATTCCAGGCCAAAAACGACACTTCAAGACTGACATTTGAAATTTTTTTGGAGGCACCTGGACTATGACACATTCAGACTAGTCGAGGACAAGTTCTGCGGTTTGACATTTTAAGAAATTTCACACTCACTCGCTCCTCCTTTCGTATTTAGTTCTCGTCGATCGGTGAAAGCTTTTAGAGAAATTTATAGCGTCTTGTTTTGGTTTTACAGGGCGCCAAACAAAGGTAATTTTTAGACCGTATTTTTCCAGTCTCGTAGTAACTTGAAGTGTGTTTTTGGCCCCCCCCCCCCCCCCTCCCCATAACATAGAACCACTGTACTATTCGAACTGAATTAATAATTAAATCGACTATCATTTATGTAATAGAAAATTTTACGTAATATTATAATTATATATTTTGCCCTAGTAGTACTTTAAAAACATTTTTACTAATTAACGAACATAAATATGAGGTTATTAAATGGCGTCGTTTTTGTTAGCCCGTCCATTTCCTTAATCACCACAAAAGAGAAACTTGCAAGATATAACTGTACGACTGGAGGATGTAATACGTCACGCAACGTCGGTCCCTGACAAATCGCTATTGTCACAATACTGGCGGTCTGTGACGTTTTCATTTTTGGCGATTACGCGATCGCCGAATTCGATTTTTTTCTGCTTGTCTGTTCCCCGATTCTTGGAGTTGCTTTTGCTACACTTCGCCTCTTCTCTAGTAATATATATATATATATATATATATATATATATATATATATATATATATATATATATATATATATATATATACAATTTATTATTATTATTATAAAAACTGTAATACATGGAATAATTTGGTTTTAACAGAAGTGTAAATTCCATGGAGGAAAACTTTCATGTTTCGCGAGATCATCGAAAATCGCTATTATTTGTACAAATCTTTGTATTCACCAAAGTTTGCCGTAACTTCGAATTTCGGCGAGACGTGAAAAACACTTTATACAGGGTGCATGCATCGATTTTGCGAAAGTTCCGCATTGGTGGGCAGGAGCACATACATCGATGAGATTTTGAAAGCAATCATGTCAGATGTCAAACGTCAAATGGACGTCAACGTAAGGTTGTTAATTTTAGCTTCGCTGCTCCAATTATCAATTTTGCCGTACCGTGAGGCGAACTGTGGTCACGATTTGGGATCGAGGCGCGGGGAAACTGCGAGCGCAAAACTCGCAGTATCGAAATTTCTCGGAAAACTGAAACGGGAAGCTAAAACAGCGGATAAAACGCGAAAACCCCAATGGCAGTCGTGGACTAGTTGGTCGGATTGCAGCGTAACGTGCGGTCGGGGCAGGATCATAAGATGGCGGCACTGCCGCTCGAACTGCGGCGACTACGAGACGGAAATGGAGGAGAAGGCGTGCCAACTCCCCGCGTGCCCTCGTAAATTATTCGGCATCATTAAAATGTGATTGAAAAATTAACGTCAGTATTCAAATAAATATATTTTAAACCGGCGTTAAAAAAACATTTTAATTTTGTCATACGCAGAGATAACCCGGTGGTAATTTCTGGTTCCAATGGTTTTCTGTCATCTTCTCGATTCACAAATACTGTGGCTGTCGATAATGGGAGAATCATCCTAGCGTCTCTGCTCAACTCGGCATAAAATGTTAAGAAATAGAGTAAGGTGTATCAAATTAACTTTTGATATTATTTTGAATTAAACCAACATTATAAAATAATAGATGATAATTTCCACTTGAAAAGTTTGTATATCAATGAAATTATTTGTTTCGCCCTGCGCCTTTTGTGAAAAAAATTCTGGATTGGCCGAATGGTTCCGATACAATTGGTTAAATGGGGCAAATGAAAAAAGAGGGGATACTTGGAGATGTCATCGCCTATGGTAAAGTTTACTGATAAGGTTTGATTTTGATTAAACGGTAAACGTAAGCCTTTTTAGATGCCCCTTCTCGAGGACGACACTATTGTTTTCGGAGAAGAAGACATATCGGGAAATGCAAAAAATTATCTGGCGTACTATGTTCACATTTATTTTAGTCCCGATTTGAAAATTGTGTTTTAGCCATCCCTACGTGACCCTGTTCCACGTAGGCTTCAGGGCGGCAGCGATAGTAGCCTACATGCTTTGCGGGTGGTTCAGCAATAGTTTTATAACCAGCTTTGTGGTCATAGTAATTCTGTTATCCATGGATTTTTGGACGGTTAAAAACATTACCGGGAGGCTGATGGTAGGGTTGCGATGGTGGAATTACGTGGACGATGACGGCAAGTCTCATTGGGTTTACGAATCTAGAAAGGTAGCGGACGGCTCGATACTTGTTGTGTGTTGGGGTACTGAATCTACATGTGACCCTTTCTAGGGTACACTGCAGAACAGAATAAATGAACGGGAATCTAGGATATTTTGGACGGCGTTGGTGTTGACCCCTTTTATTTGGGGAGTGTTTTTTCTTATTGCCCTATTCGGATTGAAACTGAAATGGATGGTAAACGATCGAATTTTTTAAGCAAATCAACTCACATATTAGTGTGATGCAATTTTAGTTGGTGGTGTTGATTGCGCTCAGTCTAAACGGCGCCAATTTGCACGGCTACATCAGGTGCAAGGTCGGCAACCAGCAAAGTTTAAGGTCCATCACTTCAGACTTTTTAAAAAAACAGGTCCTACAAAACGCCGTTTCCATAGTGACTCAACAAAATGCAAACCCTGCGAAAGCATCAAGTCAGCCCACTCGCACTGTGTAATTTTCATATTGCCACGCGTTCTACTATAAGTTTTTGTGATATCTGTAGATGTTATTTGTTTAATATTATATATCCAGAGAGAAGATGCGAGATTTTGACCTCCGTTTTATCCGTGTAATTTTTTCGTTGAAGTTATGATGCCCGTCCATCATCCACGAACCCAGTTAGATATTTTGGGTGATGGAAGAGTTTTTGGAAAAGTTTAAAAAAGTATCCTATTCAATGCCAAATTTTTATTTTACAGATTTCACTAAGATTTAGAAAAAAAATTACTGTACAAACAATGATCTTCGTATCGGGATCTACTTGTCTGCCCAATTTCAACTCTCTCACGATTCTGACTTTGGCCATTTCTATAATATGTCTTGTGGCGCCATCTGTCCGACAATGGTTTAAAATGCCAAAAAAAAACAATTACAACTCAAACTGTGTGTGTGTCGCGCCATCTATTTAAGCGACGAACAGCAGTACGTATTGTCCCAGCACTGAAAATTCCTTTTGCTGGTTCTATTAGAAATAGAAATCGGTCAAAAATTATCGTTCAATAAAAATTATACTCAGTGCTTTGGTTACTCGAATTGTTTAATACGTATCGCTCGTAGTTTGGTGAAAATTCGTTTGTTTTGTGTGGATGTTTATGGATTCGTATTGTGATGACTTGGCTATTTTATCTGTGGTCGCCGAAATCCGGACGCATGGCGTTGCCAAACTGCTATATTTATTCGATTGGACCATAATCAAATGATAAACTATCTCGACGGACGTTGGTATTACATTAGAGTCAAGCGTTGCAAAGAAGACTATTGAAAACCTTGGCCCATGAAGTTGAGTGTCATACTCCTTCATTCTGAAGTCGGATATATAAGTAGAGGACGAGTGCTGACACGTTTTAATGATGTCCTATCTATTTCAATTTTTTAAACAATGCGATGAACCGACTCCGGAACTAAAAAATTAAATGTGGCTTTGAGATTTTGGGTTTCTCGTGGACATTACAGAGAAATTAAACGAACTTAATTTGCAGCTTCAGGGGAGAGACAAAGAACTAACGGAAATGATTTCTGATATAAAACCAATTATCAAAAAGCTGGAGTTTGGTAGCAAAACCTAATTAACAGCGATGCCAAGCATTTTCCTGTTCTTTCCGGAAAGATATCTCAAAATCCATTAGAATCCTATGATAGATCATGTAGAAATAGTTTCTACCCTGAAGGATAACTTCAAAAATTGATTTCAAAGAAATGACTTTAGTAGCGCAGTTTGTTGTTTCACCCTTTGTGGAAATTGATATCCAACAGTTTGCAACTTGCGTTATGCAGGACTTTGGCGAAAACATTGCTGCAACAGAAATAAAAGTTTCAAAATGGCTTAGCCTGAAAATCGTTGGTCATAACTGCCAAATGTATCTGGCCTTTTGTAAGAAAAGACAAATATTCAGTTCTATGTGTGTTGCCTTGAAAGTGAAAGCATTATTCAGTTCAACTTATTTGTGTGAATCTTCTTTTTCCAATAAGAAGTTTCTTAAGAACAAATATCGCAATCGACTTAATGATAAACATTTGGATTCGAATGGCTGTATCAAAATTATACTGCAAACATTAAAAAAATTATCGATGAGCGAGTGTCAGCTTTCTCATTGAACGTGCCTTTTTATTTATCAATGTTTATGTGCGTGACAGTGCGTTAATTTTTTGTTGCTATTATGAACAATTTTTAAATCTTACAGGTTTAGAACGTTCAATGTTGTTTTATAGCCAAATTTTAGGGGAGTGAAGTAAGTAAACGTTGATTATTTGCTAATCAATATATTACAAGCACATAATATAAGAAACCGTCTATATCACAGATTAAACTCGAAAAATACCTATTTAAAGGGAATTAACCCTTTTCAGCTTAACGCGCCTGCCTTTGCTGCTTCAACAGCTCGTCGATTTGACTCTTGTACATCTCCTTAACGTCTGCTAGATCCAGTTTCAGCTCGTCGTTCTCCTCGACCTTCTCGCCGTACAACTGGCACAGCGTGTCGTACTGACGTTGGAGGTCGACGAACTGCGCCCTCAGTTCGTCCTGCGCTTTGACCGTCGTCTCGAGCCCTTCGACGCGAGTGAGTAGGGTAGAAATCTCCATGTTGAGCAGAGAACGTTCCTGCTCGCGCCTGCTCAACTCCCACTGCAGCTGCTGCACCTCGCCCTCGCGCTGCTTCAAATTAGACTGCAGCGTCTGCATCTCGAACACGTTCGCGTAACGAGGCGCGTGGCTGGCCTCGAACGGTTCGTCCTAAAACCAGCGAAACAACAAAATCCCGATCGCCAAGTCACGGCGCTACGTCATCTCACCTGCGACCAAAACGAGCCGCTCAGCGACTCGGGAATCGAAGCTTTGCCTATGCTCAGCGTGGGGGAATTACTCACCGACCTCTCGATCGACGATTCCTGCGGCCGAAAGAAATAAAAAAAAAAAGAAATGAGATTCCGCGGAACGTCCCTTTCATGGTCGTGAACGGTTGTGGGTTGCCATGGTTTTCCGCGCTTTCCAAACAACTTACGCCTACTCGTTTTCGCGGGCTTGTTGAGCATACATATTGATTTACACGAAAAATTTTTAATTACCTCCCAAAATACAACAAGTTGCATTACGGAAAACGAAAATATATGACCGCCCTGTAATTTTGAGGTTAAACAAAAACACCGCACCGTTGGTTGTGTCGTCACGTGGAGAATTGCCGACGCACGTGTGCCATAGTATATTATGTAACAAGTGCGGTAAACGGCATTTGACTCACTAGTTTATTTGATGCAAGCGGAGCGCAGGTTTAATAAACGAGTGACTTAAGAAGTTTACTGAACGTGGAAATACTAAAAGGATGTCGAACTTCCATTGTTTTTATTTTTAACTTACACAACGTTTCGGACAGTTGTATCACTACCCGTTATCAAGTGTAAACTAAACGTACCGAACGTGTTGCATACTATACTTTTTCTACGACCGTTAGCTTTTGGATACATTTTCACAAAACAACACAAATACATTCACTGACACGACCGTCAGAATTGACAAAAGTCAAAAATTCAAAGCGTGGGAAATATCTCTGAAAACATCCGATTGCTCACAAATCCGTGCGGTAAAATCCCGGAAATGTCCGAAGTGGCTCGGATCCGTGGGAAACGAAACTGACATGGTGAAGTGTCGCTTCCCGCACGCTAGATCGATGTGTAATTAGACATTTTAATTATAAATATATTAATATAAAGGTCACTTTTTTAAGAAAAGCCTATTCGAATTTTGTATTGTTTAGGCAGAAATTGAGGTTATGTGTTTTTTTTTCGTATAAAATTGTGTTGTAACACTACTGATCCAAATATTGCAACAAAAACTACCCACAGACTAAGGCTATTAGTTTGACAGATGCGCTGAACTTATACAGGGTGTCCCAAATATTTTTTATATTTTTATTCAGATATCAAATCTAGGGCAAAAAACAAGGTAAGTTAGTAAATTTTTCTTACTTTTTGAGATATTCGAAGTGTAAGATAACACCCGTATATAGAGTACAAAGAGGTTTCCACTTTATTGACACATCTTAAATCAGCAGCACTACGCACAAACACTGAATAAGATATACCTTCGAAAAAATCTAAATCTCAAAATAAAAAACACCGGAACAAAAATAAGACAACATAACCTCTACATACACTTTCCCAATCGCTACCGCTCCGTATCGGGAGCACTTTTCTAGCCTACGTTGCTTTGAAAAAAAGAGAGAGAGAGAGAGAGATAAACAGATAACCTAGAATCTGATTCGCAATTCGCTCCCGACAGAATCCGTTATAATTGTCCCACAAAGTTTTGATATCGGTTCCAAAAGTGGAGTGTTTATTCTTTAAGTGTTTTGTGGAGGTTTTGGTTAGTTTTTAATTATCAAATATATGTTAACAAACACGGAAGATGATGGAATGGTCCAGACTCGTCTCTTATAAAGGTATCCTTTAGGATTTTTGAATAATGTTCACAATTGTTGTAAGCTGGCTGAATGACCTGTGTAGTTGTGGCCATTAGAAAGAAAAAAGAAATATCGTAGGTACGAAACAACTTGAACTTGAAGTCGAGAGTGGGCGGGGTCTTTACGTATATTTCGCATTTATCACCTGCAAACTTGACAGTCGCTTCCTCTCGACCTCGAGCGCCGTCTTATCGGCCGCCATTTGCCGCTGCAGGCTCTCGATTTCGGCCGTCTGTCGTTCTATGGTGGCTTCCCGATTTGCGAGCGACTCGCGCAGCGCCTCGATCTCCCTGGAAAAAATCGAAACCGCTCATTCCCGCATTTAGACAAACTTACGGTCCTGCCACCTTTGGAGATCTCGCGCGGTCAGCTCGCCATTAGTCTTCTGTCGTTCGAGCTCGACGCCGAGGAGTTCGAGCCGGTGCCGCGCCGAGCCCAGCTGGCCTTCCAAATCGGCCAACCTCGCCCTCAGACTCACGCACTCTTCGGAGGCTGAGCGTTCCAGACTAGCGGACGTCCGCAGTTTACTTTTCAGGTCGCCTAAGCGCGATTTACATTAGCGTTAGTTCAAATGACCCGCGAAAATTAACAATTAAATTTTGTGGCCCTTTGCACTTGTATATATGTCCTTTCGCGAGTACACTGCACTCGGGACTATTATTTTATCTACTTATTTATTTATTTATTTATCAACGGGCCAACCGCCCAATATAAAATAGGATTCACATAAACAAAATAGTAAACAACAAAATAAAATAAAATAAAACAAAATTAAAACAAAATGAAATAGATGAAGACCTTACCCTAATATTACAAACATTAGTTTTCCAAAATATTAATATTAGTATAGTTATTCGACACGACAGTAAGGACACTTATAAGAGTAGCGAGGCCCCAACACAATGGTATTCATAACTATTGCGAGGAAAAGCGGAATAGTTTTACTGACATTCTTTAAGTTGGTCTGAAAAGCGATTTGCTAGTGCAGCTGACCTAGTTAGAAAAGAATTCTGCCCATAGTTAGTACGATGGAAATTCACCTGGTTTATTCTGGCAAGGCGGGGCAAAACGCGAAGCCCAATCTTACATAACAGCTCAGGTCTATGGGAAATTTAATAGAGTAGATTATAAAAAATGCTGCATGCGACGAATCCGAAGAGTTGTAGGTTGAAGAGAGTTTTCCAATTCCGAGTAATCAACGTCCTCAAGTCCTTGGTGGTCCTTAAAGCTATATACCGCAGGAAACTATGCTGCACTCTTTCATTACATTATATTATACGTCGGACATTATACGAAGGTGACCACACACAGGAACAATAATCCAGGTATGGACTCACGAGGCAGGAGAACAGTAATCTGAGAGACGAAATACTCTGGAAGTCCACTGTACAACGCTTAATAAAGCCCAAAATCTGAAGTGATTTAGACACAATAAATGAAATATGGTGTGTGTAAGTCAACTTAATATGGAGTAACACTCCAAGATCCCTTATTACGGAGGCCTGCAATAACGATGACACTTATATGTTGTACGTAAAATGTATGAGGTTGCTGCTCCGGTAGAAGTTCATTAGTTGGCTTTTATTAATATTTAGTTCCATTCCATTCAAAACGCTCCATAGCGATAGGTGATCTAAATCGGACTGGAGTTTTATACATTATGAACTCTCATATATATGAGTCGTCAGCAAACAATATCATTCACATAGACATTGAAGAGTAGAGTCCTAAGTGCGATCCTTGTGGAACACCAGAAGGCACTTTAATTTCGGTGGATTGGAAGCTCTGGACGCGCACAATCTGCACTCTTTCAGTAAGGTACGATGTTAACTATTCCAAAAGTTTTCCCTGGATTCCAATATTTCGCAAATTATTTATTAAGATTTGACGATTTACTCGATCAAAAGCGTTTGAAAAGTCTGTGTAAATGGCATGAACGTGAGACCACCTTCTCCAATGAATCCAACAGAAATCAGTGAATGTAAGTAAGCAAGTTTAGCTCAGTGGAGCGATGGGGAGAAATCCAAATTGTTGGTCGATGAAGCAAACTTTCAGGTCAGCAGATAAATAGTCGCAGACTAAACTTTTGAACACTTTAGGAATACAACTCAATTATCGCTGGATTTTAGGATAGGGATAATGACGCTTGATTTCCAGTAATTTGGAAAAGTTTCCGTTTTTAAAGAATGGTTAAAATTGCACTTTTAAAAATTTCTCTTATAGTCTGCATATAACCCGGTCCCAAGATATCGTTTACGTGATTTCTTCTTCTCAATTATTATCTTTAAGGTCTGGTGAAAACCAAACTGGAAACTTTTTAGCGGAAAACTTCTTTAAGGGAACGTAAATATTGATAGCTAAATAAACTATGTCGTAGAACACATCCTCCATAACCTCAAGGGTCCTGTTAGCAAATAACTTATCCCATTCGAACTGCGACAAAAACTCAGTCACTGCACTTAAGTCCATTTATAGAAAATCTCTATAAAGGCTGTCACCCCTTAGACCAGAACTGTTGAAAAGTACTGAATCACCTGTCTATTCGGATTTTTTATATTGTTTTTTTTTTAATAAAAAAAATTCGCTTCATAAAAACTATGGGATTTTTTTAAAAATATTTTATTATTATTACCATAGACACTACCATCCATTATTATTAAATAAATTCATACAAATTTTAAAAAAATTACATTCTATAATGTTGTAGCGTATGGTACCGTTCGAAGCAGTCACCAATGTGTAGTCCGGGTGCAAGTGTCACAAATATACCTAGTTTCCTGAACAAACTTCAGATGTGCCATTGGTTTTTTTTTGGCTCCGTTGTGAAATTTTATATAATAAATATGCGTTGACACTAGACATTTCGAGTCCCCAGAAAAATAACTTTCGCCACCATTTTAAATACTTGTTGGTTTTTTGATAGAATCAAATCAATAATAAATTTGCGCTTGATTTGAATAGTACCTGTCAAATGAACATTCAGTTTTAACAATTCTTCTGCAAGTGGCAAGCTCGTATAGTATCTATCAGTGTAAAAATTATATCCTCTTCATCCTGGGTTATTGTCTAATAATTTTTGACACAGATGTTCTTACAGGTACATCAGGTCTCACTAAATCTTCCGATGTCAAGCTTCCTTAGGAACATATCCGGTTCATTTCGTAGGCTGGTTAGGATTATAAGTTAAAAAACTAATTTTACCCTTAGATCCAACAACAGATTCGTCTCTGTTGATGAAACAAAATGTTCTTTGAATCGCTTGTCTAAGTAATCTAAATAGTGACTTTCTGAGTTCGAACCCTAAGGCAGATGGTTTTCATGCAAGTGGAGCATAATTTTTTTTACTCGTTCTAAAACTAAATATGCTAGTAAAGCTAGGTATTTTGGCGTTAGAATGTTGTTAGAATATTTACAACTCCAATAAATACGGTAAACTCTTCTACTGTAGTATCTACCCACGTTTTAACAACCTCTGATGCTATTTTATGTCTAGCGTAGTTATTTGTTTGTTCCACTATTTTTATTATTAGCTCATCGGTGAAAAAGAGCTTGAAAAATTTTATGGGTTTTGTACAAGTATGAGGAATAAGTGGTGCTACCATTTTATCCTCAGTAGTAAGTAAATAGAATCCTGTCTGGTACCTGATCGTGGCACGTGACGTCCTGCCATATACCAAAATTCCCAGGTTGTGTGATATTCTCGTTTTCTTCAATGCTGCTTCCACTTGATGGTAAAGGTTTGGTTCTCTGTCTTTTAGTAACTATAACTACCACTCTTTCGTCACTAATATTATCACTATCCATTATTTTGCAATTCATTTTAAATTTCATCTTGTAAAAATTTCTTGGACGTTTGAATTTTTTTTTTCGAAATAGACACCGAAAAAGTACACCGAACTTTACCCAATCGTGTTAGTTATAAAACTCATTTGAACTGAAGTGGTTGAAATGTATACATTAACAGATATAAAATAAACAGCTTACGATGGCATGCTATCTTTTATTTTTACGTAAACATGTCCTCAACGAAGGTACAAGAAAGCAATTTAGAAATATTAGAAATGAGCTTAGGGGATGACAGATCGGCCAAGCTGCTGTAAAGATAAGAGTGCAAATGAATAAATAAAAACTTTTTGAATAAATGCGAACAAACATTTTCAAGAATGAATTTCATAAAATCTATTTGTTGAGGATCTCAGTGTCTTAAACTCAACTGGATCTAAATGAAATACCAAACAAACAATGAAAGATAAACGATTGGTTCCTTAATATTGAAAAATTTTACTCTGCCATAATATTTATGTCCGTATATAGCATTATTTAAGTTTAATTTGGATGTGTATAGGGAATTTTAAGCGAAAGAAAATTAATTAATTAATTAATAAAACCATAGTGAATTTCGCAATGGAAGGTGGATTATTTAAATGCAATTGAAAAATTTATTATTATCGCAAATAAATCAAAAAACCCTCAAAAGGGTTACCCATCCCCAAAAGCGATTGTTTGACGCCGCTTCCTCCTCAAGAAATTATCGTTTCCGAGATCCCCCTCTTCCTCCCAAAAAAATCGGGTTCAAGAGCGCAAAGCTGGGGGATTTCCCGTCGTAAATCCACACGCGGCCTACGTACTTATCTTTAACGTCAGCTCGCGCTCCATCTTCTCGAAACCGGCCACCTCCGCCGAGTGGGTCGCCTGGAGCGACTCCAGTTGCCGCACCAAAGGCTTGCTGACCTCCAGCACCGACTGCGAGAGTTCCTCGTTCCTGGCTCCGGCCTCCTCGAGCCTACGCAGTAGCTCCGCATTTTCCAGCCTCAGTTTGTGCTCCTTCTGGAGGTACTCCTCCTCGGAGACGCGCAGACGGCAACGTAGATCGTCCAACTGGCCCAACACCTCCTCGTTCTGCGATTCGGTCATCCGCTGCCGGCTCTGCAGGCTGCGCAGCAGCTCCTCGCCCGCCTGCAGCTCCTGCACCGTCCTGCTTTTCTCCGCGAGCTCCTTCTTCGCCGCCTCGAGCGATTTCTTCGTCGCGTCGTACCTCTGGGTCAGGTCGTCGAGCTGACTTCTAGTTTTCGTCAGTTCGCCTTCCAGCTTCTTGTTTTTGATCGTCAGCCGATTCACCGCTTCGATCTGGGTGCGTTCCACCTCCTCTTTGGCCGACAGCGACTTCTTAAGACGGTCCGCTTCCAGCGACAGCGTCTCGTGGCTCTCCCTGCAATTTAAAAGTCGTACTTTGACGACCGGCAGCGACATACCTCTCACTCACTTCAAGTGCTTGATGGTCGTTTCCTGCTCCTTCTCTTTCGCGCGCAGCTTCTTGATGATGTTCGAGTGCTGAAGCTGCTGCTTCGACAACTTCTCCCCCTCCTCGCGCAGCTCTTTGATCAGCTGATCTTTGGTCGCCATCTTGGATTCCAGCTCGCTTTTGCTGGGGCGCGTATCCTTTTCCCTTATCGCCTGGTCTAGCTGCTTCCTGAGCGTGTCCTTCTCCCTTATCGCCTGGAACGACGCGTTTTTATGCGTAAGGGAAACAGTACCGCCCCAAAATAATGCGCTTCCTCGGCTTGAATCAATAATAAATCTAATAAAATAAAACATATTTTCCTTATAACGGTCAAATTTTTGAGCAAACGTAGGGAACAGCTATGGGTTCTCCTCTATCACTGGTACTCGCGAATATATTTATGGAAACCATTGAGAAGAAAGCTCTCGAGACCTTCCATCTAAAACCAAAATTATGGAAACGCTACGTCGATGATTCTTTTGTTTTTGGCCTCATGGTCAGGAATCCCTAGTAGATTTTCTTAGACATTTAAACTCTATACACCCTAACATACGTTTTACCAGTGAAATAAAAACTAATAACAACTTCCCATGCTTAGATGTTCTTATCAATAGAAAATCATACCTAACATTGGGTTACTGTGTTTAGAGAAAACCTACGCACACAGACCGATACCTTAACGCATTGTCACATCACCATCCTGTCCAAAAATCATCCCTCTCAGAATTAAAACACCTTACCTCTGTTCTTCTCTCTAATAATTTCCACATTAAAGATATTAAGAGTTCCATCGCAAAATAAACTTCACCACAACCTTCCAATAGCAATGAAGCCGAAAGCAATCCCACACTAGCCACTGTTGTCCTTCGTTATATTCAAAACATCATATCAATAGTTCTAAAGAAATTTAACGTCAAAACCAGATTTACCACTTGTTCCAAAATCTCTCGACATCTTCGATTCGAAAAATAAGAGAGTAACAATCTTAACCGCGACCCAGGTCTCTACCTGTCACCAATATGGGAATCAGTCATCCGAGAAGAAGCTAACAGTATGATTAGCAAGTTTGACTTAACAAAAACCGACGCAGCAGGAATCCAGAAGTTTTGTGAAAAGCATAAATTTCATTGTTTATATTTGCATTGGAAAAAGTTTATTTGTGATTAAACCTTTATAATTAGTAATTATGTTGTCACTACTACACTAAGTTAACCGAGGAGTTTTCCTAGCGCCCTTTTAAATTTTAAAATATTTTATTAATAATAATAATAAAACCAGCAATATATTCAGTTAAGCTGCTAGAGAAATTTGTTATGTATCATGGGGGAGATGTCCCTCTCGAAGAAATGACGAAAATACAAGCCAAAATACGAGATGCGTATTGGCATACTAAAAAAATTCAAAAGAAAATGACCGATTATTTGAAACATTAAATGTAGTTCTTAAATATTTGTATAAAATGTTCCTATGTAGATGTAAAAACATGTATATAAAATAATTAAAAATTATTCATTTTTATTTTTTTTATTTATTATTTATTAATAACTCTTTATAACGAAAAAAAAGCAGTCATTTCAATTTCGCTATATAGAGTTTCGACATAAGTTATATATTTTTTAAGGACCACCTTGTATATTATACGCTTAATAAGATCCCCAAAAACATCGTTGTTATTTAACCTTTGGGCAAAAAACGTTTAGAAAACAGTGAGCTCTTTGCAAGATATATTTTTAATATATATGGAACACCCTGTAACATGAAAACAACATTGAAAAATAAAATAATATTCTGGTATTTACAAAAACAAAATGTTCGTCTATAAATGAACACCCGATCCAAGGTTTTACACGCAGAGTGGGCCCAAAATTTGATTTTTGTTAAAAAAATAAAAAATCATTGATTTTTTCTAAATCGTGATTTTTTTATTTTAATTGATTCTTTTTTAATTTCCTGTTTTTTTTTGTAGCAAGTAAAAAAAACACTTTCTCTTCTTCTTTGAAGGTTGCTGATCATCATGGCTACCTTCACTTTTGATACTGCATTCTCGAAGATTACGCAACCAAGGGATTCTTCGGCGCCCTACACTTCGTCTACCTACAATCTTGCCCTCCATAATGAGTTTCAGCAGCTCATATCTTGTACCGCGTGATATACTCAAGTTTGCGTTTGTATGTATATAAAATAATTAAATATTACAGATTACATATGCGTATTGTTCTTTTTCAAGTGCCTAAAACTAATAATGAAAAAAGAAAAGCAGTCCCTTCAATTTCGCTATATAGAGTTTCGACTGTATTATCTAAACATATTTTTCGTTTTACACGGAGTGACTTTGAGGAACCAAAAGGATTTTTGGTCTACTTTTTACAAAACTTCCGGATTCCTCCTGCGTCGGTTTTGGCTAAGTCGAACTAACTAACGTTTCGCCAATCATCCCGTTGGCTTCTTCAGTGTTTGAAACTGTTTCAGTCAAACGCTGAAGAAGCCCTGTTGGCTGGCGAAACGTCAGCAATTTCGACTCAGCAAAAACCGACGCAGGAGGAATCCGGAAGTTTTGTAAAAAGTATTACACTAGCCTGTGGAAGTTTCTTTGAAAAACTAAGATTTTAGTCTAATTGAAAACGAACCGTCACGACGTTTACCTGTTGAAATTTCTTTTCTAAAGCCGCCAACCGTTGCGTATACTCTTCCGTAACTTGCGTCACATCCGCCGACTCCAATTGCTGCGTCAGCACGCAGTCGAGCTGATTTTTGAGGTCGGTATTCTGTTCGAGCAGTTCCGCGTTTCTCCTGTAACGTTCGTCGATTATTATTGAAGTATTCTTCGTCGTTTTTCTACTCCCTTCTGTAAAATACCCAATTATATATCTATATATTATATCCAGCGTGCGGGAAGCGTCACTTTACCACGTCAGTTTCGTTTCCAACGGATCCGAGCCACTTCGGACATTTCCGGGATTTTACCGCACGGGTTTGGGAGCAATCGGTTGTTTTCGGAGATTTTACCGCACGGCTTGAATTTTGAAGTTTGTTCATAAATATGTACTAAACAAATGAGATAAAGAGTTTACCAAACGTGTTGGATACTTATACAAATTAAAAACAATAACATATCATCGGATTACTAAATTTCGTACCATCCAAACAAAATATTTACCAGTTTGGTTCTGCTATTGTTGTCTTTTTTTAACTGTGTACGTTAGACAGAGAGATATGTATTATCGGATGTCATATAAGCGATGGAATAAACACTATTTTAAAACGTTATGTTGTTTATTTAACTTCTACAATTGATCATAAAGTAGTTTATTTAAAGAAAAAGACTGTAATGAGAAGATAAATCATTCAAGGATAGAGCTTTGAAGAGGATTACATTTTTAACCCATTTTGTCCTAGTGCTGCGTTAATGCACCACCTATTCTATTTTTTTTTTGTCACATCCAGGAAATATTTTTAGACATCCTTTTAGAAATTTTATTATTACCACTAACAAAAGGGCATAAAACCTTAGAAATCGCTAAGGAAAGATCTTAATTTAAGCTAACACATTTTCAAGTAAATCCAACATAGCAAAAAAAATATATTTGGGATCTGAATTGCCATTTTTTGTTAAGTCTATAGCATGTAGATTACATCGCAGAAAACATACATTGGAAATTCTATATTGATTATGCTTTATTTTTTGAAAATATTTACTGGTGCGTGATTGCACAACTGGTTTTATCTGTGAAACAAAACTTTATATATAATAGTGTGCTCTTTAGGATTAGTTTTTGCCTTGTGCAGTGAACGGCACAGTTCGTGAAATACGGCATTTCCGAGGTATTTGACTCAAAAGGAATTAGAGGCGGCTATGGAGGAGATCATGATGGATAAGGACAATAACAATGAAAGTCGTTAAGTATTATTTGGATTTACGTATTCTTATGTATTGTAGCATTCCATTCCTTGTGAATTTATGCCAAAAATAACGTGAAAAAATATTTACAGAACATATTGACGGGGTCTGTATTCCACCCGACGTGGATACCTTGACTGACGAAGAAGATATGAACGATAACATAAATCTTCAAGAGTTTGGGGAACCAACTGATATAGTTGGAACTTTTGAGTTACACACACCGAATGAGACAGCTGTCCTTCAACAGTCCTGTAATTCATCAACTACTGAACCTGAATGGGACTCATCAGATGATGAAACCATGGAATTCCAAAGAAGATGTATGCTTTCTGCAAACGACATTCTTGCTTGTATTGTCAAATGGAAGAAAGGTCACATTGAGTACACTCACTCTTATATCCGATGAATTTAGATCATGTGAGCTAAACTAAAAAATATCTTTTATGTTTTTTGATGACGAAGTGTTTGATTTGATTTTAAATCTTACACTGCTTTGCGACTTTTAAAAACTGATAAAACAATTACTCAAAGAAATCCTGCACCTGCCATAGATGAAGTGCGTTATAATAATCAAGTTCACCTAATGATTGCTCATGCTAATAAAGACCGAAGGAGATGTAGAATCTGCCACAGCCACACAATTTACGTTTGTAACGTGTAATGTGCATTTACATACTTCATGCTTTGTAAAACATCCCCCAAAAATTAAACCGGATGTCACCAGTGGTGCGCTCACGCACCATAAAATATTATGCGTTTTTTTTTTTGTATCAAATCAGGTTCTATTTGGAAAACAATCTACTTTTAGTTGTTTTCTGTCGAATTTGAACTTTCTTTTGTATCTTTATGTATAAATTATATGCCCCAAAATATTATTTAATCTTTTTTCCCAGTGGTTCGTTTACGCACCAGTATTATTTTGTATGTTTCGCGTTTTGATTTTATTTTTTTGACACATGTAATGTATTCTTAAGTGCAACAAAATAAATAATTTCAGAGCAAAAAAGTATTTTTATATATTTTTTTATGCTTGGGATAATATGGGTTAAGATCCTATAAGCAATAAAAAGCAGGTCCTAACCTTTAATTTTGTTTTGTTTGTACTGATAAGAAACGGATTTTTGAAATTAATATAAAAACTCTAAAAACCACTAAACTTCGTGAGAACGGTATGTAAAATTTCTGTGGGAAACTTAAATTATAAATGTCACTTGACTTATCGACTAGCCAACTAGATATTAATTGTAGCTTATAGCACGTAGTATTTAAATTGTCTGATATATTGCATAACATTTTTCTGTGTATTACATTCTGTGTATTAATACATTCCAGTGACCGCCAGAATTGACATCCGATTGTTTCCTAACCTGGAAATGTCCGAAGTGGCTCGGATCCGTGGGACAAGAAAGTCACGTGGTAAAGTGACGCTTCCCGCATGCTAGATCGGTGTCTACGTAGGTATTTTACAGAAGGGAGTAGAAAAACTTTTTAGGTCACTCGTTTCTTAAACACTCGGTCCGCTCGTACCATAGGTCTATAAAATCCTCTAATGTTTCATCCATCTTTACAAAATGTACGTTCAACCTGGGCTGTGAAAAAAAGTCAACTAGTGGTGGAATATCAGATTCCTAAATTAACAATCGGTTTGAACGATTCGTTATTATATTATATTTGAGCTTGTTACTTTCGAAAAATCGATGAAATCGAATGTTTCGAAAGTATACGCGCTTGACAACGAAACAAATATTTAGGCAACGGTTGGTCCTAGAGGATCCCCATCATTTCTCCAAAAAGGTCGATCGAAAAAATTCTTGAACCAAACGACGCGCAAGGGTCCGGACCAAAAACCTTTATTCTTGATGATTTGTATAGTGTACGTCGGTAATTTGCAAAAAACTGAAAATTGGGGGGGGGGCTTGTCGGTTTTTTTGGTATCGTTCAAAATTGTTTTTTGCAAGTATTGGTTATATTTCTTCTTTGTACGTGTTGGTCCTTGATCAAAAGCGAAAATCCCCGACGGAAGTCGGCAATGGGCGAATAATCCTAGCAGTCGAGCCCAACATTTTTTGTGAAACGCATCATTGAATGGAATTAATGTTCTGTGAGCTCAGTGTGCTGTCAATCTTCTTCGAACTGTTTTGCACATTGATATATCCACAAAAGGAAGAATTGGATATAAAAGTAAATTTTCCATATAATTAGGACCTCTACGACTTATGCCAATGGGCGTGCCAATAGGTCAACTATAAACTACTATGGACCAATTCAATGATGATGATTATGTATTTAAGAAACACTGTTGACTTCGTTTTTGACGCATTATTTGCGATTGGAGATGTTTCCCATTTTTACTCTTTCGTATAATGTTCTAGTTAAATCGAATAAATACGGAGATTTGGGAACGCCGTGCTGCCGAATGACGTTTAGCGAGCACTGTTAAAATTTCCCCGTCTAAGGAGATTACCTAATAATCAATCCCAACCTCTTTCTATCCATTAGTTGCATATCCGTTCCCTTTGGAGGGTGAGGGATTCGTCCGGTCCCTTTTAATTAAGACCATAAAGAAAAGTCACCATTCACCGAGAAAATGGCCGAATGATCTAAGCAGACGTGGCAGATAAAGTTACCTTTAGTTTCCCAAATTATTGAAGATAATCGCTTGATTGCGTACAGGTTTTTGAAAATTCTATTGTTTCGATTGAAACTTTGTGAAAAGGACCTTACCTGGTCATATCAATTAGCTTCGTCTCGCGCGACTCCAAAATCTCGGTCATCTCGGAGATTCTCTTCAGTAAGCGATCAACCTCGCCGTTTGGTTGCGGGTCGTCGCTAATGCTCGACGTTTCAGAGGGCTCGCGGTTGTGTCCCTTGGATTTTTTCGAGCAGTCGTCGGGTTTGGGGGGCAGCGGCCGGGCGGGGCTGCGCCTGCTCCGCGTGCTGCTCGAGTCCCCGTTGGGACTCGAAATTATTTCGATGTCGGACGACGTGGTGGTCTCCAACTCGTCGCAAGATGTGTGACACGAGGTGTTGTCCGAACCCACCTTGACCAAGTCCGACCTCTCCGAACTGAGGGGCGACGATTCCCGAATTTTTTCCGTCATCGCGTCCGCCAGCATTTTCTTTACAGAAGCGGAATTCGTGCTGACGTCGGTCGTGGTGTCGCTGCTGCTCTCCATGACGTTGTCCTCGCTTCCGACGACCGTCCTGTCTGACTGGGACCCGTCGTCCACAGACTGGTCGACGCCGCGTTCCTCGTCCCGCGGAAAATCGATTATATTGGTCTTTTCGAGTATGACTGGCAGGTCTTGCTTGTTAGTACTGTGCGGTTGGGTATCGATTAACACTTGGTTAACTTGGGGCAACGGTAAAAGCCGGATGCTTCTAACGGGCGCCTGCGTTATAGCCGAGCCCTCGCCCTCTAACGTCTTCGGAGGCACGTTGAAAGACGTGTCCAACACCGTGGCGGAGGTACTTTCCGACACCGAGGTGTAAGACACGGTGTCTTCGGCCATGCTGCATTCGTCTTGCTCCTCGGCGATGACTTCCACGCTGTCCGGTGAAAGGGGTGTCGTCGCCTTGTCGGTGAGCTGCGGGGAATCCGACGGCGATACGTAATCGTCGGTACATTGAGACCTGTTCGTTTCTGTCGAGTCGATTACTTCCACAGAGCTCGGGCTTGCTAAACTGTCACCGAGAACCTCGACCGAACCGGACGTGTTTCTCAACCCGCCCGCCGAACTGGACGAGGAAACTCCCGCCGACAAGATGTCGGAATCGGGCGTCAGCACGTCGACACTTTCCGAACTGTTCTTGCCGCTCTCCGAGCTCACCCCCGATAAGCGGTTAACCGACTTGGTCTTATGATTCGAGTCAACGTCCGCAAAACGTTCTCCCAGCTCGCATTCTACGTCTATGTCTTCGGAATGCTGCACCACCAGCTTACTTTTGCTGAAATCGCTGTGACCGCCGCTATCGTCCAGACTCTCCACAGATATCGATTTCACGTCCCTCGCGTTGTCGAAAAATGATCCCGTGAACGATCCCCATAGGCTCGTCGCGAGTTTGTTCTGAGCCGCGTCGGCCTCCGAGGAATGCCGCCTCGAACCCACCACCTCGCCCGACTGGATCACGCCCCAAGTGCCGAAGAAGTCGTCCGAATTGGTGTCAACCGGGGTGCTTAAGTGCGGGTGGTCGTCCACGTTCTCCTTAATGTCCAGCGCCTTGTCGATGGTTTTTTGCGCCTCCTTCAGCGCGGACTTGGCGATGTTCGCCAGGGCCCCCGCATCGAACCAACTCATGTTTTTACCATCCTCGTAAATCTCGTTCGAACTACGTTGACGTTTGCAAAATTCATGGCCGTCGTCGACCCATATGATTTTACGGAAACGGCCGAGGTCGCGCGACAATCGACAATCGTCGGCGGCATCGGCCAAATAAAGCCGGCTGTTAAACGAAATCGGGAAAAATCGCGCGCGCCAAACTTCTTTTCCTTAAAATTTTGGAAAAATTTATTCACCGCATGCGGCGTGCTGCTGAAATGCGGTTTTATGTCAACAAACCGGCAGGCTCTAGTGGCGCAATTGGTTAGCGCACGGTACTTATAAGACAGTAGTCGTGAGCGATGCCGGGGTTGTGAGTTCGAGCCTCACCTAGAGCATAACTTTTTTTTTCGGGAAATTGTTGTAGTCTTTATTTTAATTATATTCGAAGTTTTGCCGCATGGTAACAGAGGTTTAATCGAACCGTGCGATATTTCCAAAGCGACCTTTAACTTTTCTGAAGATTACGCGGGATTATCGTCCCATATAATAAAAGCAACGATAAGAGATACTGCACAATAAAATGTAAAAAAAGCAAGCCGTCGCCTGCACTCTCTTTCTTAGCGCTTGACGAGTAAGTACCGGTTTATTTCCTCTTAAATTTTTATTAGTACGTAAAACAAGACGAAAATGGCCCCGTCCTATAAGCTCACGTACTTCAATCTTACCGCCTTGGGCGAACCGATAAGGTTCCTGTTCCACTACGGCGGTATCGACTTTGTCGATAACAGGATCGAGAAAGCGGACTGGCCGGCCCTGAAACCCAGTAAGTAAACCCGGCGGATGGAATCCGCTCTGACGTTCCTTTTTTCAGAGACCCCGTACGGAGTACTGCCTCTGCTCGAAATTGACGGCAAGCAGGTACTACATCAAAGCGTCGCCATCGCGAGGTACGTCGCCAAAGTGGTGAATCTAGTAGGCAAAAACGATTTGGAAAATTGGGAGATCGACGCGGCCGTGGATACCGTCAATGACGTCAGAGCGAGTAAGTAGGCGCGCGCACATAACCTTTAAAAGGCCTGCCGTTTTTTAAAACAGAACTAGCCGCGGCGGCCTTCGAAACGGACGAAACCAGGAAAGCGGCCCTGTTCGAAACCCTAAAGGACGACACGTTGCCCTTCTTTTTGTCCCGCCTAGACTCCCAAGCCAAGGCGAACAAGGGTTACCTCGCGGTCGGAAGGCTTACCTGGGCGGATTTGTTTTTCGTCGGCATCCTCGACTTTTTGAACATCCTGGCGCAGCAGGACCTCGTCGCCGCCTACCCCAATTTGCAGGCTGTTCGGAAGAACGTGCTTGCCATTAACAGCATCAAGGCGTGGGTTGCCAAACGTCCCAAAGATCAACTGTAATCCGCTTCTGCGCAATAAATGTTTAACAATTGCTCGCCCGCATTCGTTATTCGAGTCGTCTCGATCGCGAACATCAAATACATTTGTCGTAAACACCGCCGCCACACCACAGATTACAATTCGGTCGGGTCGCCCAGTTACAGGCAAAGGCTTGCGCTTGCGTATGTCGCGTCGAAATTGTATCGGTGGCGCCATCATTGTCGTTTGTTATGTTAACGGTAAGAAAGTTTCGGAACCGCACCTGTGATGCACATACTTAACAGGCGCAAATAAAGTCATGAGTGATTTGGCTACAACAAATTTTAGTGTATAACGAGACGACTATACGACAGAAATCGCTGTTTGGGAAGAAAATGCCGTACAGTAAGTACCGCCACCATATTATCTAATAGATGTGTGACTGGCGTGTGGCAGTATTTTAAGAGATGTTTTCGTGTTCAAGTTAAAACTACGCCTTTTAAAACTACACAAATTTGAACTGCCACCCTGGTTTGAGATCTCAATCGCTCGCTTTGCGTTGGAATTTTTGACATTATTTGACAGACGTCGTAGGTGAGAGAATCGAAAAAAAAAAAGACGCTTATTTATCCATTAATTTAATATGAAACCATATTTCAATAAAATAATACAGACGTGCGGGTCTAAGTCCACGCATAATTAAAATTACATATGTACACCAGAGAGACAAAACACAACGGGAAAGCACCCAAAAGGGGCGAAAACATTCAGTCCCAGGTGACGAGAACGAATATCGTCGACCAAAAGTTTTCCGCGTGCGGATAATCACGGGAGTGTCTCAACCTTTTCGACTTTTTCGGACCTACAATGGCATCCAAATCTATTCGGGAACGTGGATAGCGCATTGCTTACCAGAAGTGTCCTCCTTGTGAAAAGTGTTCCAGCCTATCTCGCCGTAAGCTTCCAGGCCGAGCAGGGGTATACCCGGGAATATCTGGGGGAAGGACTGCAACTCTTCGACGTCCTGGTACTTGGCCGAACAGCATATCCTAAATCCCAGGCTGTGATTTTTGAGGCTGACGTTTTGCTTAAACTTAAAACAAACATTCCGTACATGGGGGGCACATTCAAAACAGTTACCTCTTCCAGCTCGGAATCAAACTCTGCTTTTGTGAGGTCGCTGCCCTTAATGACGCAAGAGTACGCCCTGAAATTGTCAGAAACGCAATCCCTCTCCTTAAGAAATGTTACGCACACGGTATCCTTAACCGTGTAGATTTTCTTCTCGGCGCACAGCCGTTGGAACGTTTTCGTTCCGTGAATTACGCCCCCTCCCAGCGCTACTCGGTTGGGGTTGTCTCTAAATATATGCGGAACTAGCGAAAGTAGCGCAAAATACCCACCACTTACTTGGGTACCAAACAGTCCAAAATATTGTAAAGGCTGCCGTGGAGCTGCTTTTTGCAGAAAAGCAAAAGGCACTTGACCTCCTCCTCTGGCCTGATGTACAGTCTAGCGGTATCTTCGAGTTCCTTCTTCTTGCTTGGATTGCAGTGGAACATTATCGTTCTTATGTTTGGAATTTTCGGTATGAAAAGCCCGTCAAACACGGACCCGTGGTCTTGTATATCTTTGGTGGTCCGTTCGACATTAAAGTAAGAAACTACACGTGGTACCGCCAGCAAACAATAATCGACCGAATTCGGTACCAGTTCCTCTTCAATATACTCTGGAACGGTTTTCCGACTAAGCGTCGACGCATCGTGCAAACAAATGTATTTATTCAATTTTATTCGGTTACAGTCGTATAATATCACGCCCATTTCGACGTTATTAAAGTTTAAGTTGCTACTGTGCGCCATTATGTTCGCTTTGCGCGACTTGTAGCCGACTCTGTAGCAGGTGAACCAGCTCGCCGTCCTTCGTTTCGCCAGCACCCTTTCTGCCACTTCTTTCCACGACTGGTTCACCTCGCTACAAGCTCTTAGATCCATAAACGTCAAGTACTTAAAAACGATGTCCAATAAGGGATAAACCGACGCTAAGCAATGACCAAAATCGAAATCCTTTACGCACGGAACGTTCGCGTCGAGTTTGGGCTGTTTGACGCTTTTAATGCAAAAGGCGCCTCCATGAGACGTCTGAAAGCACGCTAATATATTCTCGAACGATCTATCAATCGACTATATTTACCATTTTAAATTATTCGGTCCAAGTCTTCATCGGACTATGTATAAACAAAAACAAGTGACAAGAGGGTTAGGCTTACCATAACTCTTCTTGACACGAGCGAGCCAAACTTTGTAATTACGGATATATTCCTTCCCTCACTCTCATTGTAATTGTTACACCTAATGCGATTTAAGTATTATTTTTGTATTAGAATTACCAAAATATGGTGTTTGTAATATTAAATTAACTGTTACTTTAAATTAAAAATTGTTTCTTCCTTCATTCCTTATAACCAAGAGTGCACGATCATTAAGCAACTCTTCGTTTTTATGTACAGCGGCAATAGGTGATTGCCAATCGTCGCTTAGAATATCGAATCAAAATAATGTTTTCGATCGAGGAAACGTGCGCGTGATATTGCAAAATTGTCCCAGCGATAATAAATTATTAGTCGAACGTTTTCTGCACACAATGTCGGTAATCGTGGAAGCGGAAGACCGAGAAAACGTAATATCGAAATTAAGTGAAGTGATAAAAAATGCCGCGTACGAAAGCATCGCGTTAAACGGAATATTCAATGTAGGCGTTTCGGGTGAGTTGCGGCTACAATTCAAAAGAATACCGATGTTCATCGAGATTCGCTTTTAGGTGGCTCGCTCGTGTCTTTCCTCGCTGCGGGGCTCCCCAAAATCAAAACGGACTTTACAAAATGGAGAATATTCTTTTGTGACGAACGAGTCGTCCCGGAGGACGATCCGGACTCGACGTTCGGGGCTTACAAAAATCAACTGGTAGATAATAAAAATATTAACCTTAGAGAGGACCAGTTTGTTACTATTAAGCAGGGCGTATCTGGTAAACAGTCTTTTTCCCAATGACCTTATTTTCCAACGTCCACATTTTTAGCTGACGATGCGGCAAAAGCTTACTCCGACGAAATAGCGAAGTACCTGCCGGGCAACCCCCTGCCGCAATTCGACATGCTCCTTTTGGGAATGGGCCCCGACGGGCACACTTGTTCTCTGTTCCCAGGCCATAAACTTTTAAATGAAACCGAGAGGTGGGTGGCCCCCATAACCGATTCGCCGAAACCTCCCCCGAGTAGAATCACCCTGACATTTCCAGTAATTAACAATGCGAAGGCTTGTGTCTTTGCAATCAGCGGAAAGGACAAGGCTGATATGATTAAGGTGAATATTCAAAAACTGATAAATCTTGGTGTCTTCCTTTTACTTTTGCTGGACGCGGGCCTAAGAACCATTCAGCCAACAGTGGTGGGGGTATATTGAAAATATCTTTTCAAAGCTTTGTTAAGCTAACCCATATTTGCTCAGTTTAGGTGTTGTTTCAACCTAATAACACCTGTTAATTTAAGACAGTCAAGAAGTAACAACATGGCCGCTGACAGACTTTCACGTCTCACCTTACTTGTGGCGTTTTTACATAAGTATCTTCTCGAAAATGTCTCAGAAGGTAAACCCAAAGCACAATATCTAGTGTTTTGATTAGTTTTGGTTGTTTTTGACCAGTTTTTCGGCCATTCCAAGCCCTGCTTTTCATTTTTGGCCTTTTTTCAGCTTTCAAATATATAACATTTTTCGCGTATATTGCCCTGCATAGACAGTGGTTCTGTTGGTTTGAACGATGCGTCGTCCATGGTTCCAGTTCTCTTTTTCAATTCTCCTGACCATCAATTAACAAAAACAAAATATGGGGGCAGGATGCTTTTTAAGGCTTTACTACGATTCAAAACGTCTACATTATCGCCATTCTGCTAACAGTTGTGCCACACTAAATGTCATCTTGGTTACCTATAGTACCCCTGCGCCAAACAATACACAGTAACTCAGTAAAGGCCCCAAAGTGGATCCCTGAGGTAACATTTTGCACCCATGATTACTTAGCAATCATTGGCCATGCGATAACAATGAGGATGGCCACCTAAAATTCTGTAAAAATTTGAATATTCTGTAGTATACCAAGCTTCGAGGCTGCAGGTTATGAAATTTAAAAATAAAGAGGATCAATTTCAGAGAATATTACTAGACAAAGAAGACCTGCCTGCCGCCAGGGTGCAGCCCGCGTCGGGTCGTCTCTATTGGATATTGGATAAGGAAGCGGGAGTTCATCTGCCGAAGTGAAAAAAAAAGTTTTGTAATCGAAAATTTTATTCTTGGAAACTTTTAATACAATAAATACTGTATCAGAACTTTTGAAGTATTAAGTACATCACATTCATTTTTTTTCCATTCCCGACATTACTCATCGTCTAAAATTAAAAAATAAATAAACTTTCCGACCAACTACAACATTGGTCTTACTACAGGCCGGATTCCTAACATTATCACCCTATAAATGCAGCTTGAATCGTCCATAGAAACGTTGCAACTTAAATATCACATTAGTCGCGGCGAAACGATTTCAGAAATGGCCGTCGGCGAGTTATTACTTTTTTTCATGGAACATCTAGAACAAGTATTTTTCGAAAAAACGCTTAAAGATATTTTTCCGAACGCGGATGGTTTTTATTACTTACTGCCGTAGGATAGCGAGTATTTTTTTTATATTTTATTACGGAGGAGGTTCGTAGATTATAATAAATAAGTTAAGTCTAAAAAAAATATCGAAGTCGATATTTTAAAAATCGTGAAGGATATTATTACTAGTGTTTAGGTGTTGACCGGTATCCACCGAGCAGTACGACGACGTTTTCACTTAATTTCGAAATATTGCGACTTGTGAAACTTTATATTTTCGTCGTTTTTTCTGGTATTGTCTAAGTATTGTTCGATACCGTTTTCAAAATATTTATTACCACATATTTAACGATTCTCTATCACCTTTAAGCAAAAGTAATTTTTTCTACCAGAAAAACGAAAATTCTCGGTTTTGTTGGCGGGCGTCTACTTTAGAAACTTAATAATAACCTTTTTCACTTAGAAAATTAAAGAAATTAAATTTGACAAAGTTGTGATAAAAAACGAAAATATTATTTTTATTACCCCGTATCTCCCCGAAAGTATGGGCAAACAGAAATATTTTGATACAAAGAATATGTCGTATGGAGACGTCAAAACTTAATCCATTTCATTTCAAAAATCGAAATAAAAACGAGTTTTGAGGTCGAGGGTACGTACACCGTTATATTTTGACACCTGCACATAAAGGACACGCAAAAAATGTTGCATGTTTTTTTTTCATCATCACCCGAACGCCCGCAAGTCTTGAACAACAAATCCATACAATGAAGGTGTTTGTTAGACCAATTAAAAAAACATATATAGTCCGAAAATAAGAAAAAGGCTTTTCTTAGACCAATTTCAAAATATATATATAAAATCCCAAAATAAGACCGAGGTCCTTGGTAGTCCGATTTAAAAAATATATATGGTCCGAAAATACGACGCATGCCCTTGTTATAGTCTTAAAATAAGGAGGTCTTTGTCAGCGTGATTTAGAGAAAAATATAGTCCGAAAATATGACGAAAGTCCCTGTTAGAGGGATTTCAAAAAACATTTATGGTCCGAAATTAAGACGGAGGCCCTTGGTAGCCTGACTTCAAAAAATATATAGTCCGAAATCGTAATGCAAAGGACTTTAAACGCGAGTCGCAATATACCGGGCGTCCTCGGTTACAAAACAGTGAAGGAAGTCATTCTTTGTTTTTATTGAATTTTTATATATAAAAAGAAATTTACCTAGCCTATTTTATAAGTGCTATATTTTCGGAGATGACTTCAACAATTTAGCGGTTCCAGAATTCCTACGGCTCAAATTGATTTAAAGAGTCGACGCGACATGTGTTTTCCTTTTCTTATTTCTAGAGTTTTGCAAAAATAAAGATAGGAAAAAAAAATCGGGCCCGTCAATTCAGAAACACCCCGTAAATAATTTAGGGAAATTTCAGAGTCGCAAGTGTTCTAGGTTTAACGGAGCAAAGTTTAAAAAAAAAAAAACAGTCCCTAAGTTTGTGTCTGACCTGACGTCGTCGCTGCTCGGTTCGCGATATCGCCGACGTTATTAAGACGTCAACGATTGGTTTAAAATCGATGGGTCTGAGAGCGAAGCGGCTCGGCGCGAAATAGAAATATTAATAAATAAAATTGATAAAAAAAATTAGTTCCTAAGGCGCACGTGGATCACGTCATTTTGACGCCTAATATCCGACTGGAATATTCGTAGACGACGTAACTTATACTAACGGCTGGCATTACTTTGATGAAGTTCGGCGTAATGCCCCTGTAGAGGCCGGTCAGGCCTTCTTTTTCGATTATCGCCTTGAAGACGCCCGACATAGTGGCGGTTGCGGGATCGATCGACGCGTGTATCACTGAAACGGAAAACGTGAGTAGCGGCTAGCTGCCGAATATTAAGTGCTAAATACGTGTAATTTTTTTTTTTAATTAGAAAAAAAAACATTTTTTGACGGCCATTTTGACCACCCCGTATAATTTTAGTTTACGCAGAAAAATGGGAAAGCTCAAATTTCGAATGCTATGACAAGAAATGCCCAAGCAATCCGGCGACTAATTGGAATTTTTTAAAAGTATTCATAGCATCCCATTCAAAAAAGTCCTGATACAACGGAACACCCTGTATACATAACAATAACACTTTTTGTATTTAACTTTTTGTCCTCAGTGTCGCACATGTTGAGAAAAGATATAGGAGCATTCTAAAATGGACCAAATGGATACATCCAACAGTGTTGGGCAAACTCAAATATAGTCTGAAAATAAGACGAAGGCCCTGGTTAGACTGATTTGAAAAAATATATATAATCCGAAACTAAGCCGGCGATCTGGTTAGAATATATATAGCCCGAAAATAAGATCAAGGTCCTGGTTAGACCGATTTCAAAATAAATATATAATCCGAAAATTAGACAAAGGCATTTGTAAGAGCGATTTAAAGAAATATATAGTCCGAAAATAGTCGAAATTTCGAATTGGAATTTTAAAAAATATTCATAGCCTTCCATTTAAAAAGTTCTGGCAAAACGGAACACTTCGTATTAACAAAAATTAACACTTTTTGTGTTTAATTTTTAACTTTAACTAAAAGCGAGAAAATTCTTCTTTTTCTAAAGGCTCCTTTGCTCGCCCAAATTTTCTGCTACGTGTTTAAAACGAAAAGAAAAAAAAAAGGCAAATCTGTCAAGGAAAAATGCGTACGTAAACTTTATTCTACGATATAATTGCTGGTCTTTCGTCCCGTGTGTCACCACGGTCTATAAGATATACTCTTGCGGCCTGTATGTCAGTTGGAGGCTTTAGAAATTATATAAGGTAAACGCTTTATTTTAATGCCGGATTCCTTTAACTACGATTGTTTAAATGCCCGCTAGGGGGCGTCACTACCAAGTCAAAACATACAAATCGGTAAGGTACAAGTTAACGAGTATTTTTTCCCGACTATAAAAGTGGCAGAGGCAAATAAACCGTTAAACTGTTTCTCCGAGCTACTTTTTAGGTTACGTTGGAAAAATTTTATTTTTATATCGGTCGAAAACTTTTCTCACCTTGCGCTTGCAACCTGGTCCGTACCAGGGCCAAGGGATACGAGCACATCTGACCCAAGGTGCTGCTGCAGCTGCCGCAAGCGAGTAATGTCCAGAAGCTCGGCTGCTCGTCGCTAGAGTGCGTTCTGAAATACTTCTTCTTCAGCGTCTCGTAGACGGCCAAGTCGATACCCGCGTATGGGATGATGCCCAAAATGTTAGGCGTGTAGCCCCGATAGAAACTTCTCACGCCCTCGCTCACGTAGATCTTGTACGCCGCGTCCGCTATGCTTCTGTACTGGCCCGTTTTCCTTAAAGCTAACCTAAAAAATTTTAGTCAGTCTGTTCAATGAGAGAGGTCAGGGATTGGATTGAGAAACAAAGTGAGATGATCCACATTTTAAAGTGTTAAAAAGTGTTTAATTGTAAGATTGTAATAAATGTTTATCTGAATTTTTATGACCTACCTGTATCTACCGCAAATATAATCTATTGTCTTAAAAAAGACTGTTGTTGTTGTTAACATTGCTAATCGACAGGCACACAATCACGTAACATTTACGAAAAGAATACGCCGAATAGTTTGAAGTTATTTTGCAAAAATCGCGTTTTCATTTTTGAGCTACAGTTAATACAGACTAATATCTCTCGTTCATTGTTTGGTTCAGAGAAAAATTCCAAATACAAAAACTACAGATGAGACGAAAATAAACATTTTATATATATTATATGTGGGAAATTAAATTTATATTCAATGAAACATCCATCTATATTATAGCATTACCATATACAGCTTTTTAAGTGCTACGGACTTACGTCCTGTACTGGTCTTGAAGTTAGTTCTAGTCGGTTTACAGGGAGAGTCAAAATGAAAAACATTAATTTTCGTGAAAAATTCAAATGGAACATCCTGTATATTAGTCTGCCATTACTCCTATTCGTGTTCTTTCAATTTTATTAAGCGTAGCCTATAAGTAAACTTAGAATAGGATAAATGATTTTTGACAAAAAAATTGCCATAAATCCGAAAACATAAGTTTGATTTTGCATATACATTTGTTAAATTTGATATTTTTTCTAGTACAATCTATAACTTTGGATTTAACATTTTTCTATATAACAAAGAACAAACGAGATATAATACTTTGACACACTATTTGTGGACACCCTGTGCATGCTATAGAAATTTTTCGCTTTGATACGAAAATCCAACGCAATATTTTTAGTATCATGTCCCATAGGCGTTGAAAAATTTTCAAATGCCAAAATAAGCATGACGTTGCCAAGTTTTCAGTTGGTTTTGGATAATAGGATAATTAAGTATATTAACATGTATTTGTTAAAATTAACGCATTAGGTATTTTATTTCAATAGTTAAGAAATACGAGACGCCAAAAAACAAAAAAATTGCGTCGAGATATTCAGGATTTTTTTATCCAAATCTGCGCGCCTCAAAAAATTCGAAATAATTTTTTATAATACGTTTACTTCATAGCTGTGACATTCACTTCGGCTCGTGTCTACCCGGTCCTTCAAATAACAATAAACAATTCAATAACTTGAATTGTTTATTGTTATTAGTTCTGCAGAAGTTTCTTCAAAAAGTAAGTAATTCATAGGGTAAACAAAAAATTTAAAAAAAAATATACGGGCCTCAAAAATTTCGAATACGTTTACTTCATAGCTGTGACATTCACGACGGCCCATGCCTACCGGGTGCTTTAAATAATAATAAAAAATTCAATAACTTGAATTGTTTGGAAATTACGTTTACTATTCGTGGACACCCTGTACGTGCAATAGAAAATTGATTGGGGCAACATTCAATGCGGAACATTAGCTTTGATACGAAAATCTAACGTAGTATTTTTAGCATTCGCGTACTGATTTCCGAAGTTGAAAATTTTTCAGATGCAAAAATAGGCACGACGTTGCCAGATTTTCAGTTAGTTTGGGATAATAGGTTAATTAAGTACATTAACATTTATTTGGTAAAATTAACGCATTACGTATTTTATTTGAACACTTAAGAAATACGAGACGCCAAAAAATAAGCGAATTCTATTACTCGTTTCAAGGCCTTTTGGGGGACGACATGTTGCCACGTCTTCCAAAAAGTAGCGATTTTCGGGAATTTTCATCCAAATCCCCGGGTTTCAAAAAGTTCGAAATAATTTTTAATACATTTACTTCATAGCTACAAGGTCGAATTTACAGGGTGCTTCAAATAATCAGAAACAATTCAATAACTTGAATGGTTTGTAGATAATATTGGTTTTGCAAAAGTTTCTTAGGAAAGTAAGTACTTCATATGGTAAGCAAAAAATTTAAAAAAATCTAGGCGCTTCAAAAAGTTCGAAATAATTATCAATACGTTTACTTCATAGCCGTGACGTTCACGTCGGCTCGAGTCTACAGGGTGCTTCAAAAAAAAAAGTTTTTATTAAATACCATGACTCACCTAGTTTTTAAGACTTCCAAGGGGTAGATGGCGGTCTGGCTTATGCCGCCGGCGATGGCGCCCGCGAAGAACCTCTCGTAAATGCTGAGCGTCGGGGAGTCTCCCTTGATGAGCCGTTTCACCTGCTCGTAGGCGGCAAATTTTATGGCCGATTCGGGGGCGATTTTCAACACGTTGATGCCGTTGCCCCTCCACAGGCCGGCGACCCCGCCCTCCGAAACCATATTCCGGAAGCAGTCCTTAATTTTCTGTTTTGACGGCTGCACCTGTACGCACGTCAATGACATTTTGTGACGTATAAACTCTCAATTGTATTGATTGTATTTTTTAACAAACGGGATACTTAAAAGATATAAAAAATATCTGATCGACAAGTGACGTCATGACCGGCTTCAAACAAACGCCTTTCTTTATATTATTCATATTTTTGCGTATACGGTGATTGTTGTACGTCCTAGTTGTGTTGGATTTGGAGATCGTTCAATTACGTTATTAGTCAAATTTGAAAAATAAATAAAATGTTTATAAAGTGTCGGTTCACATAGACCAAACAAAATTATTTAGGAAATGAACAAATTAGATTGACGAATTCACGAAAATCACGTATTTTTATCACAAATTGGTGTGATAAATCGAGAAATGGTCAAAAAAATGTTTTATCGAATGTTTCGACTGCAATTTACCTGAAGGAAAACCTTTAGCCTGTCCAGGGGCGCGGTACATGTCCTAGAAACGGCACCGGCTACGCCGCCTGCCGCCAGGTGGCGCCACCACATTCCCGTTTGCATTTCGCTCTGCGTGAAGTCATCGGGTATGTTCATATCCTCCCCGATATCCAAGTACTGTGCGAGGGAAAAAATGTTTTATATCTCCGGAACAGTTCTTTTTTTTGAAACATTTTGAAAAAAAATATTTTTAAGTGAATAAAAAAATAATAATGCAGGGTGTCTCAAAAATAACAATTTGCCAAAAAAAGTTATTTATTTAACAGATTAAAACGAAATATTGTCGGATTTTTAAAATATTTAAGTTTCTTTGCTTGAAAGAAACGAAATAAAAAAATAACAGGGTTTTTATACATCTAAAGTATCATTCAGTTAAGCACTTTGCTCTGTTTTTGTGCATTAGTCGTAGCTGTAGAAAAGTTAAACCACTGCTTTGCAATAAGATCGTTCATTTAAGGTTTTCATATATAGTTGGTCATAGTGTCAAAAGAGCATATTTATAATATTTTTTCCCCGTTTTCTTTTTTGCCCACCGGGTAAGTTCTATATTATTATAATAAAATGGAGCAGGTGGGAGCAAGATTGAAGAAAATCAGCTCATGAACGCGTCGATAAGGGACTTTTACAGTGGCGTACCCAAAAAAGAAAAGAAAACCTTTTTATAAGTGATCCAGTTCTTCAGCAAAAAGCAAGTGAAATGGGAAGTAAAATAGAAGGAAGTTATTTTGTGTGTTCCAGACGTTAGATTGAACGTTTTAAGAAGAGAAATTGTATCTCTGGTAAGACAATGAAATTCCAGGTGGAAAAATAACAGTTCTGGTTACTGCATCCATGTCTGGGACATAAACGAGAAAGCTGTTTGTTATCGGCCAATCACTAAACCCAAGATTTTTTAAAAACATGACCCTACCAGTCAAGTACAGGTCAAACAGCAAAGCGTGGATGTCATATGACTTATTTACCGAAGACCTGCTCCATTGGGATACAGAATTCAAGAAGAAGAACAGAAAAATTCATCTTTCAATCATAAACTGTTCATGATCATTGATCATGAAACACATAACTTTAACCTGATAAATAAAATTCTCATTCGTTTTTTGGAATGTGAATCATTAAAAAAATAAAACAACCTACTATTAACAAGTTTTAACAAAATTGACTGCTAATAAATTAATAATAACTTTTAGAACATAGAAACTAGATAAGTTGATGAAAGTGTCTCCCATTTTGGACGAAACACATTTATTTATTTTGAAATAAATGCGACGCGTAAATATTAAAATATTTAAGTCAGGATCAGAACTACCAGTTCTGATAAGCATTTCGGTAGATATTTTGGGGAAAAAAGCAAATAATTAACATTCTTAAATAATTTTAATCGGCATTTCATAATAATGACAATGGAAATGCCTTACTTTAACTTTGTGTGAAACTTTTCTGTTTTTTCTGTGGCATAAATTATAAATAATGGTTATTGAAATAGACTATATGTTTGTATCGTTCTAATTTTATTTGTACTTTTCTATTTTTATGTTGCATATGCAAAATATTAACAACTGAACATAATAAAGCTAATAACAATGCTTTTTTCTAACGGACCACCCTGTATATGTTTGTTTAGGACTTTTGCTATATCCAGATTTCGGAAAACATGTACATGTCCATGTACAGTTAACATGGCGGACAAGTTAATATTATAAAATTGACATAAATTCCAATGAGTTTTCCTTATATTAGAAAAATAAGATGAAGAACATAAATTGTAATAACTATTATTTTCAAAAATGCCATCATATCTGAATTACGTCATTTTATTAAAAAAAAAAAAACACCAGCCGTTTTCAAGAAGGAACTGCGCTAACAACGGCAGAAAGTGACCATTCTTAATTCTAATTTTAAACATCAAGGCACAGGCAGGTCAACTGTATTTATTTTTTGCTCTGTTAGTACGAAAATATTATTACAGTTTGGTTAAAGAAAGCTAATACACGTTTCACTTCTCTAATAGTGATTTTTCAACAATATTTGTTTGACTGATTCAACGCTTATCAGTTATTGACGTGCTGGGGCGTCCAGAGCGGGGTTTGGCCAGCTTGTACGGCTTATAAACAATGATGGTGGTTTGTAACAGCCGATCCGCCAACAGCTGAGACGTGACATACGTGATCGAGTGACAGAATGTTTAGGTTAGAAGCAGCTAGGTACTTATGTAGGGACATCAAATTTGAAACTTATTTTAAACGATTTATTTTAGTAGTTTTAAGTTTAGTAAATTAACATATTATTACTTTTTTAAACAGCAATTCAGTTAATTGTGGGTAGTAAATTCATAAGGTATTGCAGAAAGGGAACAGAACCCCTTAACAAATCATTTTTCACGACGACTTTATGTTATTATTCACGCAGAAGGTGTAACGGAACGAACGAAATTGATCTAATATTTTATAGTAGCTCACAAAAACAGCATTTTGCGTTCTTAGTTATAACATTATTCAACTCTTTACAGGTTTAAATTAATATATGAATATTGGAGTTACTGCAAAGATATCTCAGAAGCACAGAAACAAAATATCAAGCATCAGGAAAAGTTGAAGAGAATGGTGTATTCATCTTAAGGAAGGGACAACATAATCATGAACACTTGAACGACCAAATACAAGACAGGATATTAGCCAATTTGTTGGACCTACACTTCATCAAATATGGGCATAAATTTTGATTTTTTTCTGGGATTAGCCAGTATTTTATATTATTTTCGTTAGGTAACCTCTACCTTTGTGTAGGTTAGTAGAGGCCACCAATAAATGTTAAATAACAATATATATACAAAATTAAAATAATTTAAAATAAATAAAAAAAGGTAGAGTTTACCTATGTCATCAAAATACAAAATGTTATTCTTATAGGCTTTTACGTAGACATGGACTGAGGATTGTACATCAAATACAAGGAAATGTGGATGTAAGAAAATTATGGTGGAAATACCATGTTTTAGGGAATAATTATTAAAATGCTTGTGCTTAAAATTTTTGTTTCATTTCAACCATCATGAAAGAGAACAATCATTACAAATATTTTCTGCTACACCAATACAACAGCAAAAGATTTGGCGGGGCCATTAGAGACATTTCTGGGGCGCTCTGGTACTGTAGGTATGCGATTTTCCGAGTGAAAGATACATAAATACAATTGTACTATGACCGCAATGATTTATTTAAAATAATCGAAAACTTTTAAACAAACACATTGATTATCGGTTTGGCTCATTCATTAATTAAAATGCAATTTAACCTTTTAAGCTGAGTCACTGTGAATGTTAACAGATATATTTTAAAAACATTGCAATGTAAACAAATAGTAATTATTCTCTATTGAGGAAAATTATTTCTCCGCGGAAACACTTTGCCGGCCTTCCTCCCGCGCTGCACCGATACCATTTGGACAAATGAACATTTGGACAAATACAGCCATCTCTTTTCGATCATTTGTGGCGTTCCCTTCTGGAAAGGGTTAACTCGGACTGAACCCACGTTCTTTGTGATTTGATAATTTTTTAAATCGACGCTGTACACGGGATGTCAAAATACGGCACCGAAGCGCCATCTATGACATCGAAGTCGACGAAATCGTTTACCTCGAGCATCCAAAAACTGAACGTCACCGACACGATCTTCCCCGAGGGCAGAACCCTCCACCGGGTCGCCGCCGCCCGCACCATAACCAACAAAATCCGCACCAATTTCGAAACGAAAGGACCACGGACGTCGAAATCGATAGACTGGTGGTATCCGCATCTCGCGCAAAACGGAAAGTTTAACGACGCGTTATCGCCATTACGGGTCAATTAGCTCGACACGCTCGTTGCCATTTTGAAAAATCCGTAGCGGGGAAAAAATCCTAATCGAAAGTCTACCTCCTCAGTGGCGTGCGCCGTGGAAAACGCAAAATTTATTGAGATCTCACGGTCCGCATCCGAAGTTGCTCGATAAATGACTGTTTGTGGCGGGGTTTCCTTGTATACTTTTACACCCTGACTGAAAGGGAAAAAAAAGTGCAAATACGAAAGTTTCATTATTTTTATCGAACGTTTGTGGTATAAAAAATTGAAAAAAAAAATAACTTTTTTTTTAATTATTAAATTTAATTACTAAATCGTTGGCGTACCATCAATGGCTGCAAAAATCGAAAGGTTAAATTCCCCACACCCGCCGCTGGAGTATTTTTAAATAAATGTGGTACACTAAACAATACCACTTAATACATATATATTTTAAATATCGGTAATACCGGTTTAGATATTTTAACGAAATTAGGCACACATGTACTATACTATGTATCGTGGCATTATTTAGTGTACCACATTTTTTTCAAAATACACCGGTTGATGGCACGCCAACGATCTAATAATTAAATTAAAATAAACGTTATTCTTACAACCTCCAATCATTTATAATTTTTTTTTCAAGCCGATGTACAGTTTTAGTGTATAGTTATATATAGTATAATTATAGTGTATATATGTATTTTTATGACAATAATAATTGAAAAAACATCGTTTTAATTTGCAAGCGGGGCACATTTTGGGCACTGCAAATCGAGAACTTTCTTTTGTGACAATAAAATATTTATTTAAAACAAAATATCTAGTTTTTAATTACCTACCTGAGTCCTTCAGAAAAAAAATCGAAGGGCTGTTCTATTTACTTTTACAGTTTTAATGAAATAACATAACAAAGCGAAAACCGTAGATCGGATTGAAAAAAATCAAGAAATTAGAACTGATTGGAGGTTGTAAGAAAAATTTTTGTTTAAAGGGAAAATCAGTGGCGTACCTGCCAAAATAGACACGTGAAATTACGTACACACGCCACTGGTGTATTTTAAAAAATTAAATAATGCCTCTTGACACATAGTACATGTGTGCCGAATTTCATTAAAATATCTGAACCGGTATTGCGGATATTAAAAAATATATATTTTATTTCTGAAAACTTTTCCACCCTGTATCTTAAAAGTTAAGACCTTTAGGACATATGTTCATTTGAAGTTTTTTTTTAATTGCCCCAGTAATCATTGACCTTCAAAGAAAACACTCGGTAGATATATTAGTTTCCGAAATATTACTGTTCAAAATGTATTTAGAATGACATTAAAGTGTTAAAACCTCACGGCAAAATGACATTTTCTTTTTAGTTTCTTAAATAGAAGAAATTGCTTGACAGAGAGCAGAAATGATGCAAAATCCGGAAAATTTAAATATTTTATTACAGTTTCTTTAAAAAAAAATAAATCTTTCATCTTTTTCATATCCTTTATTCAAGATATACTTTTGTATGACTTTCAAAAAAATTATATGAACAGCTTCAATAAATTTCCTCTGTCGTGTGGTAAATTTTGTTCTTTGGAGAGGCCGACAAATAGAAATCAAGCGGGGAGATATCTGGACAATTACTTGGTAGCCATTTTAATAATCCGCGTTTTCCCATCCGAAATCCATGGTACAAGAAATTGTCCTGTTAGATTTGCACATCAATTAGCAAACAGTTGTTCTAAATGGTCTTCAATTTCATTTTGCAAAAAACATTTTTATTTTTCTCCTTTTGAAATAGTCGTTTTTTGTGTTGAACATTTCCGCCGTGAGAAAACTTGTCAAAAATTTGACACCTTCCGTTTGTCTTATGAAAACATACGTACGTCGTTGCGACGCTTATCAGTTCGAACTTTGAAACTTTCGACGCGTCATCGACACCAAGTCTAGACTTTAGATCCCGAAAACTAATAAATTACTCGGCTATCGGCCGAGATAATGGTGTAGGTTAAATACGGCAACGCGGTTTACGAGTATAACGACCGTCGTGTACGGGATTTATTATTGCAATACGTCATAAATAAGCCAGAAATCCCAAAGGTTCCAAAAATGTAATATCTCTTGCATTACCAAGCGATAACAACTAGGTAAACATATTTATTCATATTAATTTGTCGTCAACGATGATGGGCAAAGGTGAAGATAATAACGTTGCGTTAATGGAAAACAAAAAACAAGAACGAGACGATTTCTGGTAAACCTGATGTCAGTAATTAAAAGAAACTTTAAAGAAATCCAATTAGCCGATAAACGTTCAAGCTAATAGCAATATTAAACAACCTACCACCTGATAAACATCGTCTTCGTCTCGATCTGACAACGCCGCGATAGTTACGTCGCGCGAGCGCGTGGAATTCAAAGCCCCCCCCCCAAAAAAACCATGACAATAATAGCGATGCGCGATTTCTTTTTAAAAGCGTTACTTGGAAACGATGTATATTAGAGGGTGACAATTGAAATTTGCAAAACGGATGTGACGAAATTTTTTGATAAGCCGCAGCCGCCGCGATAACGTACATAATGCAATCGGAAAATCTAAACAATAGCGGTGATAAACAGCCCAAACTTTCCGTCCTGTGCCGAAAGAGGGCCTTGGAACGTCCTTAAATTATGTCCGTGAACAGAGAATAATAAACGATAGACACCCGACGCCACTGCCTTTTTACGTGCAAAAAAATGCAGGGATAATATTTGACATTTTGCCAGTTGCGGTTATCGTAACAGTTGGCGAAATAACCAAGGTTGACATCGCGACAAGTTCAAGTTCGCGCTCGAAAATAATTAAGAAAACGAAGAAGACACTCATCTGGTACCGTCGTCCGACACTATCGCAGGACTAACCAACATTTCCATTCTTTGGTTCAAACGACAACTGTCAGAAACTGGCCAGGCCCACCGTATTTTCACAGTTGCATTTCAAGAGTGCTGGGTGTAATATCTGTTACGTTAATGAAGCTTAAATAGAACCAATCGGTTGTTACGTCAACCTTTCGGTTGTCGCATACGGGACATTAGCACGGGTGAAACGATAAACATCTTCCGCCCGATTCAGTAGGACCAACTTAACGATGGTTAACAGCCAAAAATAGTGGATTTGAAGACGTTTTGATGAAGAAGCTATTATAAATGGGTCTCGACTTCTGCATCGATCGGACGGATGATTATCGAAAATATTGCGATGTTTTGCAGTTTAGTTTCTGGATAATGTGTTCTCTGTGTAACGTTTAGGAAAAAAAGAAGGCATTATAAAAAAATGAAATAAAATGAATGCGAAAGAATGAAAGTGTTCGCGCGTATGCAATCAACGAGCGAAATAACTTAGAATATTAACAGTGAAAGCGAAACACAGTACAGTAAAAGTGCCTAACCTCAAATCTTTGAACAATTTTCTTTAAAACAAAAAAAAAGAAAAACTAAACGTATTTACCGCTAACATCATTCGCATCAACTCCCGGTAAATCAGTGCGAAATCCTCCAACACTTCCGGTACCATGCCGGGGTAGAGGTCCGTTTCGAACATTTCCGCCATCGCGGTCGGTCACTAGATAAACTGTTTCCCGGAATTTAATGGCGAGCGAACTCGCACGCTTCTGACTCACGCGAAACCACGTGCAACACGGACGAAGCAGCGAAAGCACCACCCAAACAACGCGACAACCAAAAGTTGACTGGGAGCCGGCCTATCCGGATTAGATAGATCGGCGCTATTGGTCCGAACAACAGAACAGCGTTGCCAAACGTCGAGTGAAGCTAACGTCTGGGCTTGATCTAATTTAGGCTCGACATATTGATGAATAGCTTGCTTAGACGCTTTTGGAAACAACTTGAATCATGGAAAAGGAATTTTAAAAACTAACCATATAACCCGAAGCAAAACTTTCGTTAAATATTAACGGTAAAATAAGTGCCAGGTATCTGCAACTATGAGCCGGCAACGCGGCGGGCGACCATACTGAAAGGAGGCCTTTGATCATCGAATCCCCCACGTGACGCGCTTATCAGGGAGCATTAGACTCCACACAGATTATATAAATTAAATTACCTCTTTGAAAAATTCGATTTTTATTATTGAAATTTGAATGTCAAACTTATCCGTTTGACTAACTTCAATTAAAACAAATATTTGCACCATTTTGTATAAACTTGTCACCTGTAGACTAGGGTGCTTAAACAATTTTTTTTTTTAGCTCTTACCCTCTCAAATGTTTCTTTTAGATATAAATAAAACCTAACCAAAGATGAGCCCTGTAGCTCAACTCTAAGGGGTCGCTATTTTTATTTTAGTTTCCCATTTAATTAACATGGGAAAAATTCTTTTTTCACTAAAATTAAATTTACGTTTTATGTTCGCGATTTTTTACAAAAAACAGTTTATATTGTTAATGTTGAGTATTTAAGCTTTCCAAACCCGTATAACAAAGTATGATTATCATTAAAAGATTAACTACAGCCATTTAAAAATTACTCAATATTGAACTTTTCAGAAATAGCTTCTAATAATTTTTTATCTACATAATTTCTCAAAATTTTTATCCTAACTAACCCCGACTAGAATGGAGAACGAATTTAAAATGTTCAGAGGTATTTAAATGTCGTTATTTTCAATACTTTTCAACTTTCAAAAATGGTTGTCAGTACGTAGTGTGGGTGGCGGAACTCATGATGATAATTGAAAACATGAATGATATTATTACGTGTAATCATCTATTACATTTTTTTGGCGATTTTTGACGATTTGACGTTTTCTATTCTTCATTTCAATATTAAGACTAAGCTTCTGTTAAAAAATGTGGTGAGGTTTTTAAATGTATGCTCCTTAATTTTTTGTTTCTGAGTTTTATTTTTTTCTTTTTTTTTTCAAAAGTTTCATAACATCGCGAATCACTTCAACAAAACACTGTCGAATTGTGAGGTGAGGTGAGGTGAGGTTAAATTTTCTTTTCAGCCATTTCACTGATAACAATTGAAATTACTGAGACCTTTAAAGAATGGCAATACACAATAATTTCTTAATATATGTGTTGCAGATACTGATAATTTGACAACTCTACCGTATGATCTAATATAATCCGCCACCTACACTACGTACTGACAACCATTTTAAAATTTGAAATCATCACTTCAATCACTTTTTTTTTTGAAGCACCCTACTGTAGACCTAACAGGAAGCGTAAAAAAAATCCATGTTGAATTTAAAAAAAAAAGCATTATTCGCGACCGATTTCAACATCGAAACAGATCAAAACGATTAACTAAATTGTAGGTCGTTTCAAAAAAACTTTCGCATACAAAAAAAAAAACAAAGAATAAAAATAGGACGCCACTGGAAGTTATTTCTTTACAACAACTATTAAACTACTTGATAAAAGTAAATCACAATTTGAATACGGTCCCTGGCGAGGGCTACTCAACACAATGACCTTGACATGTTTCTTTTTTAGTTTACCAGAGGCGTACGAGTTTTAACACCTTATACCAACTATAACAATAAAAAATGTATTTGCAATAAAAAGAAATGCATTTTGTCCGAGACGTTCTGAATTCGAAAAAATCGACCGAAAACGGACTTTGATCGAGTAAATCTCAAACAACAATTTCGAACGACCGTAAACATAAGCGATGCCACGTGGCAGAGTTATCTTACCGTTGAGTGACGCCAGTAAGTGATAAGATCTTGGATATTGTTGCTGGGCGCCAGCAGCAAGAAATCTCTCCACTCGTCGTAACTGATATTGAGGCTGCCATCTTGATCCATCCTGGAACCAAGGCGCGAATATCGAGAAACAGTCCCCGTGCAAGGTAAAAGGTTCATTTCGAACTTCGTGACGTCATCAATTGACCGTTCGAAATCACGTCGAAGCGCACTTTGTCGACTTACGTGTTCTGTGCCGCAGCGCATAACCTCATTTGGGTTTAAGAAACTACCTAAATTTTACGTTAAAAATGTTGGGATTTGTTGTTAAATCCGGCATTTTTAAAAATTTCCTATTAAATTAATGTGTTTATCCAAACGGGCCGAGAATGTATTTGGGGCCTTTTTGGTCTCCGTTAACTTTGGAGTTGATAGTAAGTATCTGTATCCTGGAACCTGTGTACCCGGTAATTAGACCAGCCGTTAAGGAGAATTTTAAAGCAAAAGTGTTTTTTAGAAGAATTTGGCAAGAATGTGTTGTTTTCTGGAGAAATTTTTGGTGACTGCATTATACGTAGCTCATGCGCAACAGTGTGTGCTTTGTTTTCGCGTGAACCGCAGTCACCGGAAAAACGCCCGACCAAATATTGAAGTGTTTTCGTTTTAAGATTTCGCAGCGATCGATAATAATATTTTTGTTTGCTGCCTAACGTGTGGCCCCTTTCACACTCCGCCGCTTTTAATCGCATTACAAACAATAACTGACAATTATTGTTGATTAGGAAACTTTCCAAACCCGCTATGCTCTAAGGCAACGAATAGATCTAGGAAGTTTTTTTTTGCTTCAGCTAAATAACATGCATTGCTGTGGACTCTTCATCTTTTAGGGCACTTTAAAAAGAAATAGTCAAATTTATCTTATTTTTGGGTAAAAATGAGCCAAATATTAATTGAAAGAATCTGTTACTAAATATAGGCGCTAAACTGCACCTCGGGGTAAATTTGAAAAATACAGCTTTCCAAGCGGACACAAAGTAATTTTGGTATATGTATATATAAAAAAAAAACCCAACTCACATGGCTATACCTTTGCAAGAGATTCGTCGCCTCCTTCCTTTCAAGCGGTATTCCTAGGTCGCTGAAGGCCCTAATAAGTTCCTCAATGTCAATTTTTCCTAGAAAAAAAAATCGGTTTTCAGCGTTACAAATACAAAAGAAATCCGCATTTTCTCATCCTTTAGCCCTCATAAAAATGATACAAGAAAATTTATTTTTTCAACAATTAAAATATCTATAAATGATAAGTAATAACAATAAATGAGGTTAAAAGTACTTATATTGATTTTTAATTAAACATATGTATTTCTTTACATTGTGGTTACGTTTCGAAGGCATTCGATACAATTAATACAATTAATCATAAGCTGTCATCATATCATAATCTTCTCAAATCATACTTAACTTTAAGATTTCAATCGATTTTTTAAATTCTATCCGGTGTCCCTCAGGGATCAATTTTAAGGCCACCGCTATTGCTTATTTACATTTCCGATATTTTGAGATCTTTAAAATTGTGTAAAATTCAAGCCTATGCGGATGAAACACAAATTTATTGCAACTTCAGCTAGGTAAATTATAAAGAATTTGAAACCAACTATGCCATAACACTCAACCATCTTAATTCCCAACTAGTTTCTTGACAGTCATTACATAATTCCAAAATAAAATATAAAAAATATCTTTTAAATTTCTATTGACGGGCTTAAACCAAAATAACTAATATAGTACCTACATATCACCAGGTTCAAAATGTTATAAAACTAACCAAATTATCTGAAAGAAAGACGCCAAGTTGTAAGGGTAAATAGTATTAAAAGTCAGCAAGTTAAAACAAATGTTGGAGTGCCTCAGGGCTCAATACTTGGACCAATATCGTTCATCTTATAGCATATGCGGATGACACTGCAGTACCAATAAAAGCAAAATCATGGCCCGAACTTTCAACAGTAATGTCATCAACTCTGGATATTAAGAAAAAAATAATAAATTGATACTTAACACGGACAAGTCTGTTTTTAGCTCTTTTGGAAATTTTAGACACTCTATGACCAAAACTAACTTATGACTATAATATGAAAAGAATCTTCACGTGACTAACATATTAAAAACACAAATACTCGGTACATTGAGGTACGCTATAAAAAAACACAAAAAAAATTATGTAGGTACGTACATATTTTTATTTTATAGGTACTAAAAAACGAAAGAAACTAAACCACCTAAATTAAAAACTTATCTATCTATACAAACTTTACAATATACAACTAAAAATACGTACTTAATTCTTTCTGAGTAAAAAAATTCGTGATTTTTGTTTGTTTACATCACAATTTTAGAGGCACAAAGCGTTTCAGAATAACTTGGTACTTCGTCCTGTTGAACATCATCGTCGCTTTCGTTACCAAAGCTCTGAGGATCATCTGGCTGTAAAACTTACGTAATATTATCATTATCCGTTATTAACTCCGTTGTTATTAAATTATCATCAACAGTTGGGAAGCTATTCAGCTCAGAAAGATTTTACTTAGGGGAACCTCCCAGTCATCGTCGTCAGTATTTTTGTACTTCTCGAACCACTGAACCAGAGGTAAGTCATCGTCTGAATCAAACTCATCTTCCGACTTTATCAGACCTGCATGTCGAAAGCAGTTTGAAATAGTGGTTGAGTTGAAGTAGCACCATTCCAACATGGTGCAAGTAATTTTATGGAATGTCTAGGATAGTGATATCGAAAGGTTTATTATGCCCTGATCCATTGGTTGGACGACTGAGGTGCTATTTGTCAAGTAGATTTTTCACATTTTTCATGCAACTCGCTCGTTCATATTTACCAATAACAAAAAGTTTGCATTTTTCGCTTCCTGTTATATGTGCACAAACCCAAACGGTGTACCTCAACTTCGCTTCCCATCCAAACACTTTTCTCCTCGAAATTTAAGGGAGTTGTTGGGATTTTCTCACTTGCTTGGTTGTTGAAATAACACCCACGCGAACTTACTGATTTTCAAAAGGAACAGAGATAGACTTCTACACTACCAATTTAAATAAAAATTACATGTGGTCAATCCCCCCGTTTTGCGACCTAATTCTCTAACAGTTTATTCGCCACTATCACGCGGTTTTTCACTCTTCCATTTTTCGTGGTGTCGTGCGGCGTTGCCACTATTGGCTCACATTCATAAAGTACATAAAAACTGAACAGGAGTCATCTTGTACAATAGCCCGGTCGCGTCACCATTGATAATATCTTCAGGGCTATAATTTTGTGCAATAGTGAGCCACTTATCCTGTAACAAGTTCAGCACAGCTGTAGAACAACTAAAATCCTCACCCTGTAATCCCCTGACTAATTCTTCGGCTTTCGATTTCAGAACTGGAGCACCTATTTCAATAGTTCCGCATCTTCGAACTTGAAACCAACGTACTTTATAACCAGAACAACAGTGAAAATGTACTTTATAACTGTAGAAGTTATATATGGTAGTTAATATCCCAGTAAAATATGTACGTAATACTCGGAAGTACGTTATATCCCATGTGCGTTATAAACGGAGTTACCGTATATGTTTTTATAGACTCAAGGAAATACTAAGAAGTAATCAGTTATTACAAATTTATTATGGCCTTTTCCATTGTAAAAAAAAAACATTTTATGTAAAAGGATTTTTTGGCAATAAATATCATTATTATTATTTATAATTAATTCTCCTCCCAAGTTATAACCTAAAAGTTATTTCCACAGGTATAATGAGAGTAATTTCTCTGGATAAAGTTTGTTGAACTATGTTTGTCTCTGTATAGTTCACTAGAGCGGCCAAAGCCTAGACTTTCGCCAAACTTGGCCAGGTATTTCTTTGTAACAACTTTGTTGTATCATATTATTATTAAACGACCGTTCAATATAGTAATTATTAAATTGCCAGCCAAAAAAAAATGAATGCCATTTGCATTTCGTATCACTAACTACAGCGTTAAACGGAATAGAGAGAAAAATGGGACTTCAATGGTACAAAAATAAATCCGACACGTTCAAAGGCAAAGTCCGATGAAACCTCACGGCGCAATCTGAGTATTTATCCCCGTGTTTAATGGACTTAAAAAAATCTTGGCCGCATAAACGGAGCTGGCACGTTGCACAGACTGACGGTGCATGTGGTTAGAAAACAAACACAACAGACGCTGCCACGTTTCCACCAAAAGATAACCGCAAAGAGTATAAGATAGAGGGGAAGGCTCCCATTAGGTGCAATGCTAGAAAACGTACACGAGTTTCGACGCCCTCTAGTGATTGTGTCTAGTCATGAAAACAGAAAATGCGCGGGACGTACCGTTCAATTCAATTTAAAGTTTGAAAGATAAAATGTGAAAAAAAATTATGTCGAAATAGTTTTAATTTTTTTTTAATTAAAATATAAATAAAGTGCTGTTGTCCGTTACAAGTTACTGTAATATTTTCAGTGCAACGCATTAATTTAAACCGCAATGACAGAACTTTACTACTTTACACAAATAATAGATGGCATTCGTAACGGTATACGCGACCTTCCCCTCTATCTTATACTCTTTGGATAACCGCAAGTACCAAATGTTTCTACGAACCACCGAGAGGTGGCGGAACTCTCTGTCACTTACCATCTCGGTTTTTATCTAGACGGGAAAAGTGTAGCCTCAAATTTTTCTCGTGTTCGCGAACGTAGTAGATGAAGTCGGCCAACGATAAATCCCCGCTAGACGAGTTGCTGTTCTTAAGGAACCGCTGTAAAAAAAAAACGGTTAGTCTGGAGCCCACCATTACTCTGTTGTTAAAAAAACCTAATAATTTAATTACTAGCGTTAGTTAGCAAATCGCATCAAAACAGTGGAAATATGACGTTGATTCATTTTGTTTTATTTGTGGTGAGTTTATTAAAGTTAGAAGCAAAAAATTTTTCTCAATGCCCATGAAGCCTATCATAACCTACCACAGTTTGCCTGCATTAGTTGCAAAAAATACTTTAGAAGAAATGTGAACCACAATAATCAGCATTATGTTACTTCTAGGTAAGCGTCGATCCGATAGTAATGTCCGAGACTTGAACCTCCTTAAGATAATGCAGTTCTGCATGTTCTTTATTGTTGAAAGAAATTGAAATCCACTGAATACCAGTGGCCAGTGATCAGTAATTTCAAAATTTCATATTGGGAAACAAAATATAAAGTCGGAACCAATCACCTCAAAATGTACTATTACCTATTACATATAAAATTAGGTTTAGTGAAGCAATTTGTGAAAGCTCTGAATCCGAATTCCGAAGCTTTTAAATATGTGAGAGAATAAAGTGCTTGTGAAAAATGAGAATGGATTGAATTGATTGAAAACATGCTTCAAAGCTTTAAGAATATTGACTGCAGAATGTCTCATAAACTTCATATGCTACATTTTCATTTAGACAAAGAACAAGGACAATGTTTTCACCAAGACTTTGGACAGAGAAGATTAAATTTGGGGTTTAATCCGAGGGAGCCCACAACAACATAAATGAAATACAAAATATATTCATTTTTACACTTATTTCTTGTCATTTCACATTTATATGGTATTTTTTATTACAAATTTTAAATAAAAAAGGTACTGATATTAAAAAATAAGTTTCTAACCATAAGCTAAAGTAACTAAAAAAGAAAATGGTCAAATTTAGTAATTTTTGCAGAAAAAATGAAAAATTGATCTAGTTACTAGTAAAACAAACTTAAATTTAGAAAAAAAAGTTTTTGTTTGTTTTTAGCGTAAGAGAAACTGAAATTTACGAGTTTGAATGCAAACGTACCAGAAGAAAAGTAAGGTTAGGTAAACTTACGACGGGAAGTCCATCTGCAATGCGGAAGTCGACAATAAAGGTGAAATCAAATTTACGCTGGTCGTTCATTCTTATTTTGAAAATCTTAGTATAAACAAACAAATCTGGGGTGAATATGTGAAAATTATGATTGTTCCAACAACTAGGTCAAGTTCAATAACATTGGAAAGAGCCACATCACCGAGTGGTCGAAATTTATGACGCAAACTGTATAAAGCAATCCCGAACAATATCTCCGTTGTTACAAAACCTCAGAATCTGGTGGTAAAGTTCCAGGGCAACTAACCTCCGCATACCCGTGGTGGACCCCATGTTCCCTTAAAGCTTCAGACAGGTCGTGTATATCGATCCTCCCGTTTCCGTTTTTGTCTAGCTTGGTGAATAACTTCCCCAGCCTTTCCTCGTCTTCGTAGGGCAGCTCGTGCAGATAATGCGGCGGATGTTTCAGCAAGGGATCATCGATTTCTTTACCTTTCTGCGGCATTTCGAACACTAACACTCGGCACGTGAGGAATCAACAGCAAACGTTTAACGTCAACATTTTATCAACAATTATTTATGGCCTTTTTAAATCGCTCATGAATAACCAATACCCACCGCCGTATTGCGAAAATTGCGAACTTTGACAATCATACCGTTAGAGAAAGCAAAGCACAGGTGCCGCCATCTAGCGGCCGCGATGCGTCCTTAACTCGTCGAGTTTTCTGTAAACGCTTCAATTACCGCGCGCGAGACGGCGCCACCGTATTTCAGTTGCTTATATTTACTAAAAAAGCCAGTGCCAAAATCGTTTATTTCCATTAGATTATACGAAAATTACACAGTGGTGGAGTTACTCGTCTTTTTAATTCTCAATTCCTTTTGCTTACGCAAATCACAACTTTGGTAAATGACGTCACAGTTGGCCTTTCCCAATCCGAGGATTGACGCTTTTAGACTGTCGATCATCGAAGCGGTCGGCGGCACGTTTTCGATCAAACGGCCGGACAACCAACTCATGCCCAAACTGCAAATCGTTTGTATTAATTACAAATCGTCGCGAAAATTTCAGCGTTTACCTCCACCCGGGGATCGCATATTTCGCAAACCCATCCAGCTCACGCGAATATTTGTTATTAACGCACAACGATTTCTTCAAGCAGTCTCCGTTGTCTGCGTTCGCGACCAATGCGGATTCTATTGACGTCAAAATTTTTCTGGCCATGTCGTTTAGTAACATGTCGTTGGGGTTGGCAATCGTGGGTGCGTCCCTTCTCAGTCTGTGACTTCAGTGATTTTTTATATTTTCGCAAATATTCGGGAATTTATATTCGTCAATAAAAATCAATAAGGAAGGCACGCAGGGGCAATTTGACAGATAATGGGGTAAGACAATATCGGGTTTATTGACATTTAGTTTGCTAGCTTTGCTCTAGATGTTCCAAGCTTCGACAATATTTTGAACGTTTTAACGGTAAGTACCTTTCTATTGATTATTTGCTTTTTCGTATTATATATATATATCTCCTTACGTACCTGAATTTGAATTGATCTTTGTATATTTCATGTCCGGGTCCACTCGCAGCTGCTCCTGTATCTGAAATTAGATTATTATCAGGGATTTTAATCAAGTGTTCTTCACAGATTGTTATAATATATCCCACTGAGTGACGTACATCAAACAATCAGGGTCGCTATTCGATCGCTCCAGGGGGTTATCGCGAAAATACTTTTTTTAACGTCTGGTATTTATAAGTCTTGCAAAATACGTGCTGAGCAGCCATAAGTTTTAACTTTTGAGTCCGTCAGAGAAGAAAAACATTTGGCCTTTACCTTCTTATAGATCTCATCCAAAAGGCTTGTTGATAACGGTCTTAATAAAGTGATTAGCTTTTTTTACTTCAGAGTTTTCAATGCATCGAAAGCTCGAATTAGTGCAAAAATTGCGTTTGCTATTTGTTGGTCAATCTTATATATATATATATATATATATATATATATATATATATATATATATATATATATATATATATATATATATATATATATATATATATATATATATATATATATATATATATATATATATATATATATATATATATATATATATATATATATATATATATATATATATATATATATATACTCGTATATTATAAGTAGTGAAATTTTCTATCGGAATCTTAAACTTAAATGGATAAAGCATGTGACCGATAAAAAAAACATGTTCTTAAAGATATTTGACGATGGATGCTGAAAATTTCATAAACTTATCTCTTACGGTTGATTTTTAATCCATTTTTTAATTTAAAGTGCTTAAAATTTTCGTTATAAAAGAATGTTTTTTTTACATACCTTCTGGATTCCTCCTGCGTCGGATTTTGCTGAGTCGAAATTGCTGACGTTTCGCCAATCATCCTGTTGGCTTCTTCAGAGCTTGACTGAAACTGCAGAAACCGACGCAGGAGGAATCCAGAAGCTTTGTAAAAAGTATTATAGTAGCTTGTGGAAGTTTCTTTGAAAAATTAAAAAAAAAATGTTGTTAAAATCAAAATTTTAAAAAATCTTTTGTACTTAAGTACTTAATAAAAAATATATGTATATTAAATTTTTATGATCAGAACACAAGATGGGAAAAAATTAAGGATACCATAGTAACAACACAAAAAGAAATAGTTAGGAAGGACACCAGAAATAAGAAAAAAAATAAAGAAAAATGTAGTTTCATGCAAGAATCTTCGACTTTCATGGGTCATTTAATTTAATCGACTTGCAAAAAAACCCACGAGAGAGTCGAAGCAGTGGCCAAAACCAACAATGTCACAGAACTTAAGTCAGTTCTCGGAGGCGTCAATTATTACGTTAAATTCTAACCTAACGCGTCGTCCATCCTTTATCCTTTATACAGTTTATTAAGAAAAAAACATAACTTCGATAAAATCAAGGATATGTTAGTATCCTCATCTGTGCTGGCCTATTTTGACACAAAATTACCAATCAAATTGTTTTTAGATGCCAGCAGTATAGGTCTAGAGGCAATAATTAGTCACACCTACACAGACGGAACTGAGCGTCGCGTTCGCTTCAAGGTTCCTAAATAAAAACAAACTCTCCTACACCCAAATCGAAAAAGAGGCTCTAGCAATAATATTCGGGTCAAAAAATTCTTCCCATACCTTTACGGCATCAAGTTCACACTGTACACAGACCATAAACCTCTTTTGGCAATACTGGGCGACAAAAAGGGTTGCCAGTTTTTGCAGCCAACCGCCTACAAAGATGGGCATACATTCTATCTTCATTCCGTTTCGAAATTAATGTCAACACCGAACAAAATTTCTAATACGCCACCCTCAACAGAAAATTACAACAAAGAGCTTAATAACATTAAACAAATTGCACTGAACCACGGCTACAATCCATTGTCGATGATATTATAAATAAAAAACAAATCCAACAACAACAACTCTATTTATCCGAAACCTAATACGGAACACGAACAGTGAAAAAGTTTCAAAACATTTGTCAAAATGTGGTTTAACACAGAAAAACATATTTTTGACGACAATTTTGATATTTTGCACACAGCCACAAAAAGTAGAAAATTAAATTATTATTAAACTTAAATTGGCACAACAACATTAATTAAGGTTTTAATGTCATTTTTCGTTATATATAGTAGCAGGTAGTTTGTAAATATTACATTTGATAAAGACACGGTGTTGTCGAAACAATTGTCATGTGAACTGAACTGAACTGAACTGAACTGAACTGAACTTATAGTTTTTATTTATATTGTTACCACAACCTATGACAGTCCCTAATGTTCTGTCCTTCAATATTCACCGGACCCAAGTTTTATTACCGCCGAGTGGTAACTTCCATAGTTGTGGGCAAAAGACAGCATGAGGAAGATTGAGACAGACTATAGCATCATCATCAGAGCGTCTTGCTTCGGCGATCCTTTCTATTTAACGCCAATCGTTTCTACAATTCCGCAGCTCAAATTTAAATCCGTTTTAAAAAAATTACAAAGATCGTCCGCTAGAAATAGAATCTTACCAAATTGTCTTGTTGCTGCCTGAGTGCGGTTTATTTATTTTTCCGCCTGTTGATAAACCTAACTCGATGTTCTGAAGAAGCACACAGTTCGATTCAGCCATAGCGAACGCAGGTGGAATCCAGAATTATTATTATTATTAATATTTTTGTTATTTTTAAGAGATTTAAATTCTAGTTTCCTCTAGCATTCAAGAATTGCTTATCGTGTTTTAATCGTTGAGTGAGATGATGATGTCTTTGTTTTTCAAAGAAACTGCCACAGGCAACTGTAAAATTATTAACAACACTTCTTCAGTTTCAGTTAAACTCTGGAGGAGCCAACAGGTTGATTGGCGAAATGTCAGCAAGATGTGGATGATTAAATGGTACCTGTATAGTAAGCCCCTTCGCTCCCAGATGGCGCACTGCCGGTTCCAGTGTACGAGTAGATGTAACTGTTATCGGAGGCTGAAGCTGCGCCCATATTCGTCGGCATCATTAGATTGGCGCCTGTGCTCGTCGTAGCGCTGCTTTTCTAACAGAAATACCGCTTTCGCATTGTATTTGGGCTCAATCTTCTTATTAAAAAACAATATAAAAGGAGACGCGAGAATACAGAACGGATATTGCCTAAAGTGATCTTATGCGGGGTGTTACTAAAAAGGCATCACGTAATTTAATTGAGTCTCTATCGTGATCTGTATCAGACCAAACCAAAGCTGATTTAAAATTCTTATGGCCCTGATATTGTGCCTTTTGTAATATTCAAAAAGTGTGCCGAATATATCCTGAGGCCATTGACCTCTCTGATAAATGCATCATTAACAGAGGTTTTCTGCAGAAAATTATCGTCCAATAGCAATCACATCATGCTTTGCTGAAATATTTGAATACGCCATGCTTGACCGCTTGACCGATTATTTAAGTAAAAACAAAATTTTGTCTGAAAGTCAGCACGGTTTCAGAATACGTAGATCAACCCAGACAGCGATCATTCATTCATTCATTTTTGGAGCAACTTTATTGAGTCTGGAGAGCACTCTGCTGGGATATTGCGTGCCGCAAGGTACAGTGCTTGGCCCTGTTTTATTTATCCTTTTAATCAACGAACTTTCTGCTCACCTTCCTAGTTCGGGTCTATCAGAGTTCGCTGACAACTGTTCAAGTTTAGCCGCCTCACACTGTTATCAAACTCTTCAAGACAGAATTAATGCAGCACTTGTACTGCTAAATAGCTGGTTTAACACCAATGAACTCTTTTATGTCCAAAAAACAAGTGGACTGATATTCAAATGCCCACAAAACAAAAAAGATCTTTCTGTGAATGTCTGGTCGGGCGGGGAGGCCGTTGAAATAAAAAAGCATGCTAAATTTTTAGTAATAGAGCTTGACGAAATCCTATCTGGGGAAAGTCAATGCCAATTACTTTCTTCAAAGCTGCATACTTATTGTTTCCTAATAAAAAACGTAAAAACTGTTTTGACTGGAAAGTGCGTGATACATTTCTACTATGCTCACATCTATTCGAGATTACTCTATCATCTGTTTTCAAATCCCAAAAAAAAGTCCCAACGTGTATTGCTGGAGTGTCGCCGGATAATTCGTGCAGGCCCCTCTTCCGGGAGTTTAAAATGCTGCCATATTAGAAGTTTGTTTATAGGTGTATAAAAATGAAAATACCTTACAAAAAAAAAACGGAGATGTCCACTACTATAATATACGTAACAAAGACTAAAATTTTCAAAAAAATATTTTACGAACACCGGTATTAGAGCCTCCAGAGCTAAAGAGCAGTAGTAATGTAAACATTTTTAAATCCAAACTAAAGTTTTTCCTCCTGGAAAACTGTTTTTATAATTTAAACGAATATTTTACCTATTAATATTTGTCATCACCGTATTGTTGTGCTCTGTCACATATTTTTATCATATAAATTTTTATTATAATTTTCTGCCTCATTTGCATGATTTATATTGACCTACTTGACGAAATCCATAATACACTGATTGTATTCTAAATATGTGGGATAATAAAGATATTATTATTATTACTATCAACACACAACTGCTACAGCAACAGCTATATTAAACACTGTTGTTTAGGTGTTTAAAACGCTGATGGTGTTTTGAAATTTGCCACGAGTTTACGTCAGCTCTCAGTTGCTTCCGGTTATTTGCACTTTGCTTCTTCTTTTTTTGTTACCACTTAAGATGTGTTAACTGGTCACCTGACCTTTGTGTTCCTTACACCTGTTTTCATCAGCTATCATCCTTCACGTTCTTCTATTCCATACGCCATGATGCATACCTTACGTCACTGTTACTTTTTTATGGTTGTTAGTTTTGGTTAGCTTACGCTGCAGATCTTTAGTTTTGATTTGATTGATAGATAATATGGTTGCTATCAAGGCAGAATCGAATAATAATTATTTTTAAACTAAATTATCTCAAAAATAGATAAATGAAATGTCAATAAACTATATGTTTTTGAAATCAGGAAAAAATATCTACGATTTAAGAAAGAAATATTTGCTGTCATTTTGACTGCATTTGTTTTTTCTGACATTTGCATAAGATAATGGAGTAAAAATCTTCAAACTTGTTGTTTTTCTATCTTTCAAAATGGAGCTTTTAGTTGGGTGTCAAAATATAGTCTATAACCCTAAATATTCCCTCTTGAGACATTTTTATTCCAATATCTGAAATGGTATAACAGATATTTTATTTTTGAAAACTGTACTACCCTATAGTTTCTTTTTAAATGAATTTAACGACGACTAATATGATTTTTACACATAGAATAAAAAATGTTTTGATTAACCGTTTCAGATATACCGTCGTATAGAGCCGAACTGTTTTAGTCACCCTAGAAATTGGCATATGAGGTCTGTGTTGCTTACCAGCGCGTAGATGCTCATAATCAAGTGTACGACGAACATTCCGAACGAAAGGTACGCCAGTGCCGTAAGGGCGACCTCGAAAATGTCGGCTAGCTCTTGGGACTTGTCGTAACCGGTCGAGACGTGATGATAGGCGTGGTATTTTGGCGGAAAACTTTGGACGTATTTCCCTTGGTCGTTCGCGTGTCCGCTCTCCGTTATGTGTTCTGCAAAAATCAAAGGGAACGAAAAAAAAAAGAAGAACACTTCGGGAAACATGCCGAAAACCTACGAACCTACTAGAACCTTTTTCCAAAAAAAAAGGCTTTTATTAGCAAAACTTCATTTGTATTAAGTCGAGATTTAAAAGTTCTAAGACTTCATGGCGTCGCCAGAAGGTCTAAGGAATATGTTTCTACTTATATTTTCTTTTTTGAATTTGTGTTACTTCTTTTTGTACAAGTTTAAACTTCTGCGAGATATGTTAAAACGGTTTACATGGAAAACTGATGGTTTCTTACTTAATTCCTTTCACTGCATTGAACAATTAAAAAGCATACGTAGAATCCCGTTTTACTAGACTCCCTATTTCTGAAACCCTCAACATCATTTCAAATATATTAAAAATCAGAGGATCTAGAACCAAACCTCCCCATTTTAACAGCCAAATCTTTCATCAAACGTCGAAAATAGATATGAGTTATAGCGACGAACATATCTATGGAAGCCTTTGAGCACAAAGCCCTCAACACCTTACATCTGAAACCAAAATTAAAAAGAAAGAAAATTATCGTCAAGAATTTCTACTAGATTATTGAACCTGTGTACATTTTCCACCTCTAACATTGGGTCAATCTGTTTAGAGAATGCGTCCCAAAAATCATCGGTTATCAATTTTCGGTTTTGCTCCGAAGAAGCCTACAGAAACGTCAGCAAGTTCTTTTTGTTATATTCTTTATGGCAAATAAGATATTTTGGTTTTGATTCGTTTTGCAACACTTTATGGTGTTTTATCTACAAATCGTACCTTTAAAAAAGGGTTTACCAAGCAAACCAACCAAAATATATTCATGACCACAGCTTGTCATGAGATAAATAGTGTGGTTTTCAAATGATAACAGTATATAAAAAAAATAATAGCTACAATAAATGTGTACGATTTAGGTGCCAAAGAATGTCATATGAAATATCTGGAAAATAACTTGCCCTGTTTTTAAAAGAGAGAGAGAGAGGGATAAATAAAAATAAAAAAAAAAATAAAAATCTAGTTGCGGAAGTCGGGCAATTCCTCTGTCTAAAACGTATGTATACTTTTTATAAAACTTCTAGATTCCTCCTGCGTCGGTTTTTGTTGAGTCGAACTAGCTAACGTGTCGCCAATCATCCTATTGGCTTCTTCAGAACTTCATTGAAACTGCTACCCCTCATGACTCTAAAATTCCTCGTCTCTACGGACTCCCAAAGATTCACAAGCCAGGATTACCCATTCAACCTAATGTCAGCACCATTGGTTCTCCAACATATTCTCCAGCAAAATATCTAGTTTTCTTGTTACAACCCTTTACCGGAGTTTTGTACTTAATTCCTTTCGCTTCATTGAACAAATAAAAAGCATTACATTAGATGCACAAGATATTCTGGTTACTTTCGACGTAGAATCCCTCTTTACTAAAGTTCCTATTCCTGAAACTCGCACCATCATTTCAAATATATTAAAATCCGAGAACCTGGAACCAAATCTTCTCACCTTAATTGAAAAATACTTGTTTGGAACATATTTTTTTTATAATGGTCAAATTTTTGAACAAGCGTTGGGAACAGCTATGGGCTCTCCATTATCACTAGTCATCGCGAATATATTTATGGAAACCTTCGAGAAGAAAGCTCCCATTCTTACATATTCTTAACAATAAGAAATCAGACCTAACATTGGGTCATTGTCACCATCCATCCCAAAAATTGTCGGTTATCAACTCTCTTGTTTAGAGAGCCGTAAGTCTATCTCAGTTCAAGTCATTGAACCCAGAATTAAAACACCTTACGACGAAAAATATCAATTAGGCTCAAAGAACACGAAAGAGCCTTACGACTAAGACAAATAAACTCATCAGCAATTTCCGAACACAATCACGAAACCGGACATAAAATTTTATTCGATGAAACTAAAATTCTTGCATGTAATCAATTTTTCTAACAACGAAAAATCTAAGAGTATATAGAAATCTATAAGCAACCTAACAATCTTAACCGCGACCTGTCACCAATATGGGACTCAGTCATCGGAGACGGTATTTATGCCCGTCATTTAGCTCCGCCCACCTGAAACAATATAAAAGCAGGTACAGAGTAAAATGCGAGCCAGTTTCAGTCAGGTTCTGAAGAAGGCAACAGGATGACTGGCGAAACGTTAGCTAGTTCGAGTCAACAAAAACCGACGCAGGAGGAATCCAGAAATTTTATAAAAAGTGTTACGCGGTTAGGAAATGATATTTGTTTTGTGTGCGATAATTTGGTTGAACAGGCTGGGCTTCCTCCGGATCATTGCATGTTTAATCCCGTAGAGGATTTGTAGACCTATGTAAAATCAAACGTCAGAGCAGAAAATGTTACTCCTACCTTCAGGCCCAGCATATTAAATTTGATAAATAGTGTCATTAATAACACGCCTACCGAGATCTGGAAACATTGAAAATCCCAATCGGAAGATCTAAACGGTCATTTCCAAAGCCTCCTTTAAGGCAAAACGCATTTAAAGCTTTGATGAAATCAATACCCACTATGGGTTGGTGTAAAATGAAATTGTGCGCCATGCTATTTCCGAAACCAAACCTTAGGAGAGCTTACCATCGTGATGTTCTTCACCGCTGTGGCCGACATAACTAAAAAATTGTCATCTGGATTAGGAATTGAAGGGAAATTCGTCAAATCCGTTAAAGTACTCACCCCGTTTGCACTGGGGTGTAATAATAAGCTCCCCCGACTCCCGTATGATACGGACTGACGTCCGACTTGTGTTGATTTTTCGTTTTCTCCGTTTGCCCTGTGACGTACAAACATATTATACATAAACCGACGTTAATTTAGTTTAGTTTTTTTAACCACGTAGTACAAGATGACATCAAGCAACTGACAAAAAACCGCCTTGGCAGCAGAATTACAGACACAGCTCACTACAACGATAACAAATAGTTATAAAGGTTTCAAAAATACACCTCAGAGTTTACGTACTTCGTCTTTGTATTTCGATTTTATGAAGTATTTTAATAAAACATAGACAATTATTTAAGTAAGAAATAATAATGCCAAATAATTCTCTGCATGCTGTCATATTTTGGGTCTAAAACCCCTTATTGCGTGCCTAGAATTTCTCCATATTGTAACTGTGCGAAAAAGTGTGTTTTTCAACTTTGTAAGCAAGAAAAGCATCATTTGAATTGAGGACTCCAATTAAAATCATCCTCCGAGGTGACACTAACGCCCTTAGTAAGAGATGCATTGGTTGAAATTGTTTTTTTTTTTTGTGTTTTATGTCGTCAGCGAGAAGTGAACGTGAAGAGAAATCGTTTATGTAAATAATGAAACAAAGTGGCCTTAGAACAGATCCTTGTGGGACTCCATGTTTTTAACGTGGACGAATAATTTTCGTTTAGGCAAACTTACGAGGAGGGTTCAAAAAGTAAGGTAACGTTTGCAACATCGATCTTCGATATTTTTTTTATGTTGGTAGACATGCCCCTAACATATGCTCACAGTTTCAGTCAGTTTCGGTTAATTAGCAGTTGAATTTGTCCTGAAACTGTTTGAGTTAAAAAAAAAAGGAGTATCGGTCAAGAGCTTTTAAACGACGTCAATGATGATCCTGATATGCTCAAAAAGGTCATAACTGGTGACGACGAATTATGGGTATATGTTTATGACGTCGAAACCAAGGCCCAGTCGTCCCAATGGAAGAATCGTCAAGACCGAAAACAGCCTGTCAAGTTGTATCAAACGTCTTGCTTACTGTTTTCTTTGATTATTGTGGAGTAGTACATCAAGAGTACGAGCAATAAAGAGTATTACCTTGAAGTTATTCGCTGTTTGCAAGAAACAATACCAAGAAAACGTGCGAAATTGTGGGAAAACAAGGTTATACGAGAAAATGTTTCAAGCATTAGAAAAAAGTCACACTACTTTTTGAAAATACCTCGTATTGTGTTTGATTTTTTAAATATGATTCAGAAAATAACAACGTAGATGGTTGATAATTTCCCCTGCACAATTTCGTGACTGAAAGAGGCGATCCAGATACAGACAGGATGCCCGTTGTTCCTCGCAACATGGATAATCTAATAATAATTCTTTCAGGATTATTTAATTAATAGGGACGATCACTGGGGGGCAATACTTTTGCGCATTTAAACTGATTACGAAACGTGGCAGTTGTTAAACAAACGGTGTGCAGGTATTTTTATGTTAACCTTCGGTCTCAAATTGTACTGAACATCTGAGTTTCTGAAGGGCATATAAAGATTAGAGTTGCTTTTTACATAAGTGGCACAATGTCAGAAAATGTCAATAGTGTTAAACGGCTTAAACGGTATAGTCCGTAAAATGCGTTTCTTCATCCTACAGACGTGCTCCGCACGTGATTAAACCTGAAGTCGGAGCCTCCGTATGACAAAACAGTAGATAACGTTTTTTTTGCGAATGTGATCCACCTGATCTAACCAGGAGAGAGAGAACATTTTTTTGTTGGATTGTGCTTTCATTGAACCATTTAAATCACGTGATAAAAGATGAAAAGGCGACCATCTTAGTTTTACTTCCATTCAATATCAATTTGTTCATTTCTGCTAAATTGCTGGTAGAAAGGGTAGAAACTGCATCATCCGCAAAAAGATGAAAGTAAGTATGGTGGAAAGATGAAAACACCTCATTTGTAAACACTATGAACAAAAAAGGGCTGAGTAAACTTCTTTTATTTTCCTGCTGCTAATATTAAAAACGTTGAGTTTTTTAAAAATCTGCAATAAAACGAAAACAGACTCACCTCCCGAGTGCTCTTGGTACGCGTAATTTAATTCGTGAACGTTAACTTGGGGCAGCCCTTTGTCGTCATGCTTAAGGGCGTTTTCGTCGAATTCTTCGTCATCTCTGTCGGTTTTGGCAGCGTCCCGCTGGTAGTGACGATAAACGTCCTCCATGGTCGCGCTCCTTGAAAAGTTTCATTTCATTTCGTTTTTACAGACTTCCGGGACACTTACTTCGCGAGCCAATTTTTGTAGGACGACGAACCTTGGTCCATCAAGAGGTCGGTTCGGCCCGCGCGAGGTTCTTGAGGTCGCGCGACCTCTTCGAAGGTTCCTCGACCACCCATTCTCTTTTTAATGCCAGTCAGATTCATTTCCGCCAGAATTTGACTAGCAAGGTAACTCCTGCACAAGTACTGGTTCATCATTGACCTGAATATATAAAATCAGTTTCTCATTTTGTATACATAAAACCTACGCACACAGTGCGATACTTTAACGCATGCGTTGGGGTGTGACCTTCCCCAAAAATATTGAATAAATTAAAAATATTCTCAAAAATAACATTTTGATAGGAACCACCTACAAGGCTTCTGAGTTTGACCGGCAGCCAATGTCCTATGACAAAACATATTGTAATTCAAATTGCATTAATTTAATGTCCCCTTAATAAAAAATATATATATACACCGCCACTCAGCCTTCTAGGTTTAGAAAAAAAATGCAATGTAATGAGCGGACGCCGTCAAAACGGCCTAAAATTCCTTTGACCGCGAATAACTTTCATAAATAAGTCCAAAATCATGACATCAAGGTCTTTACCCGAGAGGGGCCTCCCCCTGTTGGCCTTATTTTAATCCCTTTTCCGCAGGGACAATCTAGACAGTCCAGTTAATATCCCCAAAAAGTTTACCCCCCTCCCTCCCCCAGCGCTTTCAACCCCCCCTCTTCCTCTATATTCAAAAAAATTATAGCATCTCCCCTTTTTTCTTCTTCGAATTTTGGTGAATTTTCAAGTGTGACGATGACGAAAATCGTCAAAAAAAGGATACAAATTTACCCTCCCCAAAAATATAATAAAATCGCCCTTTGGTCAAATTATCCCCCTGTGCCGTTAGGTTCACATTTTTGACCACGAGTTTGGAAAAATTTAGCCTTCCCCCCGAGGGTGGGGATCTCGGGAACAGAAAGATCTAGGAGGTTCGGATTTTCATAGCTAGATTCAGAAAAAATTCTTTTGAGGAGGTCGGCCCTTTTCGGTTATTTAAAATAGTATTCAACATATGTGTGGTGCTCCAACTTGGACGAGCCTCTATGGCTTCAAGCAATTGCAGCATAGTTAGCCCAAAACTAATATGCATGTTACGGGCTTGATTTTCGGGAGAAGTCAAAAACTAAAAACCGCATCATAATATGTCAAAGTGTTTCTGAGCTACAGGGTGATTCTTAAAATGTGCGTTTCTAAAAATCATCTATAACGTTTTTATTTGTAAAGATAGAGATTTTTACTAAAAACATTTTTCGAAGATTTTTTAAAGGCAAATCTACCTGTTTCGCCGATTTTGTCTTAAAGCCTTTAGTTTACGAGATATAACACAAAGTTACATTTTTTTAAATGGAATACCCCAATTCAAAAAAAATAGTTTTCTAATAGAATTTCCCGCCAAACGATGTGCCATACACCTATTTTTATTAAGTAGTTAAAAAGATACCTGCAATTTTTAATAATTACCGTGGTAGGCTGTGCTTATCTCTGACCTATGCAGTTTTACGGTATCTATCTAGACAGCTATGATCAGATAAAAACAATTGCCATGTCACACAAGCCCAAGTGTTAAAAATGGCGTCTTCATCAAGCTATAAAAATGTTTGAAAACTTTGAAAAGTACGACATGATAAAATGTTATATTGAAAGTAACGAAAATCGACAGACGGCTTCAAATCTATATTTCCAGAGATATCCGGAAAAAAGGCAACCTAGCTCAAAAATATTTTTGAAGTTAAAATGTCATCTACAAGAATACGGATCCTTTACAAAACCGCGGCCTAGGACGTATAGAAGCTTGCCCAGAGATATATAGTTGGAAGAACTAACGGAAATTAACCGTAATACTTCCACCAGGGCTGTGGAGAAACAAAAAGATTTGGCTCCAAGACGTGCACTTGGCAGGTTTTGTGTGTGTATTGTATTTTGTGTTTTGAAATCGCCCAACTACTAGAAGGGAATTGGAAGATACACTTCGTACTGCATTCAGGCAGTTTGGTGAGGTAGAACTTCTTAATGCAGAAAATAGCTTCAAGAGAAGATATGTTTACAAGAGAACGACCGTCAATTTGAGCATTTATTTTAGAATTAAAGAGATTAGATGTGGAAAGTGTTACGTAGTTTAATTAATAAAAATGTTATTATTTTAGGGTTGGTAATTATTGTAAACAAGAAGTTAAAGTGCGAGGTTGCTGTGTCTCCTCGTGTTGTAGCCAACTATTTTGTACGAAAAAAAAAACAATAAACTTTTACCTACACACAGCGCCTACTATGGTAAATATCCAAAATTTGCAAATATATTTTAAACTATTTAATAAAAACATGGTTCGACAGGAAATTTTATTAGAAAACTGATTTTCTAGAAAAATTGGGGGTGAAGAAATATAACTTCGTATGATATCACGGAAACTAGAGGCTCTAAAACACAACGGGTAAAATAGAGAGATTCCCGCTTAAAAAAAAACTTCAAAAAATGTTTTTTCCCAAAATTATATTCTTACAATAAAAAAAGTTATAGAGAGCCTTTAAAATCGAACATTTTTGAGAATCACCCTGTAGCTCAAAAACGCCTTGACATATCACGATGCGGTTTTTAGTTTTCGATTTCTTTCGAAAATCAAGCCCGTAACATGCGTATTTCTTTTAGACTATGCTGCAAATGCTTGAAGCGACTTGCACTGTTTTCATGCTAAATTCGCGAAAAACCATTTCAACTATAATGACTTGGACAATAATTCAACCATCAACGTTGTTTACTAAAATGTCAAACATAAACATATTTTCATTTGCCGATTTGTCAAAAAACAATTTGACTAAAATATAAAATGTATTGTAATAGGAATAAGATATTCTATTAAACACATATATAATATACAGGGCATTCCATGGAAAAAAAATATGATGTAGGCTTATATGTCAGCAAATTGATAGTTTTGTTTTAAGTTACAGACGGTACAGACTTTACCTGTGGAAATCCATGGTATCTAGCGCGTCCTTGACAGTCCCATCCAACGTCTTGCTCGACCTTTCGTCGATGACGTTCAACGAAGTGTTGAAGCTCTTCGGGGGACCGTCCAGCATCAACAACGTTCCCGGCATATATTTCGCGGACAAGATGTCGTCGACGTCTATGACGTTGTCGGACATTGTTTTCCCGACGAACGCGAGCCACAAGATACAAAATGAAAACGCGAATTTTCCCGTCAAAGTCATTCCGGTAGGACTCTCTTAAAAAACTGGTCTTCGGTACGTTACGCTATCGCGCGTTTCGCTGTCCTTCTACCGGAAAATAAGGACAGTTAAGTCGTAATTTTGTCAGCGTTTCGTGCATATCCGTAACTGTTAAGTGGTTTAGAAACGCCGCCGATATTTCCAAAAGAACGGAAAAAGGTAAAAATCGGAAAAAAACACAATAAAGTAAAAACAAAAAATATAATCCAAAATTTGGCAGATGCGTGCTTGCAGTGTATCTATCTCTGTTCTACATATACGTATCATATCAGTGTAATACAGCTTTCGAAAATAAAATCTTTAATTGTTTTAATGAAATGTATGCATCAAGAGGCATTATTTAGTAAAACCCATTTTTTTTTCAAAATACAATTTCACGCGTCTATTTTGGAAGATAATAATGGTACGACACTTACCATCTCCGATCATTTCTAAAGAAATTTTATTTCTTGATTTTTAACCTGAATAAAAAGCTTTTCTCAATTTTGTAATAATATCGTTGATATTAAAAATTAAGAGATCAAATCCGTTGACTGTCTATGTACTAATAATATTTTGGTCCCCACCGCTTCGTTGAAAAATAAAATACCTCTCTAAATCAAAATATCTAGTTTTTGGTTACCAACTTCAGAAAAAGAAATAGAAGACCGTTCTTTTTACTTTTGCAGTTTTAATGAAATTACAAACATGCCAACAACAGGGTAAATAACAAACGATTACCCACAATCCATTTTAAAATCGCTATTTCGGGAGCTCAGTCAAGACGCGATGAGGACATTGATTATTACGGCGCACTGCATGGTCAAAGTTTGTCGTGACTTTGAAATTCGGCGATTAATAAAAGACGCTTCAGACATTGTGTGCACACAATATAATTACATCGATTTCGCGAAAGCACGATAAAAAGACAATGCGTCCCTCTAGGACAAGAAATCTTTAAAATAGAAAGCTGCTTCGCGCTACGCGCCCCGCAAAGCGACGATTTTTCGAAAGCAATCTTGTTTTGATTTAACGCCGTCATAGCCACCTTACACTAACTTTACAATAATAATAATAAATATACTGCTTGTACTGCTCAAAGGCCATATTGAGCAACTATTACAATAACTATTATCCTTTGTAAGCTATTAAATTTTTATTGATCGTTCATGAACAAAAAAAATTCACCAACGTTATCGCTTCTCCTTGGTCTTATTCTGTATAAATAATGCATACATAATCTCTGGATCTTCATAAGCACATCGGTAAGATTATGGTCAACTATAGCACTTGTTTTCTTCAAACGCCGCCGTCATAGCCACCTTACTCTAACTGAACTTATATGGCAACAGCGTATTATTTGTGATTGACAAATGGTTAAAAGGACATATTTCAAAAAGTAAAAATATTAGGGATATACAACCTTATATAAAATTGCTTTAATTTTTAATGCTAAATATTTAAAAAAAAACTTTTTTGGCAGTTTTTTTTAATTGTACATTCTATCCACGTGTCCGTACCAAGTAAGTTGCTTTTTCTCTATATCCTGCGTTATTGTGTCTTCTAATCCCATCCGTTGTTTTATGGTATCGTTTCTTATTCTTTCTGTTCGTGAAATGCGCATTGATCTTTTAATTGCATTCATCTCGACAGCCTCAACCATTTTCTTATGTCTATCGGAATTTCTCCATTTCTCTGATCCATATAGAAAGGTGCTTTTTACCATTGCTTCATAGATATTAAATTTCCGTTTCTTGGATATTTCTTTGCTCCATAGGATACCATTCAGAGCTCCTATTACTTTTTTGGCTTTGACTATTCGGTTTTCTATTTCTTTTGCATCTGTTCCAGTGTTGTCGAATGTGATGCCCGGATATTCATATTCCTGACATTGAAGGATTTCTTGGTCATTGCCTAATTCCAAATTTCCGTCCTGAGTTCCCACACATATATACATTGTCTTTGCTATGTTGACTATCAAGCCCCATTCTGTATACTCCTCTATTAGTTTTCGAATCATATATCATGCCCCGCAACCCACCGCTATTAAAAATTGAATCTGACGTTTCGGCTTTTTAATTTTTAACTAAATCCTTTTGCCGATGTGAAAATTATCTTAGAAGAACATTGCGATTACAATTTTTGAAGCCCCCAATCCGAATGCGGCCCTAAAATTAAAACGCAATTCAATTAGCGAAACGCAGAATTGTTTTCGAAAGAAAACTCGGCAAAAAAGTTTTTTCGCTCGCTACAAAGCGCGAAAGAAGTAATTATTCGGCCAAATTTCCCACCTAACGAGGTGTTCGTCGTCGGGTCCGAGTCAAAGACACTCCGTGACGAGCATTCTTCAATTTTTAATTTCAAAATCAGATCTCGAATCATTGTCGAATCGTCCAAAAGAACCCACGTCACAGCTGAATTGAACCGGGGTTCGCACAAAATACGTTCAGATTTTGGATAACGTTATTTTTTGTATTTTAGCTACGATGCCTATTCTAAATTTAACAGAGGTATAATACGACCAGAAGTATAGTGCTAAATAAATAAGAACTAAAAGTTCAGATTGTCACGAAATTATATATATATATATATATATATATATATATATATATATATATATATATATATATATATATATTCACATGACAATTGTTTGACAACACCGTGGCTTCATCAAATCTAATATCTACAAACTAACTGCTACTGTATATACCGAAAAATGACAATAAAACCTTAATTAATGTTGTTGTGAGAATTTAAGTTTAATAATGGAGAGGTATTTAAATCTAATTGATCGTTAAGCAATAGATTTAAATGTCTCATTTTGTTAATCTCAATGGCTTCCAATAAATTTAATTTTCTACTTTTTGTGGCTGTATGTAAAATATCAAAATTGTCGCTAAAAATGTGTTTTTCTGTGTTTAAGTGTGTAGCATAATTAGAATCTAGACTATTTTTAAATGCTCTTTTATTTTCGTTAATGCGTTTCTTGAAGGATCTACCTGTTTGTCCAATATAAATTTTAGGACATGATCCGCATTTCAACCTGTAGACACCTAATTTTTGAGATTTTGGACACTAATTTGTTTTGCGTTTTCGTAATAGTTAAGTAGTTAATGTAGTTTAAAATAGTTCCGTTCCAAAAAAGCAATTATTATTAACAACGACGAAAATAGACGTGTGGACAAATTAAATTATCGTATATAGAATCTGAGCTGGAAATGGCCCAGTTTTTTCAATATTTCTGGATTCCCGTAAATCCCAAGGTCTAAGGTTTTATTTTAATATCTTCGAGTGGCCGCAAATTCAATCTCGGGAAAAGGTAATTATTCGGAAAACTCGCAGCATTTTCCGGGACGCAATTAAACCCTTTTTTGTGGCGCCTTTATGCGACTTTCTCGCGTAAACACGTAAACGCTTATCTCGTCCCCTTTAAAATGTGGAAAAGCCGTTTTACGACATTTTTTTAACAATATGGTAATTGGGCTATTTAATCGAGCTATATTGACATTCAATTGGGTACGTGCGAAAATGAATTTTACCGGAGTAATTCTAATGTTTATTTTTCCTATTCAATACACCTGACGTTGCGAACGGATCCTCATCCGTTAATATTATTTTGTTTAGAAAATTTTCATCTTCTTGAGATCTTCTACACATGTCAGTGCAAAATTCGACCTGCATTTTGTGTTTATCTGTTAAATTTTGCAATTTTACTATAGGACTTTCCGGTTAATTTTTTAAGGTCTAATATGAAGTATAAAAATTAAGAAAATAGAACTTAAAGTCAGCATGTCAAGTGTCGTGAGAGTATAATAATTTACCTTGAAAGTAAAGTCTTCATCAAAATTTCTTTCTATTATCCTGGTCTTCCGCGTGACACCTTTTAGGTCCTCAAATTGTTTAATTACATTTTTAATTGTATTCATTGAAGGAACTCTTCTACCTGGATATATTTGTCTATATTCCGTTTTAACCCTTGCTACGTTATATCCAGTAGCCTGTGGAAGCTTCCTAAACAAAAAACCTACATACCTAGTGTATTTTGAGTCTGTGGAACCAAATGTGCACATCTTTATTGTAAACCAACCTTTATTTGATACGTCATAACTACATGACTACATTTCGTAAAAAATGATTTACTTATATCGTTTTTTTTGTCCGCGTGTGTGTGAAACGTCCCCGCGTATCGTGGGTGTTTCGGTAACGGTTATTTTAGAGCTTCATCACGTTTGGAGAATCGTATCAATACTCCCCCGAACACGTTCGACATGATCGACAATCCGGCAGTGCTGTTTTAACTGCTCCAGTGTTTAGGATTGTCATATATATTCCCGGGTTTTACGAAAGTGTAAAGATTCAAACGCCCTCAAGATCTGAGGTTTCGAACAACACTTTGAGAGGCATCCGGAAGTGCTAAGATTGAAACCTCTAATAATGAGTGGTGCAAACAGGTATTTCATCGGCATCATGAAGACAAATTAACCTAAAAAAATATTTATCACTAAAAACTTTAACTTATCCCTTTAATTATCCGTAACGTACAAACACACTAAAGTGTACAAAATTGAATGCTATTAACGGGCAGGAAAGACACTAAATTGTATTATTAACAAGGTTAAAAAAGTGTTTAAAACCAGAGAAAACTTTTTTGGTATTGTTCTGGCAAAGCAACTGCGTGCAGATATTACCCAAACTCTCTGGACATTGTTTATGGTCGGTAACATTGATTCATAAAACGCATTTCGAGATACTTTCTTCGAAAAATATTTCAGATATATGAAATAAATAAAAAACAAAACAAATTGATTCTTACTTGAGTGACAAGGGCAGGGGCGGGCCAGGTATATTTCCTTCTTTCTGATATATTTCTTGAGTGTTCGCGGTTTCTTGTCTTACTACGCTCACCCTGTATGATATACGAAAACTAAAACTCTCTGGATACTGTTTAAATCAAATTTTCTCTTTTTCTATGGTTGTTCATTAAGGGCAAATAATTTAACCACGAAAACAGCAATTTTCAGGGTCTTTTTGATTTTTTGCCCATAATCGACAGACCC